GCGGAGGAATCGAACTCGGGTCGGCCATGTTGGCCGCTTGTAAGGCAAATGCCCTACCCGCTGTGCTATCGCTCCATCGTTTCCGTAGTGTAGTGGTTATCACGTTCGCCTAACCCTCATTTATTATTATTATTATTATTATTATTATTATTATTATTACAGGTTTGGGACCACATCTGGCAGTTCTCAGGGGTGACTCCTGCCTCTGCACTCAGGAATCACTCCTGGCATGCTTGGGGGACAGGATGCTGGAGATTGAACTCAGGTCCACTGTGTGCAAGGCAAATGCCGTCCCTACTGTCCTCTCGCTCCAGCCCCCCTCATTTCTTTTTTGTTTGGGGTCACAGGTTTGGGGTCAGGGCTTACTCTCGCAGGGCTCAGGGCAGTGCTGGGGAATGAACCCAGGCGAACCACATGTGACACAAGCCCCCTACCCCGCACTCTCTCTTTCTCTGGATCAAATGCTTGCATTTTTTAATTGGTAATGTGGGAGTTTATTTTATTTATTTATTTTTGCTTTTTGGGTCACACCCGGCGATGCACAGCGGTTACTCCTGGCTCTGCACTCAGGGGTCACTCCTGGCGGTGCTCAGGGAACCATATGGGATGCTGGGAATCGAACCCCGGTAGGCCGCATGCAAGGCAAATGCCCTACCCGCTGTGCTATCGCTCCAGCCCCGGGAGTTTATTTTTTATTCCCCATTCCCCCAGGTTTTTCACTGAGGCCCCTGATCTCCAACTATCGGTGCTGGACTTTCATGCATGGGGCATCCTTGTCCCGAGGTTCCCACCCTCCGCCCCCGTTCTGCAGGCTGTCTCGGGGGTCTGGTTACTCCCAGCTGTGCTCCTTTGGATCACACTATGAGCACGTTCATTCAGTCTCTGTCCCTCTCCCATCCCCTGACTTCATGCGGCAGGATGGCACCTCTGACCCCCAGTGCCACCTCTGTAGCGGCAGTTGCAGGACCCCCTCCTTCCTCCTTCCTGAGGGTTGGGCTCGTTCCCCTACAGGGATAGAGAGACCACGACTGCCCTGCATAGCCTGCAAGATGCTGTTGGCTGGGGCTGGGAGGTGGGGTTTGGTCCCGGCTGTGTTCAGGAGGACCTCTGATGACCTCTGAGTAGTGCTTGGGGGACACTGTGCTGTTCTCTCTCTCTCTCTCTCTCTCTCTCTCTCTCTCTCTCTCTCTCTCTCTCCTCCCCCTCCCTCCTTCCAGCTCCCTCTCTCCCTCTCTCTCCTTGTCTTTCACCCTCTGTCTCTCCCTCTTTCTCCTCTCCACCGCCCCCTTCCCTCTCTCTACTCCCTGAAGGCCTGCTCTCTCCTTCCTCAGCTCTGGCCCCTAGACACCCTCCTTCCACTTGGCCCCTACACAGAACTTTCTCCCCCCAGGCCACTGGGGGTCCCTCCAACCTCCAACTCTTGAGTCTCAGAACTGCAGCCCTTATTTTATTTGCAGAAACGGGGGTGGGGGGGACGGCCACACCTTGTGCCACTCAGGGCTCACTACTCCTGGTTCTCTACTTAGGAACTACTCCTGGCGGTGCTCAGGTCTTCTGTGTGCAAGCTGAACGCCTCCCCACTGTGCAATCTCCTCCTCCCACCCCCCCCAGAGTAACAGTTGAAGGCTTGCTTTATTCATTGTCTCTGAGAGCACTGTCCCCCTACTCTGCCATTTCCAGCAATACACACCACCACTACCCCCACCCCCCACCAAGCCTGACACTGCAACTGAGACATGAGCAAGGCATGGAGCTTTCTGGGAGCTCTGAGTACAGTGCTCCTCATTCTCCAGCTGTGTCCCTTGCTGTGTGGCCCTTTTCCCACTTCCGGGGTCCCAATCCTGGCACCTCCCTCTCTCGGGTTCCTTCCATTGTCTCTTCCACTATGGACCTTGGGGTTCAAGGGCCCTAAGTTGCGCCCCACCCCCTGCAGCATGAATTCCACTTTGCCTGCAGCCTAACCGTGAGCAGGGTGCGGGCAGCAGGCTGAAGGGTAGGGAAACCAGGGTGCCAGCCAGAGGGTGCCACGGGCTTCCCAGGGTCACAGCCGGGCAGGACCGGCCCCAGCTGCCCCACCCTTGCACTACCTCCCAGGCCCAACGCTTATCTTGTGCCCCTGAGCACCTTCCCTTCCAAATCTTAATCTCCAAAGGAGGGAAGCTGAAACCGGACCCTGCCCTAGATTTTGTTTTGTCTTTTATGGAGGGTGGGGAGGGGGCCACACTCAGCAAGATGCTCAGGGCTAGTCTTGGCTGTTCTCAGGGAATCTCCCCTCCCCCCCCAGGCCCCCCCCCCCCCCCCCCCCCGTGGTCTGGGGCTGGCTGTGGGCTAGGCCAGGCCTTCCCCTGGGTATCATGGATGGGGGTAGGCAGCTCACCTTCCCCCGGGACCACTGGGGTGGGGGCAGGAGCTGGTGAGGAAAGAGATTTCTCTATTTCCCTCCGGAGCAGCACCTAATTTAAGGGCAGGTGTGCAGCGAAAGGCTTTGTGGGGGGGAAATTACAAACTTTCTCAATGAGATCCCCAAGGGTTCTAGAACAATCAGAAAAGCCCTTGGGACTCTGAAGATGAGCTGCATTTGGCACCTGTCCACTGTTTTCACTAGCTTGACCAGGGGGGCAGAGAATGTAGGCTGGGGCCTTTGGGCCAGGGAGGGTGTGGCCAGAGAAGCACCTGGTGGGGGGGTCAGGGAGAAGGTCAGAGTCCAGCCCCAGTGCCCCCCACTTGACAACTCTGGGGCCTGCCCAGTGGGGAGGGCGCGCACCTTGCAGGAGGCCCACCCGGGCTCCATCCCTGCCATCCCACAGTGTCCCAGAGCCTGTCAGGAGTGTTCCCTGAGTACAGAGCCCAGGACAAGGGAGGAGGACAGTAGCCGGACAGGGAGATTGCCAAACCAGGCGGCAGGGCCAGAGGGGCTGGGCACCTGGGGGGGGGGGGCCACAGGCCCAGGGTCAAGACCTGGTTTCTGGGAGTAGCAGTAATTGCAGCCTTCTCTATCCCCGGGCTGGAGAGGGTTCTGGCCCAATCCTGGGGGCCACGGGCTTGAGATAAACTCCTTAAAACCATGGGTGTGGGCAGAATCGCAAATTCCTTTTTTTTTTTTTTTTTTTTTTTTTTTTTTTACTTTTTGGGTCACATCCGGCGATGCTCAGGCGTTAGTTCTGGTTCTGCACTCCGGAATTACTCCTGGCGGTGCTTGAGGGACCATATGGGATGTTAGGACTCAAACCTAGGTCTGCTACGTGCAACGCAAACGCCCTCCCCGCTGTACTATCGCTCCAGCCCAGAAGCCTGAATTCTGTTGGACCAGCAAAGGTTTGTCACAGTCCAGCACGTTCCGTGGATGCTGCAGACTTGTATTTTTAACAAGCCCCGAGAGACAGGGCTGCTTAGGGGACCACCTCAGGGATGGGGCCCCCAGGAGGCGAGAGGGCAGGGAGGTGGGTGCGCGGGGGGGGGGGCGGGGGGGGGGTCGGGGGAGACCCAGAGAGAAGAGGTTGGTGAGAGGGAAGCTGGGAAGGGGGTCTCTCCACACCCATGGATGAGGCCTGTTGGGAGGGGGGGTCCCAGCTCAGCGGGAAGGGGCTAACCCAGGATCCCTGAGCACCACTGGGTGTGGGCCCCAAAAAAACAAATTAGAAAGGTGGGCTAGGGCTTCTCCCAGCCCACCCAGCCCACCCTGGGGTAAACCTGGCCTGTCCCCTGGTCCTGTGACCCACGGGGGGCCTTCACGTACAAGTAGTACATCACGGTCCCCCCCTTCAAAGTCTCACTGGCACAATGAAGGGAGAAACTTGACATAATGGCTGCACCCCACTTGTTTGCAAAGGAGCATTGGGGAGAGAAGTTTGGCAGGAAAAGCTGCAGGTTCTGCAGTGAAACATGGCGTTCCGTCTGTTTGTCTGGGGCTACCGCGGCCATGCTCAGTTATTACTCCCAGTTCAGTGCTCAGGGACCATTCCTGGCTGGGCCTCCGGGACCATAGGACCAAACCCAGGCCACGTTTTCTAGCGGTAACATTTGAGGGGGTGGGGGCTAAGCAAACAACCCCCACAACTCACAAAGCAAAAGATGCACCGTTAATTGGGGGGCGGGGGTGACATAGTTTGTCCCAACTGTTAGGGGTCCCGCCCCGGTGGTATTCAGGAATTCCAACGGGGGGAGCGGGAGGGGGTCTGCAAGCCCAGGACCAGAGAGGTTGTCCAGACGGTTGAGTGGGTGCAGGAGACCCCCGGCACCACGTGGGCCCCAGAACCCCAAACTGGGAATAGCCCCTGAGAACGCCAAAAAAAAACAACAAAAGGCAAAATTTAATTTTTTTTTTAAAGCGAAACCAAACCAAAGCTCAACGTGTGCCCTAAAGAGCCCAGACGGGTGTGTTCTCCGCGGAGGCCTGGGCAGGAGTCGGGGCGCAGGAGCGCGGGGCTGCCAGGGCATCGCCTCGCCCGCACACCTGCGGGGCCCCGCGCGCGCGGAGCCGGGACCCCGAAGGCTTTCCCGCCTTTGCACCCCCCTCCCCTCCCCGAGCACTCTCCAGGGGGCACCGCCCGACCCGCGGGGACGCCCCAGCCCGCGACTCGGCGCTTCCCGCGCCCTGGGCACCGGCAGCCGCGTGCGCGGGGGTCTGCGCCCGCAGCCGCCCCCGGCCCGGGACGCACGTGCAGGGCGGACAATGCAACTCGGAGCGGGGGGCCCCGGCAGCCTGCGAGGAACTTGGCGGCGGCGCGGGCGCGTCCCGCCGGGCTGCTGGGGGTCTCGGGGGGCCGCGCCGCGGAACAATAGCGGGCAGCCCGGGGTGGGCGCGGGGCCCCCCGGGGTGCCGGCGCGGCGGGACAGGTCGGTGCGGGGGCCGCGCTGCAGCCGGGCCGCGGGCCCCCGCGCCCCGCGCCGCTCGGGAAACCCGCGCGGCCGCCCGCGCCCCGCGCCCCGTCCCGGCGGCGCCCGGCGCGGCCCCTTTAAGGCGGGCGCGGCCCGAGCGGGCGCGAGCGCGCGCGCCCCCCGCGGCGCCCCCGGGGCCCTCCCGCCCGCCGCCTTCGCGTTCCGGCGACGCTTAAGGGCGCCCGGCCGCGCGCTGCATTGTGGGAGCGGCCGGGCCCCGCGCTCGGGAGGAGGCGGAGGGCGCCGCGCGCACCGGTAAGCGCGGGCCGCGGGCTTAAAGGGGCGGCGGGGCGGGCGGCGGGACCCCTCGGGGCCGGCCCGGGGCGCGGCGCGGCGGCGGCGGCGGGCGCGGGGCCCGAGCCGGGCGGGCTGCCGGGGCCGCTTTAAAAGAGAAGCGCCGCCCGCGCGCCCCTCGGCCGCCGCCGCGCCCGGGCGGGGGCGCGGGCACGCACGGGTTAACCGGGCCCGCGGCCCCCGCGTGCGCCCCCCGCGTGCGCCCCCCGCGCCCCCGCCCGGGCGCCCCTTTGTCCCCGGGCGGCCGCGGGGCGCGGGGGCGCGGGCGGGGGGCGCCGCCTGCCCCCCCTCCCCGGCGGCGCGGGGCGGGTGGGGGGACCCGGGTAAGGCGGGCGGGGGGCGGCGGGCCCGGCGCATTGTGCGTCCCGGGGGGCGAGCGGGGTGCACCGGGAGTCATGCCGTGGGGGGGGCCCGGCGCGCGTCTCCCCCCCCCCCGCCCGCCCCTCCGCCCGCCGGGCAGTTGGTGGTCGCGGGGTCGGGGTCCGCGGGCAAGCGGAGCGCTCCCCTCCCCGGAGCCCCCACCCCCCACCCCGGCCCCCTGGGGAATGCGGAGACTGCAGTCGGGGCTAAGGTGTTTGCAACTTTTTTTTTTCTCCTTTCTTTTTCTTACCCCCTCTGATAAAAAGTTGGGGAAGATGTAAATTGCATTTAAAGGGAAGTGAGCCGCCCCCCCCACCCCCCGCCGCTCTCACCCTGCCTTTTTTTTTTTAAAACCCCTTTTTCCTTTTTTTTTTTTTAATTTCTTCGGCTGCGGATCGGAGATAGGAAAAAAAAAAAGGAAAAGGTCCGTGAGTCCTGTCCCCACCACCCCACCGCCCCGCGTCGGTGCTAATAGAGGGAGCAGCTAGCGCATTCCTTCCGGACCCTTCAGAGTGGAGGGGTTGCTTGGAGTTTTCCCAACTTGGCCTTTTGCTTTGCAAGCCCCCCCCCTTCCCCATCCTGTTTTGTACAGGTGGTTTACCTGGAAGTTGGGGGGATTTTACTCCTGTAGGCTTCAGACGCATCCTTGCTGTGCTGGTCCCAAATGTGGTCTTCTCTCCTGGGGGATGGGTGGGCAGTAAGCGTTTGCTTCCAAACCCAGGTTTTGTGAGCTCGTGGGTGCCCCAGGGTGGGAACTCCACAAACGGGAGGAATCAGGCTCTTGGTCATGAACTTGACTTAAACTGGCCCTGAACCGGGAATGTGTGCAGTGCTCGGGGGTCAGGGATGAACTGGGGTCTGCCGTGTGCCCAGTGCAGTGTCGGTCTGGAGGTTGGTAAACCCCTCAGAGCACCTGTGAGGTTTGGGGTCTCACATGAAGGGCATCTGACTTGGATGAGTTCCAGAAACTTCTGGTAGTACCAACAGCTAGTGATGTCGGTTCTGTGTCTGGTTTGAGTCCTGCAGTGAGTATCGGGCAGCGGAGTGCGTGCCGGTTTGGGTGGGATGTTTGCTTTCTAGGAAATACCGCTGCCTTCCAGCCGTGGTTCGCCCTGGATGGAGCGCAGGTGCTGAGTGGCCGTGGGGTGTTTGAAAGCCGTGTTCCTCCTTTCGGGAGGGGGGGCTTCCTATTAGGGCGGGATGGCGCCGTGGCCTTCAGCTCAGAGGGAAAAGTTTTTCCTTCCTGAGTGGGTTTGACCTTTCCGAAGAACGTCTTCTCCGCCGTTTCTAGTTGGGGGTGTTTGTTTTCTGGATGAGATTAGCAAGATACGAGGTTTTCCTGAAGGTTGGACATAGGGGTTCCTAGGAAGAGACTTGGGGCTTTGTGTTCTGGAGGGCACTGTGAGAGCCAGCTGGGGCTGGGCAGTGTCCTCCCCCCGCCCCCTACTCCAGGCGTGGCAGCCCAGCCCAGCCTCCCCTTCCTGGCAGATGCCAGGGAAAATCCTTTTAACTGTCTGTCTTTGTTTTGGCGCTGCCAGGGGGTCCGTGAAGAACCCAGCCAGCTTGGAGAGGGCGGGGAGGCGGCGTGCGCCCCAGAACCATGTCTACACGGGAGTCCTTTAACCCCGAAAGTTACGAATTGGACAAGAGCTTCCGGCTGACCCGGTTCACGGAACTCAAGGGCACGGGCTGCAAAGTGCCCCAGGACGTGCTGCAGAAGCTTCTGGAGTCCCTGCAGGAAAACCACTTCCAGGAAGATGAGCAGTTCCTGGGCGCCGTTATGCCCAGGCTTGGTAGGTACCACCTCATCTGCTCGGATTCCCCTCCTCCCAAAAAAAGCCAAACCAGGTCCCGGTGTTATCCGGATGTGTGCTTTCCCTGTGAGAAGGGTTGGAAGCGCAGTCACCGTTACGTTCTCTTTTTCTGGCTTGTTTGGGGGCTTAATTGCAACGCTCCGAGGGGCCAGAGCCATAGTGTGAGCACAGAGCCAGAAGTAAGCACTGAGCACCACCAGGTGTGACCGGAGCCTGCCTTTCCACACCAGAAGCCGCGCTGGAGCAAATGATCTCCTTAGCTGAGAGTCCCATGGAACCTCCTCGCTGGCCCTCTCCTACAGCTCTCTGTCAAACCCTTGTCTTAAGCCAGGAAAACACTGCTAGACGTGGCAGCCCCGTCCCCAAAGCCAGAGCTTCTCAAAAGAGGCTGGTGGGGACCCCCAATCTCAAAGACCGCAGGGTCGTGGGGAAGGCCTAGTGGGCGTCCCATGCTGCCTGCCCCTCCTGTTTTCACTCTGGTTTTGCTTGTTTTGGGGTCACACCTGGCAGTGCTCAGGGCTTACTCCAGGGAGGGTTGGGGGACCAGCTTGGGTGCTGGCGATTGAACCCGGGTTGTTGCGTGCAAGGCAAAATGTGCTGTGCTGTGCTGTGGCTCTGGTATGAACTGGTCTGGGCTCTCAAGCTTTAGTGTTCTGCTCTGTAAAATGGGTTAATACTGTCTGTCATTGCTGCTTCCCAGGAAACGCGTCTCCTGTGTCTGTACACTCAAGGCCGCGTGTTTGTTTCTGTGTTCCGTGTCCCCGTGAAAATGATTGTGCCGTGCTCTAAAGTGGCGTCAGCTGCAAGTTTTTTTTAATGGACCCGAGTTTCTGATGTTCTTTTATCCCGGGAATTGCCTTTGATCCAGGCCCATCTGACCTGGCACCCGAGAGCCTAGGCCAGGCTTGTCCTTTCCTTGACTGCCTGACCCAGGCTCCTCCCAGAGCTGGCCTGTCCCCATTTCCCCAGGCCCCTGGCGGGCTGACCCTTAGATTGTGGACACGTGGAGTGAGCCGGGTAGAGCAGTGGTGTCCAGGGGGATGGGGTGTGAGCCAACTTTGCAAGTCTAGGCAGACAGCAGTGAGACAGCAATTGGGTAAACTGAGCCAGCCTGCCCCCACAGTTCCGGTAGACTTGGAATATTGGAGCATGCGACTCATTGAGAACATCGCTAATGGAGCCCCAAGCCACAGAACAGCCAGCCCAGATTTGATTCCCGGCACCCCCTGGGGTCCTTCCCCCCCCCCCCCCCCCCCCAAGTATCCCTGGGTGTGGCTCCAAACCTTTTTTTTTTTTGAAGCTTAAAAGACCTCACACGTGAGGTGCTGGTGCTGAGTGAAGTCTGGTGAGGCTGCTTAGACCTCTTCACCCTCTCAAGGTCCCCTGTGGCCAGCCAGTGCCCTGCTGGACAGGACAAGGCCCCGGGGGCGGCCTCTGGGTTCCATCCCCAGCACTGCAGGAAGACAGACCACTTCTGATGCGGGTGTAAATATGTACGAAACAGCCCACAAAGGAAGAGATTTAATTCCAAGTGGTCACTCAAATCAGAAACACTTGAAGCCAGAGTTCCAGAGGGGTTTGCGTCGTTTCCAGTAATTCTGTCGCTGAGAGGGAAATTTGGAAAGCGCCCGCTGCCTGCCTCCCTCCCAGAGGGAGCGGTGGCACCCTCGGAGGAGCCCCGGGGTTAGGGTCCTGCTGGGGGAGAAGCGGCAGGCAGGGCGAGGCACTGTCCGGGTGTCCTGGAGCAGTTTCTGAGAACTCTTGCACACAGTGCTCTCGGGATGAGCCTGGGTGTGGCAGCTGGCGAAGTGGGTTCTGAGGGCACAGACCTGGGGAGCTTCCCTCGTGACCCGCTGCCCCTTCCGAGCGTTTCTGCTTCGCCTATTCTTCGGTGGTTTTTGTTTTGGGGGCCATACTTGGCAGTGCTGGGGGGACCCGGTGGGGTGCTGGGGAGCAAACCCTGGTCAGCTGCGTGCAAGGCCAGCGCTCTGCACTCTCTCTCTGGCCCCTTCCGGGGATGCTTAGAGAATTATGGCTTGCAGCACGAGCCTTGGCTGCTGTTTGCATTTCACAGGGGAGCATCCGGTGTGGGCGGGGGGTGGCCAGCCCTGAGGCCTGCGGTGCCGTGGGGGGCCCTCCATGTTTTATGAGTTGCCGGGGCAAGAGAAGAGCGACCCCGAGAGGCAGGAACCATGCCTGCCTGCCCTGTTGGTGCCTTGTGCATTCCCGTCCCAGGCCAGGAGCCAGCACAGGTCCCTGGTCCCCGAGGCTTTGCTGGACCCCAGCACGGAGCCCCCTGCACGGCCGCAGTTCCCTCCCCCGTCTGACGAGGGCCCCTCGCTTCCCCACAGGCATCGGCATGGACACGTGTGTCATTCCCCTGCGGCACGGCGGCCTGTCCCTGGTGCAGACCACCGACTATATCTACCCCATCGTCGACGACCCCTACATGATGGTGAGTGGTGGCTGTGCCTCCTTTCTCTGCTGCTGTTCCTGGACAAGGGTTGCTGGACCCGGCGATCAAACACTGGTCCATGCAGTGTCAGCCCTAGCAGCTCAGGGAAGCTCCCAGCTGGGCAAGACGTGGTCCGGGGTGGACATGCCCATCCTGCACATGTGCCCTGACTGCCAGCCTGGACCCCTGCAGAGCTCTTGGCCAACGCCCATCCCCCCTGGCCCCCGCGCCACTCCCCTGCACCTGGGCCTGTGCCTTGGCTCCCTCCGCTCTGCCGGCCATGCCCCAGGGAGACTGGGCAGGGGGCAGAGGGCCGGGGGGAGACAGAGGTGCCTCCTCCTGTATTGGGGGCCATACCCAGTGGCGCTTGGACAGCCCTTGGCAGTACCAGTGCAGGGCTCAGGCAGGGCTGGTCAACCAGACACAAGGCAAGCGCCTGGGCTGGACCGTCCGAGTTCCCAAGCCCCAGTGTCCCACGGTGCCTGCCCGCTCCGTGGTGTTCGCGCTCCGAGGGGCAGAGCCCGGGAAGGCTGCGTGCTGGGGAGGGAAGCGGGGTCCCCTGCTCCGTCCTGCCACCGACCCTGCTCTGTCTCCTCCCTCCCTCCAGGGCAGGATCGCCTGCGCCAACGTCCTCAGCGACCTCTACGCCATGGGGGTGACCGAGTGTGACAACATGCTGATGCTGCTGGGGGTCAGCAACAAGATGACGGACAGGGTGAGGCCCGGGCCGTGGGGGGCCAGAAGCCGGCTGCTCTCCCCGCGCGTGGGCTGTGCCCAGGTGGCACTCGGCCTGGCGCCCACATCACCCATTGCGGTGCTTTGTGTGAACAGCCCTTGTGTTGGTTTCTGTCCCCGTGAGGGAGATGACCCCTTCCCGCACTCCTGCAACCCCAGATATGCTTGTGGGAAGGGGCGCAGGGGCCTCGGGGGGCTTCGCAGCTGGTGCCTGAGCAGCCCAATGGGCAGGTCTGGGCCCAACTGGCTCGGAGTTAGCCGAGTGCCAGTTATCTTTTGAGGGGTGGCGGGAGGGGCTGTTGGATTTGGGGGCCACGGCCATCAGTGCTTGGGGGACCACACGGGCTGCCAGGGATCAAACCTGGGTCGGCAGTGTGCAAGACGTGGACAGTCCTAGCTGCTGTACTGTTGCCCCGCCCCGGTGGGGTTCTTGGGTCCTTTACGATGTTCTGGCGGGCTCTTCTGGGTTCTGAGCTGAATGATGTGACTCTGAATTTTTGTCCTCTTGCACCCTAGGAAAGGGATAAAGTGATACCCCTAATTATACAGGGCTTCAAAGATGCAGCCGAGGAGGCAGGGACGTCTGTGACGGGCGGCCAGACCGTGCTGAACCCCTGGATTGTCCTGGGCGGAGTGGCCACCACGGTCTGCCAACCCAATGAGTTCATCATGTGAGTCTGTCTTCGAGGGCCAGAGAAGTGGCTCAGTGGGCAGAGCACGTGCTCCACTGCAGGAGACCTGGGCTCTGATTTTGGCACCTCCCGGTTCCCCTAAGCTGGGAGTTTTCCTCCGCCAAACACACACCTGCACAGGCGCGCACGCAGCCCCCTTCTGAGTGATCACCTCAGACGTATGTTCTGGTGCTTTCGTGGGCCCGTGACCAACACAGTGCCAACGTGCCATGCAGGACATCCCCTTAGCAGCCAGGCGTCCTGGCTCTGGCCCTGGGGGGCTTGAGACTTCGTGTTTAAGACTCAGTCAGTCTGACTGTGGCCCGGGGACGGCGTGTGCGGCCCCTCGGTTCCATCACAACTGAATAGAACGTCTGGTTTTAAAAAGTTGGTCCTGTTTTAAGACTCGTAGATTTATTTTTGTGTGTTTGGGTCACACCAGTGCTGTTCGGGACTTGCCCTGGCTTTGTGCTCAGGTCACTCCTGGCAGGCTCCCGTGGGGGCGTTGGGCGGGCAGGTCGGCCCCCTCTGCTGACGGCTCCTGTCACTCAGCTCACCGTCTTCACCCAAAAGTTAGCACCTTGAAGTGCTCCCTTTGTCGGGGCTATGCCTCTGTCACCCCATCTAGCACCCAGTCGCCTCAAGTCAGCCTCCAGGCAACCGTCCTTCCTTGTCTCCAGGCTGTTGGGACTATGGGGGCTCAGCCCTGCGTGTCCCAACCCTGGTCCCTCCCCTCCCCATCTCGCTGCCTTTCCAGGAACGGTGGCTGTCAGCACCGTTCCTCCTGCTGTCTGGGCGGGAGAGAGTTCTGGGCTTCTGTCTCCGAGTCTACTGCACTGGTCCCCAGGCCCGGGTCCCGGGCGTGTGCAGGGCGGACCCTCAACGCTGTCTGCAGCTGGTGCCCTGCCCGGCTCTGTGTCTCTCCGAGACTCGCCATCACCTGTGTCTTCCCGGTGGCCAATGGCCAAGCGCTTTCTCCGAAGGTACTTTGTGGCCCCTTGAGGGTCTTTGGAGGAATTTCTCTGCGTGTCGCAGGCCCAGGTGGGTGCTCGGGAAAGCGCCCAGCACCCTTTCTGTGGGGATTCTCCCCAGGTGGATACAGCCATTGGCAGACTTTCCCCATGGCCGGGGTGAACGGCCCTGTAGCCACTTGTCCTCTGCATCCCCCTCTGCGGAGTGAGGCGGGTCAATTCACAGAACCAGCTTCACGGGCGCTGCCTGTGAACACCAAGCCAGCGGTGCTGGTGAGGGTCACTGAGCGGTGAGGGGCGCACAGCACCCCGGCCTGCCTGGTGTTGGCTTCATGCAGGCCCGTGGAGTCAAGTCTTCCCGCCCTGCTGGGCTGCGGTAGCTCCCGCCCGCCCACCTCTCACCCACCCCAGCTGATGCTTTTCTCCCGCAGGCCAGACAACGCCGTGCCGGGGGACGTGCTCGTGCTGACTAAACCCCTGGGGACGCAAGTGGCCGTAGCCGTGCATCAGTGGCTGGACATTGTGAGTGACCCCGCCTGTAGGGGGCTGGGCAAGGGGTGGGGGCACTCTCTGTGCCCATCATGGCCCGCCAGGTCTGTTCATGACGCAGCCTCAGTGCTGCGGGAACTCCGGGACATGGTCAGGGCTGGACCAGGGCGCTACCTGCTGGGCACCGGGATTGCTCCCCAGCACCACAGAACAGCCAATCCGCGAACACCGTGCCTGTCCAGAGCAGAGAATGCGCGTTCTGGTGTGGGGACACTCTGGGTAGTTGGCAGTTTGCATGACTTTAGTCATGAGGGTCTTTTGGGCCATAGTTTTGTCTTTGTTTTGTTTTGGGGCCACACCCGGCTTTGCTTTGTTCCTGAACAAAGCCAGAGGTGACCCCTGAGCACCGCCGGGTGTGGCTCTAAAACTCAACAAAGAAACCCCCAAAATAAAAAGACTCCCCAGCGGATGATGCTGTCCTCTTTTTGGCTCAGAGTAGAGATTAACCCTCTCCCTCCCTGTTGTGGTCAGCCTGAGAAGTGGAATAAAATCAAGTTGGTGGTCACGCAGGAGGATGTGGAGCTGGCGTATCAGGAGGCCATGATGAATATGGCCAGGCTCAACAGGACAGGTACAAGGGCGCCGGGGTGGGTCTCGGGGCGCATCCCACTGGTGCCGGTCATGGACCGAGGCTGCACTGCCCCAAACAGCATCACTACCTGCATTTTTTCCCAAAACCTTTTCTATGTTTAGCTGGTTGTTTAATTTTGTTCATGTTATAAGTGATAGATTTTTATGCATTTTACATGCACGTGGAGCCTGCTTTTTCCCATTGAGCATCACAAACTCACCCCTCGGGGGGCTGGAGAGAGAGCACAGCAGGTAGGGCGCTTGCCTTGCACTCCGGCTGACCTGGGTTCGATTCCCAGCATCCCATATGGTCCCCTGAGCACCGCCAGGAGTAATTCCTGAGTGCAGAGCCAGGAGTAATCCCTGTGCCTTGCCGGGTGTGACCCCAAAAAGCAAAAAAAAAAAACCCTCGTGTTTGTTTGCCGCATGTGATTTTTTAATGACTATGCACTAGGGATATGTGTGGTTCTTTCTCCTGCACCTGAACAGTCTTTTTTTGTTTGTTGGGGGCTGCATTCAGAGTTTCTTAGGACTCCTGGCTCTGTGCTCAGGGATCACTCCTGGTAGGGGTCGGGGCAACCGTTAACGAGGGATTGAACCCGGGTCAGCCACGTGCCAATGCCCAACTTTCCATACTCTTTCTCCAGCCCAGACACTTCCTTTTTTAAATCTGGGGGCTGGAGTGGTCCAGTACCACGGGTCAGTGCTTGCGTCGGGCGCGGCCGCATGGGATTGCCTTCGCCCCTGGGCGGTAAGGGCCGATGCTGGTTCCGGAGTGGCCACGAGGCTTTGATGGAGAACTGGGGTCACTGTGGTCGCTGGGAGGTGCAGGCAGGCCACGAGTTGGAATTTGCATGTGCAGGGGCCCCCACAGTCTCAGCCCCCAGCCCCGCAGTGACGTGCCCCTGTCCCCTTAGCCGCAGGCCTCATGCACACGTTCAACGCCCACGCGGCCACGGACATCACGGGCTTCGGCATCCTGGGCCACGCGCAGAACCTGGCCAGGCAGCAGCGCAATGAGGTGTCCTTCGTCATCCACAACCTGCCCGTGCTGGCCAAGATGGCAGCCGTGAGCAAGGCCTGCGGCAACATGTTCGGCCTCATGCACGGCACCTGCCCCGAGACCTCAGGTACACAGCGTGTGAGTGCACACGCGGGAGTGCTCGTGGATATGCATGGTGTGTGCGTGTGGTGTGTGCATGCTCATGTGAGTCTTCATGCTCGCGTGTGGTGTTTGTGTGTGAGCCTGCAGGGGTGTGTGTGGTGTGTGCGTGCTCGCATGTGGCATGGGTACACGTGTGTGGGTGCGAGTCACTGCCCTCTGTGGGGCCAATCTGGGCTCTGAGCTAAGACTCGCTTGTGACTTGTAGAAGCAGCGTTGGAAGGGGGACCCATGTGCATGGGTGACATTGGACAGGCTCCTTTTTATTTTTTTTCCCCCCTTAGAAATACATGTTTAAAATCCCCAACTAGGGACTAGAGCAATAGCACAGTGGGTAGGGCGTTTGCCTTGCACGCGGCCAACTAAAGTTCGATTCCCAGCATCCCATATGGCCCCCTGAGCACCATCAGGAGTAATTCCTGAGTGCAGAGCCAGGAGTAACCCCTGTGCATGGCTGGGTGTGACCCCAAAAAAAGCAAAAAAAAATAATAAAAAATAAAATCACCAACTAGTGAAAGGGGGAACAGCAGGCCTTGAAGCGCCTATTTTCTCTGACCCTCTCCCCTTCCATGTCCCCAGACCCCTGCTTCACCTTTCTGTGTGTGTGAACCATGCCCGGCTGCGCGCAGGGCTTACTCCTGGCTTTGTGCTCAGGAATTATTGAGCTGGCATGTTGCCAAGCCCAGTTTCATCCCTGGTACCCCCTATGGTCCCCTGAGCACCGCCAGGTGTGCCCCCAGCTGGAGAGAGCCTGGCCATCTGTGCTTTGCACGCGCACACACACACACACACACACACACAGTAGACCCAGTGTGACCACCCCCCAGGCCCAGCTACCTGCAATTCCCCAGCGTGTGGTGGAAAAGGGCAGCCCTGCCCGGCCTGTGTGCAGGGAGCCCGGAGTCTTTCTCCCTCAGTATTAGGGCTTGCCACTAGGTGACGCTGTGCTCGTCCTGTTTTCCCGTACTGGGGCTCACCGACTGATAATGCTAATGCCGGGTCCCTCAGTGGGGGGTGTTGGATTGAGGGGCATGTGACTGGGGCCGTGGCTGACTGTCTCCTCCCCCTAGGAGGGCTCCTGATCTGCCTCCCTCGAGAGCAGGCCGCCCGCTTCTGTGCGGAGATCAAGTCGCCCAAGTACGGGGAGGGCCATCAGGCCTGGATCATCGGCATCGTGGAGAAGGGCAACCGCACGGCCCGGATCATAGACAAGCCCCGGATCATCGAGGTCGCCCCCCAGGTGGCCACGCAGAACGTCAACCCCACGCCCGGCGCCACCTCCTAATCGAGACCCGCGTCTCCGCTCAGTTTGGTTTCTAGATCCGTTTTCTCTCGTCACTTCAGTTCAAGACTTCGAGCAGCAGCAGAAGCAGCAGCAGCAGCAACAGAATCCTCGTCCACACAGCCGGGACTCAGGGCACGCGGAAGGCTGCGAGTGGCAGAATAGAGTCCAAGGCCTTTTTTCCTTTCTTCCTTTTTTCTTTTTTTTTTTTTTCCTTTTTTTCCTGTTACATTAACTGAAGCTGCTCCCCGTCTCGGCGGCTTCTGAGTTGAGAATGATATTATTATCCAATACTGTTGATTCATTTTGAATCTTTAGACACTTACTCTTGCCACACAGGCGCTTCCGGACGGTGCTTCCCTGCAGCACAGACATTTCGCCCCACCCGTGCCCCCAAGCCCCGTCTTCGCTCGGTGTATTGATCACTGTCAGCATCTGGACGGGATTCGGGACAGGGGCATGGTCGGCGGCGCCAGGCCAGCTCAGTGTCCTCAGGAAGGTTGCACAGTTCCTTCCCGGCTCTGGTGCATACGCCCCGTCCGTCCATTCATCGTCGTCGTATCCGAGGCCAGGCCGTCTCCCAAGGTCCACTCACTGCTCAGTGACCAGTGCTTCACTCTGCATGGGAAGCACCTTGAAGACAGGGGGAAAAAAAAGTCATTTCTCACTTTGTAGCCTTCCTGATACTCACAGTAATACCATTAACCATTGTCTTTATTGGTAGCAAAAAAAAAAGGTACCTTTTGCAACTGTAATTAGATGTTCTATAGTACAAGGCATTGCCTTCCCGGTGTCCTGTATAATTCTCATTCACAATTCAAGATAATTAATTACTCCAATAATTTTTAATGTAATCGATGATAAGGACTGTCCAATGGATGGTGGTGTTAAAAAATGCCTTTTATATTTTGTATAGTGATTTGCAGGCCTTTTTTTTTTTTTCAAATCAGTTGCCGTTTAGCCTGATTCTTAACCTTTTTTTTTTTTTGTCCCTTACGCCGTAATTTTTGTGCACGCTTCTATGATCTGTGTTTAAAAACAAAACAAAACCCAACGACCACACTGCATCGCCAGCAGCCTGAACTGAAACTTGTTATTCGAATAAATATTTAATTTTTTTTAATGCTCTTGTATAATCAGATGCCCCTTTTAGTATTATTTTAGAAGTGTGGGGAGGGTTTTGGCTAAAATACAATTTATTGGGGGAGAAACTAGATTTTAGTTTTATAAAACTTTTAAGTCTTTCATGGGACCTATATTTTCTTGAATTAAATTTTGTAGTTCTAGCGCAAATAGGCACTGTCCACAGGTGTTTCTCTGTCACCCAGAACGGAGGCTTCCTTCTTCACCCCAGCCCGCGGAGAAACTCCTCGGCGTTAAGCACAAGCCTGTCCCGATGGCCCACGCCCGCCGCCCCAGCCACTCACCAAAGGAAGCGGCCCTGGAGACGAGCTTGGGGCCGGCTCTGGCTGGCCTCCGCAGGACCCAGCACCGCCTTCGTGCACGTGGAACTGAAACTCAAGCCATAGGCCAGAGCACGGCGGCCCCGAGCCACGCGCATGGACACACTTGTAGCAACTGAGCCGGCCATCGGCCCTCCAAAGCCACACGCAGTGGTCTGCAAAATAAAATGTGTTGGAACCCTCTGAGTAAGAGACAGACCGAGGAAGTGTTGTGGTGTGTTTGTATAGTGTGGCAGAGGGCAAGGATGTGCTCCTGGGCAGCGGGCAGGGCCGAAGGAGGTGGGCTGCCCGCGTGGACGCGGCTGTGGAGGGAAGGCTGGTCCACGTGGCCCCCAGAGGAAGAAGGGATCTCCGGGGGCCGCTTTCCTAGAGACGGTCTGGGCCTTCAGGCCCATCCCCACCCGGCCCCTGCAGGGGGCTGAGACTTGTTTTGCAAAAGACCCTTCTCCAGCAATTTTGAGTTCTGGGGGTTGACGTCTGGTCCCCCCAATAAGTATCTTAAGTCCCCTGAACCAGGTGACTCTAGGGGAATTTTAATTCTTGGCAGAAACAGATAATGTAGAAGGTTGGGTTTTTTGGTTTCTGTCTGGGGACCACACCCGGTGGTGCTCAGTGCTGATCCCTGGCTCTGCAACAAGGGATCACTTGAGGAAGGGGGTCCATGAGAGATGCTGGGGTGCCTCAGGGTGGCCACCTGCAAGACAAGTGCCTGACCACTCAGGCCCCTTTTGTTTTTCTCCTGGTTTGGTTTTGGACCAACACCTGGTGGTTCCCAGGGCTGACTCCTGGCTCTGTTCAGGGGTCACTCCTGGCAGAGCTCAGAGGACCACATAGGAGCCAGGGATTGAACACGGGCTATGCATGCGCAAGGCAAGAGCCTTCCCTGCTGCCACAAGTTTCCATCCCCGAGCCAGATTTCAATAATTAGAGCTTGGCAGGGCTGGAGAGAGAGCACAGCGGGTAGGGCGTATTCCTTGCATGCGGCCGACCCGGGTTCGATTTCCAGCATCCCATGTGGTCCCCTGAGCACCGCCAGGAGAACTGAGTGCAGAGCCAGGAGTAACCCCTGTGTATTGCCAGGTGTGACCCAAAAAAGCAAAAAAATAATTAGAGCTTGGCTAAGGAGGAGAGAATCTTGGTTTCCTGACTGCATGGGACAAAGTCATACTGAGGCTGTATATATGCTGGTACCCCAATCCTTTGGCCCTGCAATAAAAAGTGTGAAAAAGCGGGGGTCTCTGGCTAGGGGAATTTCTCTGCTCTGCCTGGGACCCACAGCTGCACTTGTGACTGTCAGAGACGGTGCTCAAGAGCTTAGCAGTCCCAGATGAGAAGTGAAGTATGAGACGCAGTATTAAGTAGTGACACTCGGGCTCCATGTTCATTTGTAGTCTTTGGATTCGCCAGCCCTGGACTGAAGCCTGAGCGTTTCCAACGGTCTGGATTAGAGAGACAACCTGTCTTTCTGTAACAACACCTTAGGATAGGATCAGAATGATAGGACTAGAGCAATAGTAACAGCGGGGAGGGCGTTTGCCTTGCACACGGCCAACCCGGGTTCCGTCCCCAGCATTCCATAGGATCCCCCGAGTCCCACCAGGAGTAATAATGCCTGAGTAACCTCTGTGCATTGACAGGTGTGACCCAAAACAAAATTTAAAAGATCAGAATGATGGGGCTGGAGCAATAGCACAGCGGGTAGGGCGTTTGCCTTGCATGCGGCCGACCCGGGTTCGATTCCCAGCATCCCATATGGTCCCCTGAGCACCGCCAGGAGTAATTCCTGAGTGCATGAACCAGGAGTAACCCCTGTGCATCGCTGGGTGTGACCCAAAAAGCAAAAAAAGATCAGAATGATAAACTTCTAATCTTGCCTTTAAGAGATGGGGAATGACTGTCCGTCCGTAGAGCCCAGAGGACCCGCCTTGTCCTGTTCATTTGGGACAGCCGGCGAGCAGGCACGGGGAACAAGGCTGAGCAGCAGACGTGCTTGCCTGCGCTGCCTGTCCGGACATGTGCATTTCTCTGCACTTCAGACACTGCCAAGGCGGTGTGTGTGCGTGTGTCTGTGTGTGAGACGTCACTCGAGTGTGGTGTGTGTGCAGGGCTGTTTCCCTGAGCTGCTTGTTTTACTCCCTTCATCCCTGCCTGAGGCTGGCTGCTTTGTCACCGTTACTTACTGTCAGTGATTCCCACTTTTCCTCCTTTAAGATCCAGGCTTTAAGATCCTTCAAGATCCATGAGGTTTAGATTGGGTGCCCGCCCTCGCCCCTTCCTTGTTTATACTGTGATGGGCCTGAACACCCTTCCAGGGATGACCCACATCCGGCTGGGGTGCTCACACCCAGGAGTTGGCCTTGCTATAGTTTTATTGTGCACACGTGGGTAGTTGCTGCTCACAAGTGGACTCAGGCATGGTGCTCACTTGGGGTCCCAGTCCGCAGGGACTTGGCCTTGCTCAAGCGTCAGAGCCGCCACACCCGTGTGAGCACACGTGGGACTCCGGGGATTGGGGTTCCTTGCAGATGCCCCTAAACCTGTGTCATTTCTCCACCCCACCCAGGAGGCAAACTGGTCCCCAAGGAAAGCCAATCGATTCGTGTCCTTGTTGGGAAAGCCTGAGGATCACAGCTCCATCCCAGCTGAAACCAGGAGGGCTGGCTGGAGAGACCTTGACTAGGACGGCTGGTGGGACAGACGCTCACAGAGGTCCAGACACGTCACGACTTGCCGGGAAGTGGCTTGTGGTGCCGTGCTGGGCTTAGTCAGCGGCCCTTGAGCAAAACATGTCTCAGATCTGCTCTCGGGCGTCCTGTCCTGCATGCTTCACGGCTCTGTCCGGCTCTCAGCAGTCGGTTCTTTGGCAGCAGTTGGTTGTGAGCTGCTTCTGGACCTTTGGTGGCTGTTTGAGGAAAGGGAGTGTAAATGCAATTGGGAAGTTATTTACGTACTCGCAAAACGAAGATATTTGAAGGAATATATTATGGACTAGACTCGTCTCTTCTGTACTTTTTTTTTCCTTTTTGGGTGACACCCGACAATGCATAGGGGTTCTTCCTGGCTCTGCACTCAGGAATGACTCCTCGCGGTGCTCGGGGGACCATATGGGATGCTGGGGATTGAACCTACGTCAGCTGCTTGCAAGGCAAACGCCCTCCCCGCTGTCCTATGGCTCTGGCGCCTCATCTGGACTTCTTATTGGTCTAAAGCCTCAAGGACATGCCCTGTGGTGTGGGTGAGGGTGCAAGTCCTGTGGATGACTGGCATTTCTAGTGCTGTTGTTGAACGTCCCCTCCGGTGGTGCAGTGCCCACTTCTGACCCGAGGAGGGCAGTAGGCGCCTCACACATCCCTGCCGGGTAATACTACCAAAAGGACAAGAACAATTAATTTATTGACTGCTTTCGTTTTGGGGGGGTCACCGCGGGCGGTGCTCAGGCAGCGCTCAGGAGTCCCTCCTGGCGGGGCTCCGGGATGAGGGCGACCCCAGAGGATGCCAGGAGCTGACCCAGGGTGGGTCTTTTGCGCAGGGCCCACGCCACAAACCGGCCTCTGCTCTTTAGGACTGGGCTGCCGGCCCATCAGCCGACTCTGCTGCCCAGCGAGTGTCCCAGCTAGTGACTGCAAACCCTGCAACCGGTGCATCCCTTGCTGAGCTCCGGCCGGCGGCAGGCCGGGTGCGTGTCCTCCCGGGCCCGCTGGCCGGGCCGGGGTGGCAGGTCGGACCGTGCGTGCGGTGTCCCGGCGCGCCCACTGCGCAACGCGGCCCCGCCCGTCCCGGTCCCCGCCCGGCCGGAGGCGGAGCCGCGCGCCGGGTTAAAGAGTGGCCTCGGCCAGCGCGGGCGTCCCGGTCACCAACGCCATGGACGAGCCGCGCGCCGCCGCCCGCCTGCGCCTGGTGCTGGGCCACCTCGGTCGCCCCGCGGCCGGCACCAGCGCCGTATCCTTTGGGCCGCGCGGGCCAGGCCGCGTCGGGCCGGGTCGGGCCGGGCCGAAGCGCGGAGGGGAGGCCTGCGGGGCGCTGGCCCCGGGTGGGTGGGATGCGGCCCTGCGCACGGCCCAGGAGAGGGTCGGGGGCAGCCAAAGAGCAGCAGGGCGAGCCCCCCGCGCCCCAGGGCGCCCCTCAGCCCGCAGCTCTGCGCCCGCTGTCCTGTCCTGCCGCCCTGGCCGTCGTCCCGGAGGCCAGCGCTCAGCTGACTGGTCACTTTTTGTCCTTGGTCGTGACGTCGTGACCTCTAATGTCCTGGAAATGTCGAGGCAGGAGGGGGTGCGGGGGAGCTGGAGGGCCTGTTCTGGGGGGCTCCCGGTGCAAATAGCTAGGGTGCTGGGTTTTTTTGTTGTTTGTTTTTGGCTTTTTGGGTCACACCCAAAAAGGCTCAGGGGTCACTCCTGGCTCTGCACTCAGGAATTCCTCCTGGTGGTGCTCAGGGGACCATATGGGATGCTAGGACTCGAACCGGGTTAGGCCACATGCAAGGCAAACGCCCTACCTGCTGTGCTATTGCTCCAGCCCCCTAGGGTGCTGTTCTGACTAATAGGACCCATGGGGCTGGCCATGCCCCAGTGCCCGCTGCCTGCCTGGGTCTTAGGGAGGGAGCTGGGCTCCAAAAGGAGTGGGGGGGGGGAGGCAGGGTGGAGCCAGGTCAGCCTCCAGTCACCCCTTTGCCTTGTCTGCTGGTACTGGTCCAAGTCCCTGGCCACTGTGGCCAGGAGTGACCACTGAGCACAGAGCCAGGAGTAGCCCAACACCCCTGGTGTGGCCCTACCCCGGCCGTGCCCCTCAGAAAAAAAAGGAATAAAATGGGTTGGGGGCGGGAGATAGGGTAGGGCCTTTGGCTTTCCGACAGGGCTGATCCCTGAATCCTGCAGGGTGAGGCCCCAAAACCAAACAAAGTGGAAAATTGGTCCTTCTACGCCCCATAAATCAGACATGTGTACCGGGTTGTCCTTCTGCGCCCCATAAATCAGACGTGTGTACTGTTTGCACTGCTCGGGTTGTCTGAGCCAGGGTGCTTAGGAAGCGCCCAGAATATTCTGAGGGACTTTTCCTTCCAACTGTCCCCGCTGGCCTCTGAGTGTTGGAGTCTTGGGTGGTTCTAGTGACTGGTTTTCCCTTCGCTTCTCTGCAGCTCAGTTGTGATGGAGCAGGGTAATTTATTGTCTCAGCTCCTGTCCCAGGGCTGATGGAGGGGGTGGAGGAGGCTGATTGTGAAATCTCGTTTTACAGGTCGGATGGCACACACAGAGACTGGGCGAGAGAGGTTTTCGCTCCAAGGTCATTCACACCGGGCCCGTGCGCTGAAAATGCAGCTTCCTGGGTCCCTCGGACCTGTCAGAGGCCCTGAGCCGGGCTGCTCCTGAGGTTTCAGGCCCTGGCCGTCCCGAGCATCCCCAATGTCCCTGGGCTGCAGGAGTGGCTCTGAGGAAGGCTCCTCAGCCTGATTCTCAACAGAGAGCAGTGTTCAAGGCCTTTTCCCCTGCTAACTTGCTAACCTAGTTTATTGGTTTCTGAACCATACCCAGCAGTGCTCAGAGCTTACTCCTGGCTCTGTGCTCAGGGGTCGCTCCTGGTGGTGCTCGGGAACCCAGATGTGGTTCCACATCAGGGTTGGCTCATGTGAGGCAAACGCCCTGCCCACTGTGCTATCACTCCAGCCCCATCCCGGGTTTTAACTGACTCCTGCAGAAGTGTGCATTCTGGAGTGAGGATCATGGTTTTTTGAAATAGAGACCGTGAGAGAGTTTTCACCGTGTTTGGTATGAAGAAGAGAAGGTATCCCCGAATTCCACTGCCCGCTCATTTGTCAAGTTTCAGTGTTCCTTTTGGATGTACCTGCATCACTGTGTGATTAGATCATTAGAATCAGACTGTGTGAGCAGCCCTTAGCTCCCACTCAGTTATTTGTGGAAGCCTTCGCTAATCACCTAGAAAACATGGGCACGGGGGCAGAGCGATGGGACAGTGGGTAGGGCACTTGCCTTGCACATAGCTGATCCAGGTTTGATTTCTGGCACTCCCAAGCCCCAACCGGAGTGACCCCTGAGCACAGAGCCAGGAGTAAGCTCTGATCCTGAGCCCCACCCAGGGTGGCCCAAAAATTGAAAAACAAAGAGGAGGAAACCAAAACAGAGGAGTCATAGGACAGTGGGGAGGACGCTGGGATGAGTCCCTAGGTTTGAATCCCAGCTTCCCATATGGTCCCCTAAGGCGGCCAGGAGTGATTCCTGAGCACAGAGCCAGGAGTAAGCCCTGAGCACTGCTGGGGGCAACGTCCAAACCAAGCAACCCTAACAAACACGAACCGCTGTGGAATAAACAGTGACTGAGCGTGGCATGGACCCCCTCAGGTGCAATTCTGAATATCCCAGAGAAATGGCTCTTCTCCCTTCTTCCTGCACTCTGACCCACACCGGGCCAGTACCCTGCCCGCTCTATTTGCTCTCCAATCCTCCTGCTTCTCTTTCAAAATTTATTTTATCTTATTTTAATTTTATTTTTGGATTTTGGGCCACTCCTGGCAAGGTTCGGGTGTGAGGGATTGAAGCTGGGTTGCCACAAGCAAGGCATTTGCTTTGCCCCTGTTTGACCTCTCAGGCTCGACATTTGACCTTAATTCACACCCTAGGTCGCTCACCCCACCTCAGGGGGTGTGTATCCGGCCACTTCCCATCCTCAAAAATTCCAGTAAGTAGATCTCTTTATTTTATTTATTTTTAAATTCTTTTTGATTTGGGGTGCATCCCTGACAGTGCTGAGGGCTACTCCTCGCTCTGTGTTCAGGGCCTGCCCCTGGTGATGCTCCGGATTGGGGATCTCAACCCATTGACCTGCCCACCCGTGTTCAGTGTCTCCGGGACTGGGAGGTGACTCAGAGGCAGAGCACAAGCCCGGGAGGGCCCTGGGTTCCATTCCCAGCACCTCAAAAAAAAGTGGGGGTTGGGGCCGGAGCATCAGTACAGTGGGGAAGGCATTTGCCTTGCATGTGGCCGCCCCGGGTCTGATCCCGGCATCCCATGTGGGACCCCAGCACCGCCAGGAGGGATTCCTGAGTGCAGAGGTAGGAATAAGCCCCAAGCACAACCGGGCGTGGTGAAGAAAAGAAAGCCGAAGTAAAGCAAAGAAAGATCTTAGGGACAAATGCAGAGTGGGCACTGTGGCGCTCCTCCGGTTTGGGCCCTGCTGTGTGGGCGTCTTGCAGCCGCACGTCCCGGGGTTCTCTCTTCTCTTCAGGTACACGCACGACAACAACTTGCTGAGCCTGGAGCAGAGGAAATTCTATGAAGAAAATGGCTTTCTTGTCATTAAAAAGCTGGTGTCTGACGAGAACATCGAACGCTACAGGTGACGCCAGGAGCCCGCTGTCCGGTGGGGGACCCAGCTGGGCTTTGGGGCACAGCAGAGACTTCCCGTGAGGTCAGCGCCTGACCATGGTGCCCTCAGGCCCAGCCTCTGGCCTGTAGAAAGGGCTGGCCTCAGCCCTGCCCCCAGAGTCTGGGTATAGGGGAGCGACGCTGAGAGAGCGCAGGTGGGCGTGAGGGAGAGTGGGCGGGGCGGGCCCATAGAATGCTCAGTCAGGCTGTGGAGACCCCCCAGCTCTGAGGGTGCCTGGCTGTCCCCAGCACTGCAGGGCTGGAGCAGGAGGGTCGCCTGAGCACCATTTAGGAGTCCTCTCACCCTCCCACCACACACACACACACACACACTCCACACACACACACACATACATACACACCACATATGCATACACTACACATATATACATATGCACCACATGTACATATACCACACACATACACACACATGCACACCACACATACATACACCACACATACATACACCACACATACATACATACACACATACACCACATATACCACACACACACTTCACACACAGACATACACACACGTACACATACATGCATATATACCACATACTCATACACCACACACACCACACCATACACACACCCCACACACACATGCATAACACACGACACATATATACATCATACACACATCACACACACACACGTACACACACATACATACATCACACACACACACTCCACACACAGACATACACACACGTACACACACATACGTACACACCACACATGCATACGGCACATACACACGCACGTGTGCACACACCTTCCCCACGCCAGGAAGGCCTGAGCCCGCGGTCAGGACCCTTGTCCCTCTGGTCGTGCAGTGCCATCCCCTGCAGCAGTCCCGGGCAGGGCCTCTGGGGCTCGCGGTCCGTCTGGAGCGGCTGGCTTGGTTCTCGTCCCGCAGGAAGGAGTTTGAGCGGATCTGCAGGAAGGAGGTGAAGCCCCTCGGGCTGATGGTCATGAAGGACGTGAGCATCGCCAAGACGGTCAAGGACTCCAACGAGCGGGTGGTGACCAAGGTGCAGGACTTCCAGGAGGATGAGGAGCTCTTCAGCTACTGCAAGCTGCCGGAGGTACATGCCTGGATGGCAGGAGTGAATGAATGAATCAATGAATAAGTTCTTGGGGCGTCAGGGAGGCCTGATCAGAGGCGTGCCTGAGGGAGGAAGCCCCTGGCTCACTACATGTCCACTCGAGCCCCATCCCCATGGTATCCCCTGGATTCTGGAATCTTCCTTACCTACCTTCTTGGTTCTTATATAAAGCTATGCTTAGAGGCCAGAGCAATAGTACTGCGGGGAGGGCACTTGCCTTGCACACGGCCAACAGGGGTTCAATCCCCGGCATCTCGTATGGTCCCTGGAGCCAGGAGTAACCCCTGAGCATTGCCAGGTGTGACCCCAACAGCAAACAAACAAGCAAAAGTATGCCTGGCCATGACCGGCCCCTTCGCATTGTGCATGACCTCTCTTCGCTTTTCCTTAGATTCTGAAATATGTGGAGTGTTTCACCGGCCCCAATATCATGGCCATGCACACGATGCTGATCAACAAGCCGCCGGACACGGGTAAGTGCCCTGGCTCTGCTGGAGAAGCCATCCAGACTCCTGGGTGGCCACCCAGACGGCAGCCTGTGTCCCGTCCCACTGCTGGGCTTCACATGTGAGGCTGCTCCTTCTCTGGGCTTGATCCTGGGGCCCAGGGGTGACTTCAGATGTGAGATGCAGTTAACCCTGATCACTCTCGGCCTGCGGCGTGAGTGCAGGTGATCATAGATGTAGCCTGACCCAACGACGTTATTATGCCCAACTGCAAGTCCCTGATGCAGCTGTTCCTCACTTTATCTCATATGCTGCTGGGGCTCGAACCTGGGGCCTTACGCACACAAGGCAGGTGCTGTCCTGCCGGGCCATTTCGCTGGCCTCGGCCCTTTCCATTTCTGGGTTGGACTGACTAAAATCCAGCTCATAGGAGGAGTCCGAGCAATAGGACAGCAGGGAAGGCACATTTGCAGCAGACCTGGGTTCCATCCCTGGCATCCCATATGGTCCCCAGCCGAGCACTGGCGGCAGGCACTCCTGAGCCAGGAGTAATCCCTGCGTGTTGCTGACTGTAGCCCCCAAACAAAAACAATAATAATAATAAATAAATAAAACCCAGCACGTGAGGGACTTATTCAGAGGCAGAACCCAGGACGCTGCTTTTCTTTTATATATATATGGATTGAAGTTCTGTGACAGTATGGTTAATAATGGTTTACCACGTCCATAATTCCAACACCATCCCCATCAGCGTACCTACCTCCCTTCCCCCAGGTTCCCAACGTCCCCTACCCCCCTCAACCTGCCACAAACTCTGTTGGTTTTGGTGGACTTTTTTGGCTTTTTTTTTTTTTTGGTTACACCCAGCAATGCTCAGGGATTACTCCTGGCTCCAAACTTAGGAATTCCTCCTGGCGGTGCTCTGGGCACCACATGGGTGTGAGGGGTCGAACCCAGGGTCAGCTCTGTGCAAGGCAAATGCCCCACCCACTGTAGCACCCCTGCCCCAAGCTGCATTTTCTTTTTTCCTTTTCGCTTTTCGTGTCACACCCAGCGACGCTCAGGGTGTGACTGGACTCAGGAATCACTGCTGGCAGTGCTCAGGGAAACCATATGGGATGTGTGGGCTCAAGCAAGCCTGGTGGCTTACGCAGCAGGTGACACAGGTGTCCCCTCTCAGGCAAGAAGACCTCCCGGCACCCGCTGCACCAGGACCTGCACTATTTCCCCTTCCGACCCAGTGACAACATCGTCTGTGCCTGGACAGCGATGGAGCACATTGACCGCAACAATGGCTGCCTGGTGGTGATCCCCGGCACGCACAAGGGTACCCTGCTGCCGCACGGCTACCCAAAATGGGAGGTGGGTGCTCCCGAGGCTGTCACAGTCTCTTCATGCCCAGATAGAGCACCCCCCAACCCCAGGAAAATGCTCTCTCTTCTTTTCCTCCTCCTCCTCCTCCTCCTCCACCTCCTCCTCCTCCTCCACCTCTGCCTCCTCCTCCTCCTCCTCCTCCTCTTCTTCTCCCTCTCTCCTCCTTTTTCTCCTCCTCTTTTGTTTGTTTGTTTGTTTGGGGGCACACCCAGCAGTGCCCAGAGCTTACTCCTGGTTCTGCACTCAGAAATTACCCTGGTGGTGCTCAGGGGACCATATGGGATGCTAGGGATCGAACCCATGTAGGGATCGAGCCACATGCAAGGCAAACACCCTTCCTGCTGTGCTATTGCTCTAGCCCCTCGTTTCTTTCTTCTTGATTATTTATTTGGGGGGGGGGTGATGGGGTGGGGACCACGTGGTGCTGGGATCTCTGTTTTCTTTTCCCTTTTTGTTTTTTTTTTGGGGGGGGAGGGAGCTGTATGCAGCAATGCTCAGGACTCATCCCTATATGCAGCAGTGCTCAGGGATTACTCCCAGCTCTGTGCTCCAAGGACCATATGGAGTGCCACATTCAAGGCAGGAACCCCACCGGTATAATGTGTCTCCAGCTCCCAACTTTCTTTTGGGTCATACCTGGCGATGCACAGGGGTTACTCCTGGCTCTGCACTCAGGAATTACCCCTGGCGTTGCTCAGGGGACCATATGGGATGCTGGGAATCGAACCTGGATCGGCCGTGTGGTGCAAGGCAAACGCCTTACCCGCTGTGCTATCGCTCCAGCCCCTCCCAACTTTCTTTAAATTTTGTTTTTTTGTCTTTTTGAGCTGCATCTGACTGTGCCCTCAGGGCTTATTCCTGGCCCTGGGCTCAGGGGGCCACCCTTGGGGGCTCTGGACCAGGTGATGTGCTCAGGATGCAGCCAGGGTGAGGTGCAAGCAAGGCAAGCGCCCTCCTCCTGACTGTCTCTGCAGCCACAGTCTGTTTGACGCCTCTCCTTGTGGCATGCGAGCATGTAGCGGATTTCTGTAGACATCTCGCAGTGTGGATGTACGCATTCTTCCTGGCCAGGAAGAGAGCTGCTTTGTTTTTGTCATATGGAGATTGAGCCCAGAACCTCACACCTCCAGTCATGTGCTTGGACACTCTACCAACCTAGGGTTGTGACTTTTTTCTTTTCCTTTTACTCAATTAAAAAAAAAAAAAGTTCAGGGAAGTTCTCAATTCAATTTCTATGTTAAAAGTCCAAGGACTGCTTCAGAATATCACTGTCACTGTCACTGTCCTCCCGTTGTTCATCGATTTGCTCGAGTGGGCCCAGTAACGTCTCCATTGTGACAATTATTACTGTGTTTTGGCATATTGAATATGTCACAGGTAGCTTGCCAGGCTTTGCTGTGCGGGCGAGATACTCTCAGTAGCTTGCCGGGCTTCAGGCCCTCCCGTTGATCGTCGATTTGCTCGAGCGGGCCCAGTAACGTCTCCATTGGAGACTTTGTTGTTACTGTGTCTGGCATATCAAATACTCTTGGTAGCTTGCCGGGCTCTCCGAGAGGGGCGGAGGAATCGAACTCGGGTCGGCCATGTTGGCTGCGTGCAAGGCAGACGCCCTACCCGCTGTGCTATCGCTCCTCCTTGCCGGGCTTCAGAATATACCATTTTTTTTTTCAACTTAAAAAATAAACCTTCTTAGAGTCAGAGTAATAGTAGAGCGGGGAGGGCGTTTGCCTTGCACGTGGCTGACCCAAGTTCAATCCCCGGCATCCCATAAGGTTCCCGAGCACCACCAGGAGTAATTCTTGAGTGCAGAGCCAGGAGTAATCCCTGAGCATCTCCAGGTGTGGTCAAACAAAGCCAAAAAAACCTTTTTTTGGTCAACATTTGGCTTCCTAAAACCAAACATCAGAGAAATGTTTGTGTCTTTGACTCTCATAAGAATTCAATTTCTGGGGCTGGAGTGATAGCACAGCAGGTAGGGCGTTTGCCTTGCACGCGTCCGACCCAGGTTTGATTCCCAGCATCCCATAGGGTCCCCCAAGCACCACCAGGAGTAACTCCTGAATGCAGAGCCAGGAGTAACCCCTGAGCATTGCCAGGTATGACCCAAAAAAGAAAAAATTCAATTTGTCGGACTAGAGATATGGTCAAGGGCTTCAGACACTTGCCTTTCCTGAAGCTACCACCACCACGAGAGAGCCTTGAGCACAGAGCCAGAAGTAATCCCTGAGCACAGAGCCAGGAGTAAGCCCTGAGCACAGAGTCTAGCGTTAACCTTGAGCACAGAGCCAGGAGTAAGCCCTTGAGCACTGCTAGGTGTGGCCCAAAGCAACAAAACAAAACAAACTGGAATTTCTCTCTCTCTCTCTCTCTCTCTCTCTCTCTCTCTCTCTCTCTCTCTCTCCCTCTCTCTCCCTCCCTGTCTCTCTCTCTCTCTCTCTCTCTCTCTCTCTGTTTCTCTCTCTCTCTGTCTCTCTCCCCTGGTCTTGGGGGGCCCATGCTGACTGGTGGTCAGCGCTCGGCTTCCCCAGGTGCAGATGTGACTGTCCCTGTGTGTTCTAGGGGGGCGTGAACATAATGTTCCACGGCATTCAGGACTACGATGAGAACAACCAGCGGGTGCACCTTGTGATGGAGAAGGGGGACACGGTCTTCTTCCACCCACTGCTCATCCACGGGTCTGGCCGGAACAAGACCCAGGGCTTCCGGAAGGTGAGTGTGCACAGGGCTGCCCTTTCCAACACCAGCAGGCTGGTCAGCCCGGGGCCCAGGCCGAAGACGTGACTGCCGTGGGTGACACTGCGTGCAGGGGAGCTTGTGCCTGCTCTATCTGCCTGCTGCTTCCTCACACTTCTCAGGATGGAGCCGGTGACCACAGGACTCTGCCCTACTGGCATATTTGCCAAGCCACGTCAGAGCCCAGCTGCCCTGACTCTCCAGCCCCCAAGCAGTCTCAGTCATGGGATTTCGGTGTTCTGTTAAACTTGGTTGAGGGCCAGACTAGCTAGCACAAAGGGTAGGACATTTGCCTTGCACTTGGCCAACCTGGGTTCCATCTCTGGCATCCCACAGGGTCCCTCTGAGTGCAGAGCCAGGAGTAAGCCCTGAGCATCACCAGAGGTGGCCTCAGAACTAAAACAGTAAACTTGACTGAGAAAGTGCTGATTCCCCAGTGTGTGATCTAAAGTTCAGTCTGTCAGGGAGCACCGTGACTCACAGTCCCAGCACCCAGGATGGGGCTTGGATACAGAGATGGGGTATCCCAGTGCTGGCAGGAGAGTGAATAACTGAGGCCCGTTCCCACGAATCTCGGCCACCTCTCCGATGCCAAGGATGCCCCCCACTTCGTCTTCCATTTGTTCGTATTTCCAACAGATCGGGCTGGAGAGGGGGTAGGATGTTTGCACGCAGCCGACCCCAGGGTCAGTCCCCGGCATCCCATCTGGTTCCCCCATATTTCCAGCAGGTGGATGGGGTGCTGCTCAGGAGAATACATGCTTTGCACATGCGAAGTCCTGGGCTCAGTCCCTGGCACCACATACACACACCACACACATATGCACGGACAAATGAATACACACACACACACACACACACACACACACACACACACCATTCACACACCACTCACCTTTCCCTCAGATTTATTTATTTATTTATTTATTTTTGCTCTTTGGGTCACACCCGGCAATGCACAGGGGTTACTCCTGGCTCTGTGCTCAGGAATTACCCCTGGCAGTGCTCAGGCGACCATATGGGATGCTGGGAATCGAACCCGGTTTGGCCGCGTGCAAGGCAAACGCCCTACCCGCTGTGCTATTGCTCTAGCCCCCTCAGATTTAAAAGGTCTGGCAAGAAGGTCCCTCTCCTCAGGTTCAAAATTCAAAACTTGAGGGGGTGCCAGAAAATTAAAGTTCTCAAGGAGCTGGAGAGATAGCACAGAGACAGGTAAGGTGCTGCCTCAGTCTGCGGCCGCGCAGAATCAGTCTCCGGTCCCCCAAGCAGCCCCGGGAGTGAGTCCTGAGCGCAGAGCCGGGAGTCAGCCCCGGGCATGGCTGGTAATCAGCTGGCATTGTCACGGCCCTGGAGGGCATGACTGCTTGAGAAATTAGCCAACAGGGGCTGGCACAGCAGGATCTCACCCACACAGCGCTGTTCAGCTGGAACGCAGAGCAGACGGGGGCTGCTGGAGCTGGGGCCGGGGGCCAGGGGTGATGACTCCATCCCGGGAACCACGCCCAGCAAAGCCAGTCCGCTCATGCATTCGAGGATCATGATGGCTGTAGATCCTGAAAGCCGAGATCCTCAAAGTCGATCCTGAAAGCCCTCCCAGGGGCCGCAGACGTGGCCAGGGTCAGGAGTGATCCTGAGCGCAGAGCTGGAGGTGGCCCTGAGCACCGCCAGGTGTGACCCCACCTTCCCCACTGCCCGCCAAGCACATGCATGGAAGCGCCTGTACTTTGTCCTTTCACCTCTAGCTCGAGAACAAACAGCAGCTGGAGGCCAGAGGCAGCGGGCCGGGCCAGAGAGACCCGTCAACCGGCCGCTTTTCTTCATGTTTGGTTTGGGCCACACCCCACAGTGCTCTGGGCCTCCTCCTGGCTCTGTGCTCAAGGATCACTCCTAGAAGGCACGTGCAGAGCAAGTGCCTTTGATGTGTTATCTTGGGGGCCCCTGAACACGTGGTTGGTATGGAGGAGACTCAGGTTTGAACCCGCTACTACTTGGTATCTTGAGCACGGAGCTGGGGGCACTCCTGAGCACAGAGCTGGGAGCACCCCCTGAGCACAGAGCTGGGAGTCACTTCCAAGCACCACTGGCTTTGACTCTAAACCTCCTACAGATAAGCAAAAACAAAGGGACCAGTTTCCCACCTGGAGCTCACATGCTGACCCTTCCCTGGGGGGCCTGGGGTCCGGGGGCTGCAGTCCCAGCAATGCTTCTGCCCACCCAGGCCATCTCCTGCCACTATGCCAGCGCTGACTGCCAGTACATCGACGTGAAGGGCACCACCCAGGAGAACATCGAGAAGGAGATCGTGGACATTGCGGATAAGATGCTGGGCCTTGAAGGGAAGCTCGACCTGAAGGTACACCTGGAGGGGGGACAAGGCCGACATGGGGGTCTCGGGAATCTCACCGCAGAGATTCACTGATCTCAGACCCGCTCCCGAGCCCTGCTGAGCCCCCATGGTTTCAGCGCTGGATCTCGGGGTCCCAGATAAGAGAGGAAGCTGGAGGAGGGGAGTAGGGTCAAAGGGCACCTTTGGGAGGAGGTGCAGGAGGGAACCGGGATGTGTCTAACTTAACGTCAGCCCGAAGGTCAAACCCCACGAACAAGCCCGACACGCCAGGGTTCCTGGGTGCCGAGCCAGGGAAGGGTGGGTAGGAGGAGCGAGAGGAGCACGGGGAGCGGGCAGTGCATCCTGCAGGTTAGAGACACACTCAGGGATTCCCTGAGACCCAGAACCATTGGGGAGCCCAGAGCAGCTGTGTCGGCCCGTTTCTGTGTCCAGGCGGGTCTGTACTGCAGCCTAGACGGACAGTGACCAGGGCTGGTGGCTTATTCGTAAATCGCGTTTAGCTCATGCCCTTTGGAGGATCTTTAGACAATGAATGGGTCAGTGAAGGCAGCGTCAGACGTAATCCCTTCCTTAGCCTCTGAGCCAGACCTGATGCTCTTCTGTTTGGGGGCCACAGCGCAGTGGTGCTCGGGGCTCAGTCCTGGTGGGGCTCTGGGGAGGCTATGGGGTACTTGGGGGTCAAACCCAGGTCACCGGCATGCAAGGCAAGCCCCTCCCTGCTGTACTGTGGCTCCACCCCTGCCCAGCCCCCATCTCTCCTTTGAACGTGGGACTCCCAGCCAGCATTGCCCTGTGGCGCCAGGGATCAAACTCAAGGCTGTGCACAGCTTTGGGCTGTGCGTCACCCGAGTCCCGCCCAAACACAGCCCAGCGACTGGCCTCGGGACCGCAGGGCACAGGGGACACAGCTCCAGTGCAGGGACGGTTTGAATGGCACCATCGCTGTCTCCCAGCCCTTTGCTCTTTGCTCAGAGGATAAACAAAAGGCCCCAGCATGCGCCTTGTGGGCGCTGGGCTGTGGGTCCCATCTGGCTTCACCGGAGTCACCCTGGTGACCCCAAGCACTGTAGCCTCGAAAACAGAGCCCCCCCAAAGAAGAACTAGGTTTAAAAGCTGGAATCGGGGGCTGGAACGATAACACAGCAGTAGGGCATTTGCTTGCAGGCAGCTGACCCGGGTTCGATCTTCAGCATCCCATATGGTCCCCTGAGCACCACCAGGACTAATTCCTGAGTGCAAAGCCAGGAGTAATTCCTGAGCATGGCCAGGTGTGACCCAAAAAGAAAATAATAATAATAATAATAATAATAATTAAAAGCTGAAATCATTTCATGAGAGCAAATGGGGGTTAGGCAGGGAATGCTGGCAGGTAAATCAGTCACGCCAGACCTGGTCTGCTGGACTCGTCCGGTCAGCAGGGAATAGGCACCCGGGAGCAGAGCCAGCGGGGGAAGGGCAGGATCTCGTGGCCAGCTGTGAGGAGAGCTTTGCGGACATTGGGACACAGTTCCGAAGTGGCTCTCTTGGGATCCTGGAGGACAGGTGCAGTGCCAGGCCTCCCAGCTGGGCTTCCTGCCTGCCTGCAGAGCCGAACTCCAGGCCTCCGCCCCCGCGGTCCACGCCGGGGGCCCCCCATTCCACACTGGAGTCCCAGGATAGGGTCTGTTCACCCTCGGGGAGGACAGGACAGGGCTTCTGCTCTCTATTCTGCAGTTGCCAGAGAGGTCAGCCTTCTAGTGAGGGAGCCAGGGGATGGCCACTGACTCACTCTGGCGTCATTTCCAGGATGTCTGGCAGTTCCGAGCACGGCTTGTGAAGGGAGAGAGGAACAACCTGTGAGAGAACCCTTCGCCGCTGCCCTTTCTGAGACCCCAAGGAAACGGGACTCTCTGAAGATGGTTTCCTCACGAGGCTGTGGGGATCGTGGCTGGTGCCTGCTAACACAATCAAAGTGTGGATGCTGGGTCCGTGGGCATGCGGGTGATTTTGCCGCTTAATTTACAGTGAGTTGCGCAGATGCAGAGATGGTGAGCTTGCAGTGTTACTAAGAGAACAGACTTAGGTCACCACTAATAAAGCCAATGGATGTCTAACTAAATGGTGTGCAGTTTCTTGCACTGGAGGGACTCTTGCTGGGTGAGAGTGAACACGTGATGCCACGTGGGCTGGTGCGCCCCTCCCACGGGAAACCCAGCCCCCGCATGGCAGGCCTGGGACAATGATCAGCACAAATACATCTAAGCCAGGGCCGGGAAGGGTGCTGTGCAGTAGATCTGGTGCTTGGATAGAGATGCCATGAGACGCCTCCGACGCAGGCAGAGTCTCTGTCCTGATGCTTTTTGCCGATGCAGACACAGACCTGCCCTCTGAAGCAAGTTCTTTCACTGAGCAAGATGTTATTTCTCATGTATTCATTAGTTGGAGGGACAGAGGCCTTGGGGATACACTCGGCTGTGCTCAGGGGTTATTCCTGGCCCTGTGCTCAGATATCAATCCTGGGAGGGCTCAGGGAACCATAGGGGGTGCCCAGGGTCGGACTCGGGTTGGCAGTATGCAAGGCAAGTGCCCTCCCCACTGTCCCTCCAGCACTATTTTTTTGTTTGTTCATTTTTGGGTCACACATGGTGATGTTCAGGGGTTCCTCCTAGCTCTGTGCCCAGGGATCACTCCTGGCAGTGCTTGTAGGACCATATGGGACGCTGGGGCTCAAACCCAGTTTGGCCGTGTACAAGGCAAGCGCTCTCCCCGCTGTCCCATTGCCCTGGCCCCTCCACTACTATTTTTAAAGTTTTAATGGAAATCACCTTGCCTATAGCATTGTGTAGGTTTATGGTTACATCAAATCCTGTATCTGTATAAGCTATATTCTTTTTGTTTCGGTTTTTGTTTGGTTGGTTTTTGGGCCACGTCCAGCAATGCTCAGGGGTTTCTCCTGACTCTGCACTCAGAAGTTACTCCCGGAAGTGCTCAGGGGACCCTGTGGGATATCAGGGATTGAACCCGGGTTGGTCGCAGCCATGGCTCCTGGGAGCTGGCCAGCAGAGAGACTAGCCCTAATTAGAAGGCTGGGTCTGTCTGGCCTCTGTTCTCCAGAGAGGCTGTAAGCAGAGTCCTTAATTGTATCATCACTCGGTCCTCGCTGGGTCCCAGCCCAGGGGGCCTGTGGGGGCTTGGGGTTGGTCCATATCTCCCTGTGCCTGGAGGACAATTGACCCCCAACTCCAAAGGGACGGGAGCACCGCAGGGGGTTACAGCTCCTGGCTTGGGGCTTTCTCCAGGCTCATCCTAAGCCCCCCTTCCGCAGGCTGCTTGCTGGAGGGCTGGGGAGACCGTTAGTACAGGGGTTAGGTGTCTGCCTTGCGTGCCATTGGACTTGACCATACCATCATGGCATCTGGGTTCCCAGGAGTGAACCTGGAGCATTGCTGAGAGTGGCCAAAAAAACCCTGAAAAAAAAATAATAAAAGGTCCAGGCTGACCTCTGAACCACTGAAAGTCTAAGTGAGCAGCTTTGAGGTCATAGCAGGACAACTCTGCATTTTGCAATCTGCTGGGGGTGAGGGCAGGCACACCCCAAAGTAAAGGGGCAAAATGCACAGCTCTAGGTTTTGATTAAAAGATAGTCAGCCCTGCTTATCATGATGTTCTTGTTTAAAAAATTGCCGATAATTCTTTAATAATAAATAATTGCATGCAGCCGACCCGAGTTCAAATCCTCCGTCCCTCTCAGAGAGCCCGGCAAGCTACTGAGAGTATCTCGCCCACCCGGTAGAGCCTGGCAAGCGCTCTGTGGCGTATTCTATATGCCAAAAACAATAACAAGTCTCACAATGGAGACGTTACTGGTGCCCGCTTGAGCAAATCGATGAACAACGGGAGGACAGTGCTACATATATAATTTTAGGGGGCCAGAGTGATAGCACAGCGGGTAGAGCATTTGCCTTGCATGCGGCCGACCCGGGTTCAATCCCTGGCATCCCATAAGGTCCCCCAAGCACCACCAGGAGTAATTCCTGAGTGCAGAGCCAGGAGTAACCCCTGAGCATCGCTGGATGTGACCCAAAAAGAAAAAAAATTGGGGCTGGAGAGATAGCACAGCAGGTAGGGCATATTTGTCTTGCACACGGCCGACCCGGGTTCGATTCCCAGCATCCCATATGGTCCCCTGAGCACTGCCAGGGGTGATTCCTGAGTGCAGAGCCAGGAGTGGCCCCTGTGCGTCGCCGGGTGTGACCCAAAAAGCAAAATAAATAAATAAATAATTTAAGAAGTTGTGAAAGGATTCTTGTAATTTCTAGATGCTGGAGAACAGGTAACATCAATAATGACCGGTCACAAACGCTTTTCTGGTTCTGGTGGCTCCCATCTCTTTGCTTTCCACCAAATACCAAGAAGCTCTAAGGAACCTATTCACGGAGAGGTCCTGGCAAATAGCATACGGTGATCCATCACTGGCTTTTGGTGTATAATTCAGAAAACTTTCAAAGAATCGAGTGAGTGAGGTTGCTCTAATGAGATTCTGCCTCATCTTATTTACAAGGGGACGTTTCATTAGCTCTTCTATCTATGAAAGTCATAAAGTAGAAGAATATGTCGCTGAAGCCCATCCCAGACTAACGAGTGATAGGTCCTGTGTACCTGGAGTCTAATCTGCAAACAATGACAGTTCAGGAAGAAATGTTTCACGGTTATTTAAAACCTTTTATTTTTTTACCTTTGAGTAATAATGATTAGGTTGGGCTGTTATGGGCTAACATTCATTGCAATGACAGCTCAGAAGAAAGCAGATCGGACACAGTTAGAAATGTGGGCTGAGAAAAATCACTGGTTGGTTGGTTAGTTTGTGGGCCACACCCAGCGATGCTCAGGGCTTACTCCTGGCTCTGCACTCAGGAATCACTCCTGATGGTGTTTGGGAGACCCTCTGGGATATGGGGGATTCAACCCAGGTCAGCTGTGCAAGGCAAACGCCCTCCCTGCCATACTATTGCTCTGGCCTCCTGAGTGAGTGACTTTTGAGCTTAAAGATGTTAACAAGGAAAATATTTTATGAAGGGGAAATATTTTGTGAAGAAAAAGCATAAAAACCGGCCTGGGGACCTTGGCATTTACGAGCCCATTGCTATGGACTAGAAATGCCTTCAAACAAAGAAGAAACTAAGTTTTCTATAATTATAAAGAGTCTATTTTCTCTCTTCCTTTCTCTCGCTAATGATCATCCACTAGATGGCTATTAAATCACTATTCTATTTGGAGTCCACTGGGTAGAACTGAGATAATCTAGGGGCCGGAGAGAGAGCACAGCAGATCAGGCGCTGGCCTTGCCTGTGGCCTGCCTGAGTGAGCTTCCCGGCACCCCCCACAGTCCCCTAAGGCCCCCCGCACGTGGCTTCTGAGCGCAGACAGCCAGGACAGTCCTGCTGAGCACAGAGCTAGGCCCTAAGGACCACCAGGTGCGACCCACCACCAATATTAACCCCTACAACGTGTTTAAAATTACCTGTGATTATTTAAATTTATTCTACTTAAGGCACGTAAAGCAAATCAGTTTTCCAAAACCTTTTAGGGGAGACTGTGATTGACTTTGCGTTTAGAGAACACTCCATTCAACTACTCCACAAACAACTGTTTTCTTTACAAACGAACCTAAACTTGGGCTGGAGCAGTAGGAGAGCAGGGAGGGCGTTTGCTTTGCAGCCAGCCAACCCAGGGTCAACCCCCAGCACTGCACAGGGTCCCCCGAGCACCTCCAGGAGTGATCCCTGAACACAGAGCCAGGAGTAAACGCTGGGCATTGCTGGGTGTGATTCTCTCCCATTCTCTCCCCCCGCCCCCCCCCCAAAAAAAAGGCCTCAGCTAATTTCACAGGATTGAAATCATACTAATTGATAAGTATATTCTCTAACCACAAAGTGCAGCAAAGAAAAAACAGATCTGGAAAAGTCCCCGACCATTTGGAAACTAAAGCACATATTTTTCTTTTCTTTTTATTATTATTTTTGTTGTTTTTTTTTTTGCTTTTTGGGGTGATACCAGGCAATACTCAGAGGTTCCTCCTGGCTCTGCACTCAGGAGTTACTTCTGGTGGTGCTCAGGGGATCCTATGGGATGCTGGGGATCGAACCCGGGTCGGCCACCTGCAAGGCAAACACCCTCCCCGCTGTGCTATTGCTCCAGCCCCAAGGAAATATTTTTCAATAACCCCCAAGTCAAAGAAATGACGCAGAGAATCACAGATCGGTTAGGAAGGTGTCACGCTCAGAAGTGTGGGTGAGCTGAGAAGGGCCCCTCTGCCGGCCTTGTTTCTGGAAGGGGTGACACACATGCGGGCGAGCCTGCTTCACGGCGCAGTCGACCCCCCTCCACTCTCAGCCCCTTCCCCACTGCCAGCCACCTGCTGGAACATTCCATCCCACCCCTGCCGTTCACTCCCCAGCTGTTTCCAGAGCCTCAGAGGTCAGTGATGCTGCCCAGCTGGCCAGTGGCTGCCTGTCTGGCTGCTCCTGCCCTCCTCCCTGGGCACGCGGCCAACTCAGGCGATAAGGTCATCTGCTCAGGCCTGGGGACACCTCGTTCCCGGCTGAGTCACCCTGCCACCCTGAGCTGCGCAAGCCACATTCCCTGCTTGCACATGACCCACCTTGCTTAATCCTCAGGGTTCTCTTCTTCGTGGAAGGAAAACCACCACGGTGAGTTTCCCATATGTAAGAAATTGGACCGAGTGATCGGAAAGAGCACAGTGGGTGAGGCGCCTCACTAGTGTGCGGATGACCCAGCACCCCATTTGGTTTCCCAAGCGCTGCCAGGAGTGAGCCTTGAGCACAGAGTCAGGAGTGACCTGAGCACAGAGCCGGGAGTGACCCTGAGCACAGAGCCGGGACTGAGCTCTGAGCACAGAGCTGGGAATGACCCTGAGCACAGAGCCGGGAGTGAGTCCTGAGCACAGAGCCAGGACTCAATCCTGAGCACAGAGCTGGGAGTGACCCTGAGCACAGAGCCGGGAGTGAGCTCTGAGCACAGAGCCAGGAGTGAGCTCTGAGCACAGAGCCAGGAGTGAGCTCTGAGCACAGAGCCGGGAGTGACCCTGAGCACAGAGCCGGGAGTGACCCTGAGCACTGCCTGGTGAGACCCCTGACACCAACAGCACGGTGTTCGCTCTTACTGCCTCCTTGCTCAGCCCACACCATCCTGTGTCTGCCAACACTTCTGGCCTCGCCTCTGGCCGTCCCCACTGCCGGGGCAATGACATCTGCCAACGCCTCTGGCCTCGCCTCCGGCTGCCTCACTTACCAGGGCTATGACAGGGCTGCACACCGAGGGTGGCCCTCCTGGCTGGGCTCTGGGGAGACCACATGTGGCCGGTGGGGCCGGCGGCGTCTCCTTGGCATGGCGGGGACCTCTGGCGAGCGCCGGGAGAGATCAAGTCTTCCACAGGAAGCAGGAAGCAGGGATGTCTTCGGAAACCACGGCCTGACTCACCCGCTGTATGAGCACCATCACTCCAGGGGCCCTCAGCTAATTGGAACTTTCCCTGGCTCCACGGTTATAAACAAGCCCTATTTTTATTTATTTATTTGTTTATATTGAATCACCGTGAGATACAGCTACAAAGCTTTCATGTTTGAGTTTCAGTTGTACAATGATCGAACACCCATCCCTCCACCAGCGCACATACTCTACCACCGATGTCTCCAGTATATCCCACCCCCCACCCCATCCCACCCTCCCCCTGCCTCTATGGCAGACAATTTCCCCCAAACTCTCTCTTTAGTTTGGGGTACTATGGTTTGCAATACTGATACTGAGAGGCTATCACATTTGGTCCTTTATCTACTTTCCCACACATCTCCCATCCCGAACCATCCTCCAACCATCATTGACTTAGTGATCCCTTCTCTAGTCCAGCTGCCTTCTCCCCCAGCTCATGAGGCAGGCTTCCAACTATGGGGCAATATTCCTGACCCTTGTGTCCTTGGGTTTCAGTCTCATATTATGTTATTTCATATTCCAAAAATGAGTGCAGTCCTTCTATATCTGGCCCTCTCTTTCTGACGCATTTCACTTAGCATGATACTCTCCATGACCATCTACTTATAAGCAAACTTCATGACTTCATCTTTCCTAACAGATGTATAGTATTACATTGTGTAGATGCACCAAAGTTTCTTTAACCAGTCGTTGAACATTCCTATTTTTGGGGGGAGGCCACACCCAGCCACACCCAGCGATGCTCCTGGCTCTGCACTCAGGGATCCCTCCTTAGTAGGGTTCAGGAGACTGTGTGGGATGCCAGGTCAGGTGCATGCAAGGCAAACTCCCTCCCCGCTGTGCTATTACTCCAGTCCCTGGCGAGGGCCCCTTTGGAACAAGCCTTGACTTCCCCTATCACGGGGGGATTGTGGGAGGGCTAGGGGATCAGGAACACCATGAAAAATGAAGCGAAAGGCAGGAACCTCAGCTCTTACTCAGGGTCAGTGTTGGCCGCGGGCAGCTATGCTCTCTCAGGAAACTACCTCCTGGAGCCTGGCCCTGCCTGCACTCTGGGCCCTCGAGAGAGACCGAGTCAGACCCGCATCCGGGTCCCAAGGGTCCCAGAGTCACAGAAGCAAGAAGGCCTCTACTCACGAGGAGGCCTGGGGAGGAGCGGGAGCATGGCGCGGAGGGGGAGGGCGCTGGCCTTGCAGGTGGTCAACCCAGATTCCATCCCTGGCACCCCTCAGGTGCTGCCCGGAGCCAGCCCTCCCAGCTTGGAGCAGGAGTAAGTCCTGAGCACTGCTGGGTGGGGCATATAGCAAAACCAGAAAAAAACAAGGGGGATGGAGATAGAACTTGGGGACTGGGGGCAGGGGGAGGGGCAGTAGAGCCAGGCCAGAGAGATAGCACAGCGGGTAGGGCGTTTGTCTTGCATGCGGCCGACCTGGTTCAATCCCCGGCATCCCACGTGGTCCTATGAACACCGCAGGAGTAATTTCTGAGCGCATGAGCCAGGAGTAAGCCCTGTGCATTGCTGGGTGAGACCCAAAAGACAAACAACAAAATCATTTTCTCTCCTTCCTGGGCGGTGCTTCTGTGTCCCTCTAAGAGAGCTGGCTTCACTGGGGAGCTTTTCCTGCTCTGAATCCCCTTGAATCCCCTGTCTGTACCCCACAGGATCCCAGAATTCCAGTAGGCTGTTGGACTTCGCTTGACCATGAGCGTCATGTGGGGAGTGTGTGTGTGTGTGTGTGTGTGTGTGTGTGTGTGTGTGTGTGTGTGTGCAGAGCTTGAGTTTTCTCCATGTGGGCATGTGGGGGGTCCCACGGGTCAACACACCAGCGCTGCTTGAATCGGGGCCTCCGGCTTTGGGTTCCAGCTCGGCTGGGCCCAGGGACAGGACAGGAGTTGGCGCTTCCCTGAGGAAGAAGCCTGGAGGTCTGTGGACCCTGCCCCCTGCCCCCTATGGCCTGTCCCCTGCCCCCTGCCCCCTGCGCCCTGCTCTGCCCGGCTCCCGGTTGTTCCCTGTTCCCTGCTCCCAGCTGCGCATTCCAGGGCGCCTCCTTGGGCGCGGACCTTGGAAACTTCAAAACTGTCCCAGCCTGGGCTCAGGGAGGTTTGCAAGGTGCCAAAACCAGCTCCAGGGCAGCAGCCAATGGAAGCCGGGAGCCCTCCCCCGCAGCCCCCCGCTGCTCACAACACTGCAGCTCCTCAGGCCTGGCACAGAAGTCACGACCAGTGGCCGGGGTGCTGTGCCCCTGCGCCCGTCCGCTCCCGACATGGCCTGTGGGCAAGTGCTCCTGTTCGCCGGCCTCTCGGCCCTGGGGCTCCTGGCCTGTGAGTAAGGGGGGTTCAGGGTGGACGGGGATCCAGGATGAACGGGGTCTAGGTGGATGGGAGGGCCCAGGGTGGACAGGGGTCCAGGGTGGAGGGGATCCAGGATGAATGTGGTGTCCAGGGTGGATGGGGGTTCGGGATGGATGGGGGTTCATTAGGTACCTGAGCAGCCCCTCCCCCCTACTGAGCTGTGGGGGTAGGGGGACACGCACTCGACCCCCAGGGAACAGTGCTGCTGGTCTCCTCGACAGAGGGACCCGGGACCCCCAATGGGCCACTGAATCCTAGAGCCGGGGAGGCCACCTGGGCGGAGGTCCCCTGGGTGCTGCCTCACTCAGGCTCTGTCCCACAGTGCTGCAGGGGGGTACTGGGGCCTCGGTGGGAACCGGGCAGGCGGGACCCCAGGAGGCGCAGGAAGGTGAGTGATGAGGCGTCCTGGGGGACCCTGGGTGACTTGTGATGGGGGTCTGGGGGTCGTGCTGGGGGTCTGGGGGGGCTGAGCTGGGGAGCTTGGGGGGCTGTGCTGGGGTCTGGGGTCTGTGCTGGAGCCTGGGGTCTAGCTGAGGGTCTGGGGTCTGTGCTGGGGTCTGGGGCCTGTGCTGGGAGTCTGGGGGCTGTGCTGGGGGGCTGAGGGCTGTGCTGGAGGTCGGGGGGCTGTGCTGGTGTCTCGGGGCTGAGCTGGGGGGCTTTGGGGGCTATGCTGGGGTCTGGGGTTATGCTGGGGTCTGGGGTCTGAGCTGGGGTCTGGGGGCTGAGCTGGGGGTCGGAGGACTGGGCTGGGGGCTTGGGGGCTATCCTGGGCTGACTCGCCTCTCCTGTCCCAGACACTGGGCAGATTTTCATGCAGGAATCAGATGCCTCAAATTTCCTCAATAAACGAAGCAGGCGGTCCCCCAAGTCCCCAGATGAGGCCTACGGTGAGACAGGGCGGGGACCTGCCCCTCCTCCTCCCTCTCCCCTTGCCCCCTTCTCCCCCTGCAGCCTTGGGGATTCGCCCTTCCTGCCCACGGCTAAGCCTGTATCCGCATCCCTCCCCCCTACCCTGCCCCTGCCCCGCTGCAGTCCCAAGAGAGGCCTCTGGGTTCTCCCAGCACCCGCTCTGCCGTGTCTCGCGCCATGGGAACTCTAGAACTCCCTTGGGTCAGGTCTCGGGGCGGGGGGGCTCCCTGCGCCCCGAGTCTGGAGACATATGAGGCACATCCAAGTGCTTCCGCTTGGCCCTCCCACCGTGTCCTCCCATCGCTGGGTGGCTGGACACGTTCTCCGAGCCCACTGGACAGTGGGTCCAGCCAGACTCGTCCTGCGCCTGGGCGTTTGCGCCCCTCAGAGCTGGGCGCCGTCAGCCCCTCCAGAGCCCACAGGGTGGCAGGCGGGGAATGTGGGTCCCCATCCGGCTGGGACACCGCGACCGAGAAGGAACCCCCAAAAAAACATCGTGAACAAACCGCTCCAACCGCACTGGGGAGGCCCCCACCCCACTCTTGGGCACCGAACGTAAGGAGGTGGGGACCAGTGGAGGAGCCAAATCTCACCCCCCAAGTCCCATTTCCTGTCCCTCCTGGTGTGCGAGTGCCCTCCTCTCTGCGAGTGTGAGGTTACAGACCCCCAAACGCACACACCAGGGGCTCCAGGCCCTCTGGCGAGAGCACGAGCTTCCCTTTGCTTTGGGCCTTCCTGGATTCTGCTAAATTCTTCTGCTCCTGCTAAATTCCTTCTGGGCCCCTCAGAGACAGAGATGTGGGGGGAGGAGAGAGGCCTCTGGGGAAGGGGCAGGGGAGCGGGGACAGTCTGGGGCCCCGACGGTGCCCAAGCCCACCTGCTGTCCCCCGTCTCCTGTGCTGCCTGGGGCAGGCTAGTGACACACTGTCAGCTGCAGGCGGGCAGCCGAGGTCCGGCGTGTGGGCAGAGAGGGCAGGATGTGGCCAGAGAGGGTCCCTGGGCGAAGCACACGTCCTGTGTCCACACCACAGGGGCCCAGCACGGCCAGCTCCAGCAGGTGTGTCCCTAGGGGGACAAAGGGAGCATAGAATGGCCCCTGCCCAGGGGCTGCTCCCAGCACTACTGACCCCAGGGCTGGTCTGTGCCCCCACAAAGCACAGGTCGTCTATTCTGGGAGGGGGACATGCTTCCTTGGGATCAGAACACCCCCACCCCAGGGTCTCACTGGGTTCCCAGAGGGTCCCCCAGCAGGTGCTGGGGTGTGAGTCCCACCCAGCTCGGCCCTGTCCTGCCGTGGGACGCTGGGGGGGGGGGGGTCGGCCCCTCTCTGGGCTGGGAAATGTGCAGCTGGGTGGCGGGGTGGGGGTGGGGAAACGGGTGGGCCTGCGGGTGGGCTCCCGGGGGCACAAGCACAGAGCGGGACTCCCCCCCACTGACCATGCTGGGGTGTGCGTGGACAAAGGCCTCCTCAGCTGCCCCCTCTCCTCTGGCTCGGGGAGTGGGGGACAGTGCCTGCCCCTCCTTGAGGGCAGGAGGAGGCAGAGGGAGGACTGCATGCTTTGCCAACGCGCAGGGGCTGCCATGTGTGTCTCCAGTCTTGAGATCCCCAAGCAGTTGGGGCCGCCCCTACCAGAGCTGGGCCTGGCCTGTGGGGAAATTGGGGCGGGGTGCAGAGCACAGCGGGGAGGGCGCTTGCTTTGCACACGGCACACCCGGGTTCAATCTCTGGGCCCCCCTAGGGTCCCCAGGGCACCACCAAGAGTGATCCCTGAGCACAGAGCCCGGGGTGAGTGCTGAGCACGGCCAATCAGGGAAGGTGGGGGCCACCCCTGGTGGTGCGCAGGGCCTGGCTCTGTGCTCAGGGCTCACTCGGAGAATCGCAGTGTCAGGGATGGAATTGGGGTCAGCGCCTGACCCCGGACCATCTCCCTGGCCTCTTCCTGTCGCCTTCCTGGGTGGCCCGTGTGTGGAGAACCAACGGCTTCGTCTTCTGGGGTCTCTGTCTTGGCACATGATGCGGTCGAGCTCGAGATTCTTGAGGCTTCCGGGTCAGTGTCAGGAGTGCCGGGGATGCTCCCGCCCCTGCCCACCCAGATGAGGCCAGTCGGGCCAGTCATTGGGGTGGGGGGCGGCCCTGACCGTGAGCCCCTCTCCCTGGCACGACTGGCCACTTCCCTCCCACAGCGGAGACCAGGCAGAAGCTGCGGGCGGAAGAGCTGCGGAGGGAGGACCTGGAGGAGCAGCGGAGCGAGCAGGAGCACTACGCGGAGGAGCAGAGAGACGGTGAGCGGGGCGCGTCTGGGCTCTGCACACAGGGGCGAACCTGAACCCGAGCCACTGTATGCATGGCAGATGCCCACCCCCTCTGCTGTCTCTCTGGGCCTGGGCTGCAGCTCCCAACCCCAGGCGACTCTGGCTGGGTGACTGCTAAGGGTCCTCACCTGTCAGTAAACTACAGGAGGAAATCAGGGACTGGGGAGCTGGGGATGCCCCTCCCTCCCTCCTTCCCTTGCCCTTCCTTCCTCCTTCCTTCCTTCCTTCCTTCCTTCCTTCCTTCCTTCCTTCCCTTCCTTCCTTCCTTCCTTCCTTCCTTCCTTCCTTCCTCCCTCCCTCCCTCCCTCCCTCCCTCCCTTCCTTCCTTCCTTCCTTCCTTCCTCCATCCCTCCCTCCCTTCCTTCCTTCCTTCCTTCCTTCCTTCCTTCCTTCCTTCCTTCCCTTCCTTCCTTCCTTCCTTCCTTCCTTCCTTCCTTCCTTCCTCCCTCCTTCCCTCCCTCCCTCCCTCCCTTCCTTCCTTCCTTCCTTCCTCCATCCCTCCCTCCCTTCCTTCCTTCCTTCCTTCCTTCCTTCCTTCCTTCCTTCCTTCCTTCCTCCATCCCTCCCTTCCTTCCTTCCTTCCCTTCCTTCCTTCCTTCCTTCCTCCCTCCCTCCCTCCCTCCCTCTCTCCCTCCCTCCTCCCTCCCTCCTCTCAGCTTCGGCTGCCCTGGAGGAGATGGTTGGCACCTCTCACCACTACCTGCCAGCCTGGGGCTTGCCCGCTGTGGTGCGTTTGGGTGGGGTCGGAGCTCTCTGGGTGAAGAGGGTGTGGGTGCCTTGCTGATGGCTGGAACCCCTGCCCCTACCCGTCTGAGTCGTGGGCAGGTGCTAGCAGTGGATCTGCCGAGTCCAACTTTCCTGGCTTCGTCCCAGGAATGCGGTGGCCGCCCGGCTGTCCGGGAGAACAGACTCGGCTGGTGGACAGCCCGAGGGAAAGCGTCTCGGAACAGAGGGAGCCACCAGAATCTGTTCTTAGTTTGTTTTTCTTGCTTTGGGGCAGGGCGCCTTCCCGCAGTGCCAGGAGGCCCCAGGCCAGCGGGGCGGCAGCTCAGTGTAAGACTGGGGTGCTGCTGGGCCCTGGGGTGCCAGGGACCTCCAGGTTCCTCCCAGGGGTTCTTAGAGCTGCACCCAGCTCTGCTCAGGTGCCTGTGCCCAGGTCCGAGCAGGGCTGCTGTGTGAGAAGCAGCAGAGCTTGTGCCCTAACCACTGAGCAGCCCCACAGTGATTACTTTTCACTCCAGATGTTACTAAGAAGATTTCATTTTGAACAATTAAGAATATTTCTGGTCTAGGGGCTGGAGAGATAGCACAGCGGGTAGGGCATTTGCCTTGCATGCGGCCGACCCGGGTTCGATTCCCAGAATCCCATAGGGTCCCCCGAGCACAGCCAAGAGTAATTCCTGAGTGCAGAGCCAGGAGTAAGGCCTGAGCATCGCCGGGTGTGACCCAAAAAAGCAAAAAAAAAAAAAAATTTCTGGTTTTGGGGGGTGGGTAGGAGAGGGAATCTGGGAACATTCACGGCAGGAAGCTGACAGTGGTGGAGGACGTGGTGATGGAACATTGTCACAGATAATTTCGTGATCTGTGGCGCTTTAATAAAATGAACATTTGAAAAAGAAAAAAGAAAGTTCAGGTCTAGGGGCTGGAGCGATAGGACCGCAGGGAGGGCACTTGCCATGTACCTGGCCAACCCAGGTTCAATCCTCTGCACCCTACATGAGCACAGAGCCAGGAGTCAAATCTGAGCACTGCCGGGTGTGGCCCCAAAACAAGAATAACAAACCAGTTCAGGTCCCAGTCCCTGCCCGGGAGAAATCGGGCAGAGTCGAGGACAGTCCTGAGGACAGGGCTGACCCCAGGCCCAGCCAAGGGCAGGACGCGGTTCAACAGGGGATGAGAGAGGCTCAAGCATTTGCTTCGGGTTCAACACTGGGGGCTAAGCTAAGGCTCAGGAACCCCAGGCGCAGGAAGTGAGGGTCCTAGCGTCCCTGATGAAGCCCCTGCTTGTGGCAACAGATGGTCGCCGGCAGGGAGATCTCGGGGATTAAGTGCCAGTAAGGCGAGTTCCGAGGAGACTCCAAGGGCAGTGCCACCACCCGGGATGAGGGGCTCCCAGCTCCCACCCCAGTCGCCAGCTCTGCCTGGATCCCCAAAGAACCGGCTCTGTTAAGGGTCTCATCTCTTGGGTCCCCAGGAGGCTGAGGCCGTGGGGGCACCTGAAGCTGGGACAGGGGCTCAGCTGTGGCCGAGGGCGCAGGGCTGAGCAGGGCAGGGTGGGATGTTATCCTGGTCCCTGCCTCTACCTGGGGCCTCCCACACTCTAACTCTTTCCAGAAAAACTTGACCCAGTGCTTTAAAAGGAAGTGGGGGGGGGGTTTAAAGTACTTTAGCATAAAATTGGCCCTCAAAACTCTTTATTTTTCCCTTTCTGTGTGTGTGTGTGGGGGGGGGGGGGAACAACATACCCTGCAGTGTTCAGAGGTTACTCCTGGCTCTGCACTCAGGGATCACTCCTGGCAGTGCTCAGGGACCCCATGTGGTGCTGGGGATTGAACTGGGGTCGGCTGCGTGCAAGGCCAGCATCCTCCCAGCTGTGCTATCTCTCAAACCCGAGACGACTTCTTGTTTCCTGGTTTAGTTGCCTGTGTCTCTTGCTCATGATGTTGAATTCTTTGGGGCTTTGTTAATTTGTTTGGGGGCCATACTTGGTGGTGCTCAGGGCTGACTCCTGGCACTGTGCTCAGGGATCATTCCTGGCGGTCCCAGAGGACCCTCCAGGATGCCGGGGATGGAACTGGGGTTGTCCAGGTGCAAGACCAGTGCCCTCCCCGCCGTGTCTCGCTCCTGTCCGTGGGGAAAGGCTTTGGTCTGTCCTGGTGCCCATTTCTGGGCCTCAGCCGTGCCCATGAGCTGGGTCACTGCAGGTCCTGGGCAGCGGGTGTGTTGGGTGGGAGGAAGGACGGGAGGGAGCCCCGGCTCTGGCTCTCCTCCTGCCAGGGGGCACATGGAGGCAGGGGCTCAGGAGGGAGACTCCCACTGACCGCGCCTCCTGTCTCCCCCAGAGCAGGAAGAGAGGAGCCGCGAGGCCATCGAGCAGTGGCGCCAGTGGCACTACGATGGGCTGTCCCCGCCATATCTCTACAACCGCCACCACATCTGAGCTCTCCTGATGCCCGCCTGCGCCCGCCGCGGGGGCCCCTGGCGGGAAACGCTCGTCTCTCGAGCTCAGGCTGTGCACCCCTGCCCGAGCTGCTTTGCCGCTGGTTCTGGGGGCGAGCAGATGTGTGTCCCGTGCTTTGCTGCTGTCGTGTCCCTGCCAGGAGACACAAGGGCCCATTGGCACCGCGCCTGCAAATAAACACGTCCACGCAAGATCACCGGCTCTTGTCACGTGCTCCTCGGAGGGGGCCGCGTCGCCTCGGAGGCCAGTTCAGCTGGTCTGTTGTCGTGCTGCTGAAGAAGCATGGCCCTTTCCGGGTCCAGGGTTTGAGTGGGGTGTGGGTGGGCTCCCTGTCTCCGTGGTTCTGAAGGTCCATCAGTGATTTCTGCATGGATCTCAGCCCACAGTGCTCCGGGACAGGCATAAGCGTCCTCACCCACTTCTTTCTGTTTTTCGTTTTTGTGTCACAGGTAGCAATGCTCAGGGCTTCCTCCGGCTCTGCACTCAGGGATCACTCCTGGCGGTGCTCGGGGGACCCTATGGGGTACTGGGGATCAAACCAGGGTCAGCCACGTGCAAGGCAAACACCCTCTCCGCTGTGCTATTGCCCTGCCCCTGGCCCTGTGGTCTATATGGTGGTTCTTGGCACAAACACCAGGGCCAGCTTCCAACAGCACAACCATTCCCATGGCCTGGACGGGCCCTCCAGAGGCTCTCGGGTGCCACCTGCCCAGCTCCGGGCACCTGGGCACCTGACCACAGGCCCCTCTCTCACTTCTGCCTTAAAACCGTAAGTCTGCTGACCCGGGTCTTCTTTTCCTCCTATTCTGATTTTGGACCACACCTGGCAGTGCTCAGGGGCTACTCCTGGCTCAGTGCTCTAGGGACAAAGCCTGTGCTCAGGCCTTTAAACCAGCTTCCCAGTCCCCTTTCCTAAAATGCTGAGGATAAGGTCCCCACAAGCCTCCCCCTGCCTAGATGCGCCACGGGGCCCTGCTTCTGGCCAGGATGGGTGCCCAGTGCTGAGGAACGGGGACTTGGCAGGGTTTTGAGTAGGGAGAGCCCCACTCCCAGGGGTGCTCAGGGCTGACCCCTGGTTCCGTACTCAGGGGTCACTCCTGGCAGGGCTCGAGGTGGGGAGCTGAAAGGGTGCCGGGGATCGAACCCAGATCGGCTGCAGGGAAGGTGAATGCCCTCCCCACTGTGCTCCCCCAGACTCTGAGCATATGTTGCGAGGCGCCAAGCACCCCCTCCTCACTCCCTGCCATGTTTCCAGGCTTTGGCGCACAGGCAGGGAGAAAGTCACTGGGTTCCTGAGCTGCCTCCCTCTGCCCTGAGGTGCCCAGCTCAGAGACGCCCTGACACTCTCACCCAGATTCCTCTGCTCCCCACGGGCCCCTGAGGTATGAGAACAGGGAGCTGCAATCCAGCCGGGCCATCACAGGTTGTTCCAAGACCCAGACACTCCCACGAGTGTGTGAGCAGCTGTGTGTGAGCAGCCCGAGAACATCGGGGTGGGGTCCACTCTGGTCAGATGTGCCTGCAAGTGGGGTCCAGGCCTCAGGCCTGCGGGTGGGGGGCCAGGGACACGCGAGCCCCAAATGTAACCAAGGGCCTCCTTGTCTGGCCAAGGGCTGCTCGACCCTAACCCTGATTTGCAGGGCAGTGGGTGAACACCCTTCAGCGGTGCCACAGAACAGGCCACGCTGTGTGTGTGGGGGGGGGGGGGCGGCGGCGGGGGGAACGACTGGGCAGGCTCCGCCAGGTGGCACAGTGCCCGCCTGGACACGCGGGGGCTCTCTCCTGAGCAAGTGGACAATGCCAGTGGACTCCTGCCCGCCTGCCCAGCTCAGTCAGGTCACGGCAGGCCGGCGCAGGTGCCAGATGCCAAGCACGTGGCCAGCTTCAAAGGCAGACACTGCCGTGGGTGCGGGTAGCTGAGATTGCTGCAGACGGCCCCTCACCTCGGCCTACCTCTGACCCCAACAAAGGCCCCATTGTACCTCGGGGTTTTCAAATTCCAGCCCGGGCTCCTGCCCTGGATCCCGATCCCGGTCATTTCCTGGGCAGGGGCAGCTGCCAAAGGTGACAGCAGGACATGAAGGCCGCCGTCCCCGGGCAGTGAGTCAGGGCACCTGCGTCTGTGGCCTGTGACAAGGGGGCCTTGGGGCATCTGCTGAGCTTGTCACGACTCCCCCCCACACTGGAGGGCCCGAGATAAGGGCTGGAGATGAGTGTCGGAGGGTGAACCCCTGCTTACACTCAAGAGCTTTGCCACTTGAATCCCAGTGTGGGCGGCACCGGGGGAGACTGTGGGGTTCAGTGTTTGTGACTTTATTTATTTCAGATGTTTAAGCGGGGAGGGGGCTTTGGTGAGGCTTAACTTCAAAAAATATTTTTTTTTTTGGTTAAATGTGATATGCTCTTTATCCATCTCATTTAACTGGGTCATTCCCCTTCTAATTCATGGACATCTGGTTATGTTCTAATTCTCAGATGTTTTTCACAAACATAGTTATAGCTGTAACTTATGGTAACCACGAAGCAAAACAAGATCATTTACCTTGCCCGCTGACAACCAGGGTTCGATCCCCGGCATCCTGCAGAGCTAAGGGGAACCCCTGAGCATGGCAGGTGTGACCCAACAACTCCTCCCACTCACCCCCAAAAACAAAAACAAAATCCCACACACAAAAGAAAAACAAATCAATAGAGTAAAAGGAATCACATTTCAAAAGAATCTAAATGAAACGAACACAGGAAAAAGAACTCCTAGATTCTGACAGCAGATGGGACTTGCTACCAGGGCAGGTATGTGTGTGTTCAGGAAAAGGAGCCAACTGCACGGTGTTGATGGAAACCAGATTCTCTGTTTCTGGGCCATACCTGGCGATGCTCAGGGGTTGCTGTGGGGCTGGAGAGATAGTACAGAGGGTAAGGTGTTCGCCTCAAATGTGGCCCACCTGGGTTTGATCCCCTGCACTGCCAGGAGTAAGTCCTGAGTACTGTCAGGTGCCAATAATTATTATATATATGGGCTGGAGCGATAGCACAGTGGGTAGAGCATTTGCCTTGCAGTCAACCCAGGTTCGATTCCCAGCATCCCATGTGGTTCCCTGAGCATTGCTAGGGGTAATTCCTGAGTGCAGAGCCAGGAGTAACCCCTGTGCATCGCTGGGTGCGACCCAAAAAGAAAAAATAAATAAAAAAATTTATAAAAAAATATATATATATGTATGTATTACTCTTGGGGCCACCCCCACACCCAGCGGTGCCAGGGCTTCCTCCTGGCGGGCTCACAAGGCCATATGCGGTGCTGGGGATTGAACTTGGGTCAGCTGTGTACAAAGCAAATGTCCCACCTGCTGGCCTATCGATCCAGCCAGTAGTAATAAAAAGATCTTAAAAAGGCACCTAGCCCTGCCTTCCCCCTGAAGCCGTGAGTGGCGTCTGACGTCTGACACAGTTAATGGGGCACTGTGAACCAGCTGCTGGGCTTCACCATCGTGGGTTCTCTGCCAGCACTGGACACGTGGTGTGCCCAGTGCTTATTCTCACCGCTTTTTTTTGGGGGGGGGGGGCATACCCGGCAGTGCTCAGGGGTTACTCCTGGCTCTGTGCTCAGGAACCATCAGGGGTGCCAGGGATGGAACCCGGGTTGGCCCACATACAAGGCAAGCGCCCTCCCTGCTGTACTATCTCTCTGGTTCCTCTTAGCTACTTTTTTTCTTTTTGGGTCGCATCTGGCAATGCTTAGGGGTTCCTCCTGGCTCTGCGCTCAGGAATTACTCCTGGCAGTGCTCAGGGGACCATATGGGATCCGGGAATTGAACCCGGGTCGGCTGTGTGCAAGGCAAACGCCCTACCTGCTGTGCTATCACTCCAGCCCCTTCACTGCTTTTTATTTTTATTTATGTATTTTTTTAGATTTTTATTAGTGAATCACCATGAGGAATAGTTACTTACAAACTTTTGTGTTTGTATTTGTTTTCAGTTTTACAGTGATCGAGTACCCATCCCTCCACCAGTGCCCATTCTCCACCAACACTGATCCCAGTATCCCTACCCACCTCGTCCCTCCCACCCCACCTCATCTCTGTGGCAGGGCATTCCCCCTTGTTCTCTCTTTCCTTTTGGGTGCTATGGTTTGCAAAAGAGGCACTGAGTGGCAATTATGCCCTTGACTGCTTTTTAAAGCTGAAAAAAATTCCAGTTTACAACTGCCGTCTGGGGACACAGCTGGCTTCCACCTTTCCGGCCAGCTCCTTACTTCTGACTTCACTACTCCTTCCTTTGGGCTTGGCAAACAGGTCATTTGATGGTTCAAGACCCCCCTGTGACAGCTGTCCTGTCTCCAAATCTCCACCCATTGGGTGAAATGCTATTTTTCATTACAGGGCAAAGGCTCCAGTGGGCTGACCTTTGGTGACAAATGCTGGCAAACATTCATCTTAGTAACATCACATTCTAGTTTCATCATCCTGACCGAAAGAAACCCCGTTCATACAAACCCTCTTCTTGTCAACTTTGCTCTACCCGTCACCTTGTAAACTCCACTTTGGAAGGTGAAAACTTGAAGGTCAGAGATAAGGCAGCAAGTGGGGCGTGTGCCCTGCCTATGGCTGACCCGCTGCAGCCCCAAGTCCCGCCAAGCAGGCCCCCCAAAACAAAATAATCTGAAAACATATTTTACAAGTTGGAACTTTTTTTGGGGGTCCCACCCAGCGATGCTCAGGGGTTCCTCCTGGCTCTGCACTCAGGAATTATTCTTGGCGGTGCTTGGGGGACCCTGTGGGATGCCGGGGATGGAAGCCAGGTCAGCTGCGTGCAAGGTCAATGCCAACCTGACGTACGGTGGCTCAAGGCCCAGAATTTTCTCTGTCGTTGCCACTGTGTGTGTGTGTGGGGGGGGGGGGTGACAAATGTCCACCCTGAGAAGTGCCTTTCTTCTCATCATCGCTGTTGTTTAAACAACCCCAATTCTTTTTTTTCCCCCTCCCCCTGTGTGATGAGAGGTAGATATTTTAAGACAATCTGAGTGGGCAGGAGAGCTGGTGAACCTTAGCTTGCCTCGGGTGCAGCTGGCCCCAGCCCTGTCCCAGTTCCTTGAGCACCCCGTTGGGTGTGACCACAACACCAGCCTTTGAAGGGAAAAGAGCTTTTCTTTTCTTTGAAAAGCCGTTCATTCCCTCCCTATTGCACTCCACTGAAAAAGTCACAGCAAAACCACTTGAAAATCGTGTGAGGATCCCAGCAACACCTACCCTGGCTTGGCCTCCTGGGGCAACCTATTTCTCTCCGCTGATCCATGCCAGAGGTCACCAGCCTTGGGTCACACAGCCAGTTTTTGTGCCCGATGACAGCTTAAGAAACTCTGACACGTGTTAGGTCGGTTGTATAAAAATATTTAATTGTGTTGATAAGGAGGATAGGATTAAAAAAATCTGTCATCACCGTAAAATCGTGCTTTCCTTATTAAACATCCCTGAATATTCTGAGAAAGGACACACCTCAGATGAAAGACCCCACCCTTAAAAAATAAAATTGATGGAAAGGGAAATAAGTCACAGATTTGAACATTATTCTTAAACTGAAGTGTAAATTTTTTTTTTTTTAAATTTTTGGGTCACATTCGGTGATGCACAGGGGCTACTCCTGGCTCTGCTCTCAGAAATTACCCATGGCGGTGCTCAGGGGACCATATGGGATACTGGGAATTGAACCCGGGTCAGCCACATGTAAGGCAAACACCCTACCTGCTGTGCTATTTCCAGCCACCTAAGTTTAAAAAATTTTAAAAGGGGCCAGAGAGAGACAGGACAGGGGTCAAGGCATTCTGCCCTGCGGGTGACTGGCCCCCATCCAGTCCCTGACTTGGGGTAAGCCCCCCAGAGTGAGCCCCAAGCACAGCGCCAGGAGTTAGGCCTGAAGCTGCCAGGTGGAGCCCAGGAACAAAAAAGAAACTTAAAAACGAAAAAACAAGTTCTGGAAATAAAGCAGCCCGGCCCCCACGTGCCCCGCATGGACAGGAAGGTCAGCACTGGGAGACTCCATGGCCCAAGGTGCATTACTGCCGGCATGCAGTCCCCGCCTGACACAGTGCGGAGGCCAGCCCTGGCCAGCTCCTGCCTGGACCCCTGGGGATTGCATTCCCTCTCCGCCACCTTCAGGTGGTGACCGCGTGCTGGGCTCAGGGGGCCGTGACCTGCTCGGGCTGAACCAGAAGATGCCGAGATGCCCACCACGCTGCCATGGCTCCGGTGAGAGGCTGAGCAGGACGGAGAAGCAAAAGGCTTCAAGGGCCTTTCTGGGTGTTTCTAGGGCAGAGTGGCAGTCCATGGCCCCAGCAGGCTGGGCAAGAAAGCCCGTGGTGAGAGCCGTACCTGCAGCCACCAGGGGACAGACACTGCTTTGGGGGTCGGGGGAGGGGTGAGAGGCCCCTGGATGGGGCTGCAGCAGGGGTGACCAGGACCCGGGGCGGGGGGGCACAGCTGTGCCCCTGCGACTACTTCAGGCTGTTGAGGAACTTGGCGTGTTCCTCGCCCCTGGGCAGCAGGGTCTCTCCACCTATCTTCGGGCCCGTCTTTTCCTATAAAAAGGAAGATTTGTATAAGAAATGGGTCAGAGTGATCTTGATCTGGATGTGTGTATGTGTGGGGGGGGGGGGACTGGGGACTGGGGCGGGGACTCCCCGAAACCAGTCACGGACCCAACACTCACCTTCAGCATGCCGTCTCGCTCCCACTTAAAGAGGCCACAGTTGCTGAAATGAAGAGACAGCCTGCTCAGGGGGCCACGCCCACACCCCAGGCCACAGTGCCTGAGGGTTCCCTTGCTTCGGGGAGTGGAGTGGGGTGATGGGTGATAAATGAATGAGGGGTGACGTCCAGACTCTGGGCTCTGCCAATCCAGGGGGCAGGAGCCACTGGGTCCTGCCGCCCACCCTTTTCCTGGTGACCCTCCTTGCCTCCATCTTCCTCCTCGGAAGCCCTGACAACTTTCTAACCAAGTGGCCTGAGGCTCTTTCTAGCATCTTTCACTGTGGTGCAGGGAGGGCACCACGGGCACCACGGGCGGGGCCGGTTCTGCAGTGGGACAAGGAGGGGAGAAGCTTGCACAGTGAGTAGGGCGTTAGGTTCAATCCCCGGCATCCCACAGGGTTCCCCCAAGCACCGCCAGGAGTCATTCCTGAGTGCAGAGACAGGAGTAACCCCTGAGCATCACTGGGTGTGACCCAAAAAGCAAAACAACAACAACAACAACAACAACAACAAAAAACAAAAAAGAAACAGGAAGGCAGTGAGGGAGGGAGGGAAATCAGAGAGAGGACAAGATGAGTTCAGAAAGGCCCGGGTGGTCGCTGGTTCTCAGAAAAGGGGGAAAAAAGAGTTAATGAGAAACAGTGAACAACTGATGCTGTTCAGGGCGTCTGACGGGGAAAGCAAACACCCAAAAGGTAAGGGAGGCTGAGAAGGGGTGGTCAGTGGGGTGGACACTGGGATGGGGAGGGAGGGACGCCGAAACTCTGGGTGAGGGTCCGGGGTGCTGGACCCATAGCACAGCGAGGAGGGCGCTTCCTTGCCCGTGGCTGACCCGGGTTTGATCTCCGGCATCCCCATATGGTCCCCCGTGCACCGCCAAGAGTAATCCCTCAGTATGACCGGGTGACCCCCAAAAGCCCCCACCCCCAAACCCCAAAGCAAAACTAAACCAGACACGGGTCTGCCGGAGGGAGGCAGGAGCGCTGGGGGCCGCGGCTGTACCTGCAGTGCTTCTTGGGGAGCCGGTCCAGAGAGATGGTCCTGTTCCCGCAGGGGCACCGGAAGAAGCTCTTCACGGCCTCGTGCCAGCGCAGATTGTGCTGTTCGCTGACGCAGGTCTCCCGCGGCTGGAAGTGCGTGTAGGCACACTGCGCAGGTGGGGGCTTGGTCAGGGCCTGTGCTGCCTGCCGCACCCCCGCTCCTCCGCCCAATCCACCCCCACTCACCGTGCGGCATGTCACCACGCGGCACTTGACGGAACGCGTGCTGCGCATCTTTTCCTCCAGCTGCTCCTTTTTCACCAGCGGCTCGAAGTAACGCTCCTGCAGCTCAGCCTCGGCCTACAGGGGCAGGCGTGGGGACGGGCAGGTCAGCAGGTGCACAGGGACCGGGAGCCGGGGGACCTCCTCTCGGATCTGTCTGGGCCCCTTGGGCACGGCGCGGGGGTCATTCCTGGCAATGCTCAGGGACTCTCTGTGGCATCTGGGATCAAACCGGGGTTGGCTGCATGCAAGGGCATCGCCCGACCCAAGCCTGGTGGTCCTAAGCCGCCACAGGTGGTCCCGGCGAGCCTGGGCAAGAAGGGGGTGACCCCTGTCGGCCGGACAGACGGGCTTCAAAGGGACGTAGCGGCCATCGCTACACGCTGTTCTCAGCTCCAGCCCGTGGCGGAAGCCACAGGGACGAGGCATGAGGGTGGGTGGGGGGTATATGAGCGGGCCTGTGCTCCAGTGAGTCAGCTCAGCCCTACAGTGCTCAGGGTCAGCTCGAGCACCGCCTGGACGGAGCTGCACGTCCCCCCGAATCCCCAATCCTGCCAATCAAAGGGGCGCCTCTGCCTTCTCGTGCCACCCCACCCAGGGGACACACCGCGAAGGCCCCCTGGCTGCTGACCGGGAGCAGACGGGCCCCCTTTCTGCAGTGGATGGTGCAGCCCCCAAACCCGAAGACCCCTCTGAATACGCCTCAGGCCCCACATGCCATGCAAAAAAAAATTTTTTTGTTTTTGGCTTTTGCTTTTTGTGTCACACCCAGCGATGCTCAGAGGTTCTTCCTGGCTCTGCACTCAGAATTACTCCTGGCAGTGCTCGGGTGACCATATGGGATCTGGGAATCGAACCCGGGTTGGCCATGTGGAAGGCAAATAGCCTTGCCGCTGTGCTACTGCTCCGACCCGCCATGCAAACTCTTAGACCCCAGCCCAGAGACTCCATGCATGACGCCACAGGCCTGCTCATGGGGATTGTCACAAGGCCGGGGGGTGGGCGGCGGCGGCACTGTGTATGTGCGTGTTGGGGGCTGTCACCGGTCCCCACGCCTGCAGCAGCCCTGTCACACTCACTGCTCACCCCTGTTCCCTATGGCAGCTTAGAGACCCAAGCCCCGGCAGCAACGGCGACTCTGCAGGGCACTCTGTGCCCCCACAGCACAGCACATGCTCTTAACAGGAGTATTTTCCATCTCAGAGTTAATAATATGCAGGAAGGCGTCCAACCCAGGCTTACTCACAGCGTCCCCTGAGCACTGCCAGGAGGGAATCCGAGCCCAGAACCAAGAGAGAGTCGTGGGCATCACTGGGTATGACCCCAAAACCAAAAAGAATTTTGCTCCTTCTTCTTGACACAAGAGCAAGACGCGCTCATGATACCCGTGAGGCGGCTCTGGCAGGTGATTCTACATCAGGGACAACGTGGGACCCCCACCACTGAAGGGAAGGAGGGAAAGGCCAGGCAGGTAACACTGACTCCGGCCGGACACGACCCTCTCACCCCACACACAAGGCAGTGGGGAGCTTCTGGGCGGGGCAGGGGATGGCTCCACCCCCAACATCACCCCGTGCTCCACTCAGGAGCAGCCCATGAACCCCACAACCTCCCCATAAAAAATCCCAGTAGCCAGTGGTAAGCCCTGGAGACGAGCACAGTGTTTTCAACTGAAAGTCGAAAGGTTTAGAACAGAAGCCTACCTAATTAGGGGCCTGAGTGACAGAACAGTGCGTAGGGCGTTTGCTTTGCACACGGCCGATTCAGGCTTGATCCCCAACCTCCCATATGGTTCCCGGAGCACCACCAGGTGTGATCCCCGAGTGCAGAACCAGGAGCAACCCCCAATGTGGCCCCCAAAACTTAAAAAAAAAAAAATAAGTCTGTCCTTCCAAGCCAACCTCCCCTGCTCTAGGCCAGAGTGGCCCGCCCAAGGCCCTCCAGCCTGCACCGCCGCCTTCCTCTCACCTCCTTCACGATCCCCGTGTGCCTCGACCTGGCCTTTAGGATCTTCTGGAATTCCTCGGACTCCAGGTAGGCCTGTTGCTCTTTCCTCCTCTTCCTGGCGGGCTCCAAGTCCTCCTCGGCTACAGGAGGAAGGAACAGCCTTAGTTAGAGCGTGAGCTGAGGCGGCCTGACCCGTCCCCGCGCCCTTCAAATGCCTCGGCCTGCAGGGGGCGATGGTAGAAAGTTCTAGCAAGACAGTGAGAAACAGAACAGGCATCTGAAATCTGGCAGGGCTGGCTACTGAGCCCGACACCTCCCCCACCCCCGTTCTCCTGGAAACAGGAACCACCAACCCCCTTCACAGGATTCGGAGATGCTCCTGCTGGGGCTGCCTGGTAGGAAATCACCTCCTAAGTGATGTTCCCGCCCCCGCCCCCTCCTCCATGCATTGAAAGCCAAAGTACCTGGAGCAGGGCCTGAGATACTCTTCTCTACACGGCCCTTCACTTCGAGGACAGCCCTGGGGTCCTTCGGCTTCTTTTTAATGGTGTTTGGGTTGGTTTTTGTGAGAATCTGGCCTTTGGCCCTTAATTTGGTGATGGCAGCTAACTGGAATGAAGAAGAGCAGAGGGGGAGGGGAAAAAAGCCAACCTAAAAAAAAACATGCCGGAAACACACCGCCCAGAGCTGTGACCTCGGGGCAGCAGAGACGGAAGTTCGTCTCAAGTTTGACACCCACCACGCTAGTAACCCCAGCCCACAGGGAGCCACACACATCTCTAAGGTTCCCTAGTGTCAGCACCAAGACCGGATCCCAGCCTGGCCACTGTCCCGTGTCACTTCCATCTCCAGTCTCAGTTTTACGTGTAATACGGGGCGAGTATTGACTGACTTTATCTGTGTTGGGAGGGTGGGACGTTCCCTTGAGAAGACTGCAGTTCTGCTAAGGAGGGAACAAACCGGTCCCAGCGGCGGGAAGCCCTAGGAATAGAGCCTTAGGCCCTTAGGTTTACACGCAGTCGGAACTTGCTAGAAATGTGAAGCATTCCCAGGGCAAGCCTTTGTCCTTTGGGCTCTAGCAGCTGACTGGGATGGAACAGGCTGGCCGGGGTGCCGGCGCCTTGGGACGGGGAGGCATCCCGGGGGGAATCTGCTCAGCTACCCCACCCTCACTCAGAGCAGAACCCCTGCCTGCTACAGGCCGGCTCCCTCCGGGGTGAGAGTTCTCTCGAGGAGGCTTCCTCGTGCCACTGTTTCACGGTCTTGTCTCAGCAGCCCCACCCCAAGGCCTGGTGAGGAGCTGGTTTCCTTCGTCTCATTAAAGCGTGAATATAATAATCAATGTAGAGAAGAGTTAAGTAGAAATCATCTGCCTCACAGGCATTGGGAGGGGTGGGAGGGGGGTACATTGGGGTTCTTGGTAGTGAAAAATGAGTACTGGTGAAGGGAAAGATTTTTGATCATTGTATGACCCAGATTAAACCTGAAAGCTTTGTAACTCTTCCCACAGTGATTCAATAAATAAATATAAGAAGAAAAAATAAATAAAATTATGGAAAAAAAAAAGTAAGGTGGAGTTCATGCCCAATTCAATCAGCTAATCAGTGGCTGAATAAATAGCAGTACTCCTACGTAAAAAAAAAAAAAGCATGATACCAACACCCTGGAAGTTTCTTTGACACTAACGATCATGACAAGTGAAGGGTCAATGGCACCCACTGCCCACAGCACCATCCACTCACCTTTCTAGCCTCTGCTAATGCGCCCAGCTGAGGTTTGGGTGGTGGTGACTCATCGTAAAAGAGAATGTCGTCTCCTTCCGCGATGCCTCGCCCCAGCCGAGGCAGCTGCGGCCCCGCGTGCGGTGTTCCCGGCGGGGGTGGGGGGGACGGGGGTGGCACCGTGGGGTCCCGCAGTTGGCTGGCACTCTGGAGAGAGCTTCAAGGACAGAGTGAGAGGGTCAGCGTGCGCCCACAGACGGCCTTCCCCAGCACACCTCAGGGCAGGTCGCTCTGTCCACGCAGACCCGGCACCACCCACGTCTGTGGCTTTCCACAGTCCGGGGGGACTGCGCCGAGCCTTCTGGCAGGCACCCCGAATCCCTCCGCGAGTTTGCCGGGGAGAGAACCAGGTGGACAGCGGGAGGCCCCCATAGGAAGATGCGGCCACTCGGCCACTCACAGGATGGACCAGCACATGTGCCGGGAGCCACCAGGGCCTTGAAGCAGCTGTGCTTCCCTCTTCCTGGGGGCTGTGCCCTTCCCGTGAGACACTAAATAGGTCACTTGATCTGAACTCACACCACCAAGTCAGGCAGAGGGCCTAGACACAATTCAGGTTATGCTCCGATCATCGCAGAGTGGGAGAGCGCCCAGGGGTGAAGGCACCGGCCTTGCAAACCGCCAACCCTGCTTCTATCTGGGACCTCACAGGGTCCCTTGATCAGCACCGCTGGGCGTGTGACCCCGAAGCACTGGGGCCAGGCCTAGCCCCCCAAGCACTGCTGGGTGTGACCCTGACCAGTTGGTTTCCTGGGGCCAGAGCAACAGCACACTGGGGAAGGTCCTTGCCTTGTACGTACCCGACCCCTGTCTGATCCCTGGCACTGCAGGGGTCCCCTGAGCCCCACAAGGAGTGACCCCTGCAGACAGTGCCAGGAGAAAGCCCTGAGCACTGCAGGGGGTGGCCTCCAACGCCCCAAATAAGTAATTTTTTGCCTGGTTTTGACTTCCAAAGTTAGAAATGCAGCTGACTGTTCAACATCTAAGGCGGCAGCCCCGAGATCTGCCAAGACACGCTCCCGGGCGCAGGGGGGCTGGTCACCCACCGTTTCTGAATCTCTTCCGCCCTCTTTTTCCTCATCTCCAGCATCTGTTGCTTCTGCTGCTTCAGCAGGGCCGAGGCTGAGATGGACTGGATGGCTGGTCTCAGGAGCCCGGTGGCCCCTATAACACAAGCCACGGAGTGAGGGGCGCAAGGGGTGGGGTGGGGCCTCGGGGGTCGTGGGGGTGAGCGGCCTGACGTGACTCTACCTGACGTGGCCTTCGCCAAATGCTGCTTCAGGTTCCGGGCACCAAACGTGGGCAAGTCCATCAGCTCCTTGAACTCCTCGGAGCACGACAAGCTCTTCTGGGGCATTCCTAGGGGCGAGCGAACATCACGTCAGAGGACCCCCGACCCAGGCCCTGTGACGCACTCCGTGTGTCCCTGGCTGACGGCCCACAGACGTCTGCAGATGCAGGAGAAGCACGTCCAGAAGACAGGGCCCTTGGCCTGCTAGCGTCAGCTAAGACAGAGGCGACCAATCGGAGCCAAAGTCCAGAGCGACAGGACAGTGGGGAGGGCGTTTGCCTTGCATGCAGAGATGACCAGGGTTCGATCCCCAGCATCCCATATGGTCCCCTGAGCACCACTAGGAGTGATTCTTGAGTGCAGAGCCAGGAGGAACCCCTGAGCATCGCTGGCTGTGACCCAAATCCCTCCCCCCACCAAAACCAAAGTCCAGGTGTGGGCTGTGTGTAGCCCCCAGCTGGAACCATACACGCTGCATGCGGCCAACCCGGGCTGATTGCTGGCCCCCCGCTGGCTCCCCCCAGGGCCCCCACTTAGCACGGCCAGGAGTGATCCCCGAGCACTAAGCACCGGCTGTGATCTTCCACCCACCCCCAGAACGTTAGACCCCGGCAGTCCACCTTCAGAAAGGCAGACCGAGCTCCGGTGTGGCTGCGGGCGCCGTGCCCTTTTCTTCCTGGGGGTGGGGTGGTTTGGGCTGCCCCTGGTATGTGCAGGCCAGCACCTTACTCGCAGTGACCCCTCTCTGGCCCCTGCCACAGGCCTGGCCCCGTCCCATGCGCGCATGCCGTGGAGACAGACTCAAGAGCAAGAACTCCCCATTACCCAGCTTCCGCTGCGTCTCCTGGAGGACCTGGTCCGAGCCCCTCACCACCAGGTGGCTCAGCGTGGTCTGGATCTTCTTTTTGGGGGCTCTGAAATGACAAGGGAGCCCCAGAGGGGGTTGCTGAGACCAAGGGCATGGAGGAGCATCAAGTCACCACTGATACAGAACGGCTGAAGCCATGTGGGTGCTACAGGCCCAAGGCAGCAGCAGGCCCTCGCTCTGACACCGTGGAAGTTATCTTAACGTGGTCAGCTCACACAGAAACTAGGAGCGGGAAGTAGGCACTGTATGGGAGACGCCAGGCTCTATGGAACTAACCCACGGGGAGTCGCCATGGAAGCAGCCATCAGAGCCACGTGGGGGTCTGCCATGGAGCGGCTCAGCAGGGACACAGCATCTCATGGGGAATGAGGCAGATTCCAGGGACCCAGGTGAGCCCGGTTCCTCCTGGCCACAGGCATTGCGGGGCAGAGCGAGCTTGGGCTGACCACACAGGGCCTGTTCCTTCCGGTGGGCACTCTGCGGGAATGGTTCTAAATCTCTGGAACAGGCCAGAGAGGGGTGCTCCGGGCCCTGCAGGGAAGGGCTCGCGCCTGAGCAGGTCAGCTCTGGCTCCCCTGTGCCAGGCCCCCCTGGGGCTCAGCCAGGCAGTGGGGGCTTGGCCACAGACAGGGCTTCTGACGGTAACGTGATGAAGTGAGTGGTCACCTCCTGCGGCCCGGGAAGGCCCGCCCAGTGCACCCCTGCCCACACCAGCCTCTTGGCATCCTTCACGGTCCCAGGAGGGCCAGAACCTCTCCTAGGGGCGTGAGGGAAATACTCAGCGAGTGTCCACAGACAACAAACACTTTTTTTCCCCCAAACACACTTTTGGGTTGTTTATTTTTTGGCCACACCTGGTGGTGCTCAGGAGTTACTCCTGCCTCTGCACACAGGGATCATTACTCCTGGCAGTGCTTGGGGTGACACGAAGTGCTGGAGATTAAACCTGGGCAGGCTGCATGCAGGGCAAGCAAGAGCCCTCCCCGCTGCGCTGTCGCTCAGGCCCGTCCATCACGCTTAACCCAACCCCGCGTCCTGTCATCCAGTAGCCCCGAGTCTCTGGGCCTCCTTCTCCCGGCCTACAAAGCCCCGGTGCCCGCTTGCCACTTACAGGGAGGCTGCGTAGGAGGCGGAGGACACGCCCCCGTAGTAGAAGCCGTCCTGGCACAGCCGCTCCTTGAGGCTGGCGCCCCTGCGTGCGAACTTCTTGGGGATGCGCCCACCGGAAAAGCTGGACTGCAGGTCCGGGCGCTTGGCGCTCAGCCGCTTGTACTGGGCCTGGATGTGGTACTGGCAGTACTCGCAGTCCCTCTGCGGGAGAGGGAGTAGGGGGTCACGCAGGACAGAGGACGGGGCCCTGCTTCTGGGGACGCGGTGCTGAGTGCCCGCCCACCGCTCCTGGGGGACTGGCCTCCTGTCGCCGCCCCCAAGCTCTTCCTTTAAGCCTCATGGCATAAAGCCTTCCTTTATGCCATCAGGTCGGCACCATCGCAACACCCACCCTGGCAGTGCTCAGGGCACAGGACGGGGACAGGCCCCGCCAGGGATGGACACAGGGGCTCCCGCCTCAGGCTGTCTCTGTGCTCCCAAGCGGGTGATCACGAACCGCACATCCCGTTCCCCCCAGACACTCCTGATTAGTGGGGATGGTCTGCACGATGCCAGCAACTCCACACTGGTCCCCAGCCCCTCTGCGGCAGGGAGCCCTGGGTGCACCGAGACCCACCAGGTTGACCGTCTGGGTACATGGCTCCCCATTTTTCTTCTTTGCCCGGCAGGTGCCCAGGTCCAGCGCCTCCCCCATGACCAAGATCTTCTGCGGATGGTCGATGCTCAGGCACACCTGCAAGGGGGGCGGGGGGGGGGGGCTCAGATCAGAGCAGCGCCCCTAGACTCGCTCCAGCCCAGGCCTCTCGCTGCCACCACCACCCGGCCGACCCATCGCTGACTCTTGGGCTGCGTGTCTGCATTTATAAGACTTTCCCCTGGGCCCCCCTCCCCCAGGAATATCCTGGGAGCCCATATGGGGTTGTCACAGGGTCCCAAGCTCAGAAACGCATCTCGAGGGTGAGTGAAGCCGTGCTCCGGGGGAGGGAAGGTGCAAGGGTGATTCTCTCCTCAAGTCTCTCCTCTCTTGCCTTCAGCACAGTTTGATTTGGGCCGGCACAGGAATGGTACCACGCAAGGCAATGCTCATCTGTCTGGAGCAGGGCCTCTGCGAGGCAGGGGACAGGCCTGGCTGTCCTCGACTCGCCCTTTGCTCCAGGACTGCTGGGAGCACCACACCCTGAGCTCCAGCCGGGACTGAACTGACCATGCAGTCGAGCACCCGCACTGTGGGCCCCGCCCTGCTGCTGCCCCGAGGAAACTGAGATGCACAGAAGGAAGCGGCCACCGGACACGGGAGGGCAGGGGGAGCTGGAACACTGCGGACAGCACTGACCTCCTCGGAGCCGTCCCGGGGCTTCATGGGGTTGGCGTTGAGCAGCCCGACGACGCTGCCCTCGGCCGTCTTCCAGAGCTGCCTGTGGACGTCCCCGAACAGGAAGAGGGACACGTGCCGCGTCAGGTCCCGGAGGTCGTTCAGGCGCCAGATGCTGAAGGTTTTCCCCTGCGACAAGGACCCGCCCGTTCTCAGGAGGCCTCGGGGCGGCCCCCCGGCCCCCATGCCCACACCAGCAGGGTCAGTGCCGGGCAAGTGGGCCAGCGTCTCCTGCGTCAGGCTCACACTCGGGCCTGTCCTCTCCACGAGGTGAAGGGCTGTGAGGCCATGAGTTGGGTGCCAGGGCCTCAGGCCCTTAGCTAAACCCACCAACACAGCCCAGGAGGCTGAGGGTGAACGCTCAGCACGGCACACAACTGGTTCAGGTTCGACCCCCAAAACCCCGGAGTGATCCTGGGGCAATGCTGGGAATGGCCTCCAACCCAAACCCCATGGGTCGGGGATGACAGGGGGCCTCAGGAGGCCCAACCAGCTCAGAGTGACTCACTAGGGTTCCTGGCCCAGCTGCAAAGCGAGGACCCTGCTGTAGTACCGTTGCCATAAGATTCTAGGCGAGAGTCACGGGACCCAATGGGCCACGGTGTGATGATGGCAACGCGGAAATCCCCGAGACTGTGCCTTGGACCGAGTCCCGCGGATTCCAACTCACTTGTGGTCCTGATCCTAAGGGGCAACCGCGCCCCAACACACACATACACACGAAACGCCGTGAGGGCGAAGCACACAAGGGAAGGAGCTGGAATGGGTCTGGCAGACCGGAGTGAACAGACCCTCCTGGATTCCAGACAGCGAAACCGCGGTTCCACCCCCGCCCTGCTGGGACCCCAGATGGGACTCACGCTGTTGCAGCTCTGCGGGGTGACCTTCTTCAGGATCACCCCGAAGGTCACCCAGTCGATTTCGTCCAGTTTCTCAGTGGCCAGCTTCTCCTGCAGCTGAGACAGGCGGACCAGCTTCCGGCCGACCATCTTCTTGTTCATTTCTGTGGAGGACACACGAGGCCGCCTGCGGGGAGAAGCCGTGTGTGACCCGAGAGACGGCCTCTGCTCTTGGCCGCTCGGCGGGGCCGAGGGGCAGGCATCCCTGTGGAGTTCCTGGGGGGGGCCTCCACGATGTCACGGGGACAAGACACATATCTTCATAGCAAGTACGTAAACAATTAGGTAACTCTTGCTTTCACCGGCTGGAACTGGATACTCGCTGTGCTACGGCTCTGAGAGTCATTTCTTACTGGGGTCAGGGAGACAGGACGGGCTGAAGGCACTTGCATGCAGCTGGCGCTCACTCAAATGCCGACAACACATACGGTCCTCCCAAGCACGTGCAGGGTCACGTCTGAACAGCCCTCACTGGCTGTGGCCCAGCCCTACTGGGAGAGGGTCAGGGAGACCCCGGGTCTGACCCCCAGCACAGCCGGCATGGCCACGATTTAAAAGCACCCAGTGGGGCCTTCTCTGCCGCCTACGCCACGTTCTTTCCTCCTCCCCCTCCTTACATTTTCCTAAATCAGCCTTTCCCGGCACATAGCTGTGCTCCTTGGCATCGTTCCAGGGGGGCCTGCTATGCTGGGTAAGCTGCAGGAATCACCAAGCACCTGAAAATCAGCTCTAGCTCCACCACTTTCTGAGTAGAGGCACCGTTGGGGACAAAGCAGGGAAGGTGCCCCCCTGAGATGTCCCCTCCGCTGCGGCTCCTGTCGGGCCAGGTTCCATCCAGCCCAACCTCTGCCCACCCAGCTGCGAGCCCCAAGGGGATGTCACCAACCTGAGCCGCAGGCCGGAGAAGGCCTCCACAGACACGGGCTCGGCCGCTGCCCCGGGGCTCCTGGGCGCCTCTGTCCGCTGGCCCCGCACCCCTCTGCCGGGCTCGTTCCCAGGCGTGCTCTGCAGTGGTCGGGTGGGTGCCACCGCGGGCCCTGAAGGCGAGCTTTTGGGCTCTAGGGAAATCAAGATAAAAAGTGAGTGAGGAAGAACCCATGCTACTAACTCCACATTTTTGGGGGGGGGGGGGGGGGGGGGGCAATGTTTTCTTTTTCAACCCACACACGCAGACCCAAGCGTGAGAGAATCTCTGCCCGACCGAGCACGCCCGCTTCTCAAACCCAGCAGTCTCAACGAAAACCCACGCCCACGGGGTGAACTGGTCACTGGTGGGCTGGACAGCGATGCCTACCCTAGGACATCTGCTGGGTGTTCTCTGTGGGTCCCCAGGTCAGCAGCATGCAAGGCAAATACCCTCCACTCAGGACAATATATTGCTCCGGCCCCAGTTCTTCATATTTCATTTTATTGTTTTTTGGGTCACACCTGGTGGTGCTCAGGGGTCACTCCTGGCTCTGCACTAAGGGGTCACACCTGGTGGTGCTTGGGGACCATATGGGGTGCCTGGGTTTGAACCTGGGTTGGGTGCGTGCAAGGCAAACACCCTCCCCACTGTGCTATCTACTGCTCCAGTTTCCACTCTCTGTACTTTAAAAGCACCTGCTAATCCCCTGCGGGTAAGAAAAATCGGACATCTCCCCAGTAGTAAAATGCCCAGATAAGGTCTTGCTATTTGGAGCATTGTTCCCAAGTCAGAGGGCGGCCGCCCAGAACCTGAGATTAATCTTTAAAAATCACACTCAGGCATGGAGCTCTGACTGATGAGACACGTCGGTAAGACCAAAGTGCCAATGGGGTGGACCTCACCCGCCAGCAGCCAACTGGCCATTAAACGCGAATACCAGGTGCCACAGATGCCCTGACCCCCTGCTCTGACACCTGCCGAAGTCCACAAAGGCGCCTCTCAGCAAGGACAGCAGCAGACGCTGCTCACCTGGGATCTTAGGAAAATCAGGAATAATGTATTTTCCATAGACATTATCTCCAAGAAATAATCACATCAGCAAGAGAAGGCAGAACAATAAATCCAACATAAAGGGGGCTCTCTCTCTCTCTCTCTGACTTCGGGCCACACCCAGCGGGGCCCAGGGGACCATATGGGGTGCCAGGGATAGATTGCAGATGGGCTGCGTGTTAGGCCAGCAGGCCAGCGCCCACCCTGCTGCCCTATTGCCCACACTCTAGGGTCTCCAAGACATCTTTTCTGTCTCAACGGTAGGCTGAGGTAGGAAGACTGCATCTGAGGCCCTTGCTCCTGGCAAAGACAGATTTCTTAAGAACTGACCCCCAGGCTTAATACAGCCTGGTCTAAACTGGCCACTCGGTGGCTCACCCTCACAACCTCAAGGATGAAAACTCGAGATCATGTGGATCCAGCCCAGAGGTGGCACTGACTACTGCTTACGCCAACTAGAGGATTACAGGATGAACATCCTCAGTTTAAGAATGTCCGGGGGGCTGGAGCAATCAGCACAGCAGGTAGGGCGTTTGCCTTGCATGCGGCTGACCCGGGTTCAATTCCCAGCATCCCATATGGTCCCCTGAGCACCGCCAGGGTAATTCCTGAGTGCGTGAGCCAGGAGTAGCCCCTGTGCATCGCCGGGTGTGACCCAAAAAAGCAAAAAAAAAAAAAAAAAAAAAAAAAAAAAAAAAAAAAAAAAAAAGAATGTCCGCCGGCTCCCCCTCCTCCCCAAACATGGTCTTCTCAGTGTGTGTGTGTGTGTGTGTGTACACACACACACACACACATTTCAAACAAGCCAGCACCCGAAGACCGGGAAGGCCCATGTACTGACCGGCGGGAGTTTTGGGGTCCACCTTCGGGGTCCGAGCCACTCGCTTAGCTCTGGGCGGAGCCGGGACATCAAGCTCGGCAGAAAAGCAGGTGGACTCCTGGATTCTCCGAAGCCTCTTCTCCTTGAGAGGGGGGCGCGGAGCACTGTCTCCTTGGTCTAAAGGACAGTAAATTGGAAAAGAGCAGTTAGACAGGCTGTTCTCCGGGCCCTGGACGTGGTGCCACTTTCCCCGCCACCCAGACGGCCCCTCGAGCCTCACCCCGGGACTCGGGTGGAAGTGGCTGCGCAGGCTTGGCGATGGTGGCCATCTGCAGCTGCTCTTGCAAGGCCTTCATCTGCTCCTGCAACTTCCTTAGTTCATCTAGAAAGAAAAGAGCCTCGGATTTGAGCTGCACCTCAGCGGAAATACTATCCACAACGTTAAAGGCTGGGAACGACTTTGGAGTCCGCCCAAGCCACAAAACCTCAAGACCAGCAGCAGAACCACCCGCTTAGAACACACACCATTAACTTCTGCGTCCGAGAGGCCCCCAGAGAAGTAAACTCAACATCAGCGGTGGGGCTTTTCGCGCCACGGCGAGTTATGTATCTGTCCCGCTGATAACTGTGGGCAGCCCTACTGACCCTACTGACTCACTCTATAGGAAGCAGGAAATGACCGTTCAGTCCATAAACTGTGCACAAACTGTGTGATTAGAGAGAAACCGGCCTCTGTGTTAGACCCAACAGCTGGCGGATGCTGAAACGTGGGACTTTATTACAATAAAGTCGAGAGAAGGTGCCAGAGTCAGGGGGAGCGTGCCTCTTACTGTGAGCTCTGAGTCTAGAACATTCCGTGCCCACGTGCCCACGTGCCAGGGGAGCAGCCAGAGGCTGGCTGCACTACAGGGGAAAAAAAACCCGTGTCACACTTCGCTGTGCCCAGCAGGAAAAGCGCCAGAGCCTTTCGGGAAGGTCAATCGATGACAGCTGGGGGGATGGGAGGAGCCACTCTGGCGGAAACAAGGCCTTCAATATTCGCTCCACCCACTGGGCCGCACGGCCAGCACTCAGGAACCAAGGCGGCAGTGGGTCCCCTCCTACCTTGCAGCTCCTGATGGGTTTTCCCTGGATGGGGAGCGTTGTATGCTGATGACTGCGGAGGGGCACCTTCCTCTTCGTCCGTTAAGTCGCCCACGTCCCCAAACAGGGCGGCCACGTTTTCCTTCTGGTCTTCAGGGGCTCCTCCCTCCTCATCCTCCACTGCCTCCGTATAGGACTCCCCATCCCCATCCGCATCGAAGAGCTCATCGAAGGTGTCCGGGCCACCATGGGGATCCCTGCCCGAGGCCGCCTCGTTCTCCTCCAGCAGGGCGGTCAGCAGACACAGGTCCTCCTCCTCAGCTGGCCAGGGACAGAAGACAAACTACAGGGTCAGGTGGGATCGTGGTAGCAGTCAGCAGGGAAGGGGGGCGGTCAGTGCTGTGGGACGGTCACACACCCTCCCGCTGCTCAGGAAGAAGCCTCTGAAGTGTCCTACTGTTCTCCACCCAAGTTAGCAGCATTCACGCTGGGGAACGTTCATGGGGGTCTCCATGGGAGATAGTTTTTTTTCCCCCCCTTTGGGTGACACCTGATGATGCTCAGGGGTTACTCCTGGCAGTGCTCGGGTTGGGGGACCTTATGGGATGCTGGGAATCAAACCCAGGTCGGCTACATGCAGGGCAAGCACCTTTCCTGCTGTGCTAGTGCTCCAGCCCCAGGAGACAGTTTTAAGGGAAGTTCCGTGGCCGGGACTGGGAGAAAGCAGATCCCCTCGAGGCCCTGCCTCCCTCCTTCCCACAGCACTAAGCGGGGACCATGAAGGGATGCTGCAGTGAAGGATTTTAGGAGGAATCACCTGTGGAGGATGAATCAGTTCCATCTACACTAACACAACCCACTCCCGTGAATCCAACGAGGACTTAAAACTTAAGGCATGAGAGAGTCAGTGCAGCGGGTAGGGGGCTTGCCTTGCATACAGCCGACTGGGGTTTGATCCCTGGCACCCCAGATGGTCCCCGGGTGCACCGGCAAGAGTAAGGCCTGAGTGCAGAGCCAGAAATAACACCTGAGCATCGCCAGGTGTGGGCCCCAAACAAACAAACTAAAGAAAGAAGGAAAAACTATGGAATCTCATCAAAAGTATCACATTTCTATCTAGAACTCCTAACGCTAATGAGTGGTATGCAGCCAACAGAAATGGGGTTCAACAGACTTGGCAATGGGCTCACCAGGATGCAGAAGAAATCAAAGTAGGCACCTCAGGACCTCCCTGAGAGGGTCCCCATTCCAAGGAACAGACTAGTTGGCCCGTCGTGAGCTCCTAAATCTCTCTAAGAAACTAGTTTCTCTCTTTAAATGTCTGCTACTAAGTGACTGACCTGTGTTCCTATGTCCATAAGGCCTGGACATGGGGCTGGAGAGATAGCACAGCGGGTAGGGCATTTGCCTTGCACATGGCTGACCCAGATTCGATTCCCAGCATCCCATATGGTCCCCTGAGAACCGCCAGGAGTAACCCCTGTGCATCGCCAGGTGACCCAAAGGTAAAGGTAAAGGTAAAGGCCCTCCCGTTGATCGTCGATTTGCTCGAGCGGGCCCAGTAACGTCTCCATTGGAGACTTTGTTGTTACTGTGTCTGGCATATCCAATACTCTCGGTAGCTTGCCGGGCTCTCCGAGAGGGGCAGAGGAATCGAACTCCGGTCGGCCATGTTGGCTGCGTGTAAGGCGAACGCCCTACCGCTGTGCTATCGCTCCAGCCCCAAAAACAAAAACAAAACAAAACAAAACAAAAAAAGGCCGGGACACCTGACATCAGAAGTCCTTTTCCATCAAACAAACTCATGGTTAAGAAATTACTACTCTTGGGGCTTGGAGCGATAGCAAAGCGGGCGTTTGCCTTACACGCAGCCAAGCCGGGTTCGATTCCCAGCATCCCATAAGTTCCCCCAAGCACCGCCAGGCGCAATTCCTGAGTGCAGAGCCGGGAGGAACCCCTGAGCACTGCCAGGTACAACCCAAAAAGGAAAAATAAAATCACTACTTTTCGTCCTTATAACCACGGGAATAGGTATAGCACTGTTGCCTTACCGTCTGTCTCACCATCCCAGAGAGTTTTCTAAACCAGCGAACCATTCTGCCCTCCCAAGGACAGAGAAAAGGCTAACCCCCCAGCTCTCATCATCTTCTCTTTCCAGCCTGACGACTCTGAAACCCGCGAATCATGCCTGGGCCCCATTCAAAGGCAGGTAGCATGAGGCTTCCCCCCATGCAGGCAGGAGCTACTAGCTTTTGGTCAGCAAGAAGCAGCCCCAGAAGATAGAACTTCTCCCACTTTCCCCTCAACTATTTAAGGCGGCGAAAATCTCTCCGGGGGGTGTATGAAGCAGGCAGGCACATAAAGGGTCTCCCACCCCCACAGCAATGAGATCTTGGGATGCAATAAAGCCCACCTTATGGACATAGGAACTAAAGGCCCGATAAGACCTTCACTAGGGCCAGCCCCGAGCACGCTGGGTGTGACCCAATTAAAACCAAAGCAGGGTCCAGGGTAGCTGCACAAGTGGCAGGGCGCAGGCCCTGGGGTGCAAGGTCAGGGTTCCATTCCTGACGCTTTATCTCCCTGCAGTAAAAACCTTTTTGGGACTCCCGTCTTTTAGGAGGGGCCTGAAAGATTCCTCACCTCGGGGCTTTCATTCAACACTGCCCAGATTCATCCGAACTGAAACAGTTACCATCCACTCCTCTCTAGCGAGAAACTGGCAACTTTCACTCAACCTTTCCCAGCAAAAGCACTCCCTGGGGCCTGGAGAGCACTGTGGGTAGAGCGTTTGCCTTGGCACACGGCCATCTGGTTCCCCAAGCACTGTACCAGGAGTGATTCCTGCATGCAGAGCCAGGTGTAACACCTGAGCACTGCCGGGTGTGGCCCAAAAACCAAAGAGAAAACAAACACAAAAGTGAGGCTGATTCTCACCCCTCTCCCCCCTGGAACTCTCACCAGTAAGGACCGAGCAGCAGCACCAGATACCCCAGACACACACTGTATACCCCCTCACTGTCCCTAACACGCGTGTCCAGCCCTCCCTCCGAGGGCGTGAGCAGCAGCTCGTATTCATTTGCAGATCTCAGATTCCGGGCGAGGAAAAGAGCTGCTGGTGCTCATGGGCCAGCTGGAGTTCCTCTCTTTAGACATTCCTTTTTATTTTCTTGTTTCCCAGCCCCTCAATTTGGCCACTAACCCTTTATAAAGTGAAAGTTACAGGGGGGCCGGGGCGATAGCACAGCAGGGAGGGTGTCTGCCTTGCATGTGGCTGACCCAGGTTCAATCCCTGGCATTCCATATGATTCCCCGAGCACCGCCAGGAGAAATTCCTGAGTGCCAAGCCAGGAGTGACCCGAGCATCACAAAAAGACCCCCCCCCAAAAGAAGTGAAAGCGACAGTCTTGCCCTAAGACAGTCTCCCCCTTCCCCCCCACCCCCACGACGAAACACACCACAAGCCTGGGGTCCCCCGGCAGAGGTACAGAGACTCCTGCCGACTTACCGTCCATGCTGAGGGCCTTGGAGGAGGGTCCGGCACCCGGGAAGCAACAGGGTGGGATCTGGCTCTGAAAGCAACAACTTGGTCAGCCCGAGCTCCTCCCCATGCCATGCACCTCCCGCCCCGGTTTATTAAAATCTGACTTGTTTACCCCCATCTGGGGCCACATGCCACCCGGAAGGGAGCAGTCCCCCTCCTGCTGTCTAACTAGCCTTGCATCCACAGAGGCCGGCCTGCAACAGGCCGGTATACCCTGCTTTATAGTCTGCCACGCGGGCAGCCCAGCGTGGAGTTCACTGGGATCTCCAGGCAGTTCCCGCTGGTGAGGGCTGGAGCAGCGGCTGGCTTGGGTCGGGGAGATTCATTCAGAGCATCTGAACGGCCGCGGGAACCTGGAGAATTTCCCACGCTACCCTGAGCCTTCGGGAGTGTGACCTGCGGGTGGGAGTGTGGCTCCAGAGCTTGCTTTCCTGGATCTCGCCATCTCCACGCTCCCTGCAAACACCCCCCTGCACTGGTCCTCCACATCTGGGCCGTGAGACAAGCGCTCAGGCCTCCCACAAGCCCAAGCCGGAACTGCTGGGTGCACTTCCTGTATCTGCTCGTACCCCCCACACAACAGCCCAGGAATTTTCCCCTCCTTTCCCAGATCACTCTCCAGAAGAGGTCCCACTGCCCTGGGGCACAGAGGGGACAGGGCCTAGCAGGCTCTGGCCTCATCCGCCCACTCGGCCCCCAAGCCAGGCCCCAGCTGGCCCTGCCCGCTCCCAAGTCCCGGGAACCTGTTAGCCACCACCATAGCAGGCCAGGAGGGAAACAGCCGGACAAGAGACACCCGCAGGGGGAACATACACAAACCACAAGCCTCTCAGATGTCCTGCTCCAGCCTTGAACCCAACGGGCTGGAGACAGGTCAGAGGTAAGGTGGTTGCCTAGCATGCAGCCCACTCGGATCCAATCCTAAGCACCCCAGAAGACCCCCACCAGGAGTGATGCCTGAGCACTGAGCCAGGGGTCAACCCTGAGCATCGCAGGAAGCGGAGCTGCTCCCAGCAGGAGCAGATGGACCCCCGCAGATCACCCCTCGGCTGGAGGAACTTCACTTAGGGAGCCCCTTTCTGCAGTCTGCGGGCAAGGGCTAACCCCCACCCTACCCGGGTCCTCTGGCTGACCCCAACCCGACCGGGCGGGGTGCTCCAGCTCACCCTGACCCGGCGGGGTGCTCCTGTTAACCCTGACCCGACCTGACCCGGCAGGGTGCTCCTGCTCACCCCGACCCGACCCGGCGGGATGCTCCCCCTCACCCCGACCGGACCCGGCGGGGTGCTCCCCCTCACCTCCACCCGACCCGGCAGGGTGCTCCCGCTCACCCCGACCCAACCCGGCAGGATGTTCCCACTCACCGCGACCCAGCCCGGTGGGGTGCTCCCGCTCCTTCTGGAGAGAGGATCCGCGTCCCTGCGCAGTGCGACCCCCGCCGCCGGCGCCAATACACCCCAAGGTGACGGCTCCCGCCTCCGCCGGCCCCGCGCCTGCCCGCACCTCCGTCCGCCGCGCCAAAATTCCAACTCGGCCCCGCCCCTCATGACGTCAGACGCACGCCGGCGGCGGGCCGCACTGGTTGGCTGCGCAGGGGCTCCCGGGGCGGAAGTCCGGGAATGGGGCGCAAGCTGATTGGCTCGCGAGACGGGCCGCCCTCTTTGTTGGGGGCACGGTAGCTTCCGGTCGGGGAAAGGTGGTGGTGGTGTCTGTCTTCATTTAAAGGGTGTCTCCTTTAAATGAAGAAAGTGCTCTAGCGCCTCCCAGTGCCAGGAGGTGGGAACGCAATTTCTAACGCTTAGGACTATCTCACTTCATTCTTTAGAAACTGGTTTTCTCTTTGGAGGGTGGAGTTAGAGAAGGGTACTACCCCGAACCTCCCACCAGAGGGCATGATTCCCTTCTGGAAGGTCAGCTGAGTCCTCCAGCTTTCTCTCATACTCTCCACATGTACATCAAGTGCTCTGCGTTGAGCCACATCCCCCAGCTCAGCTGAGAGCAACAGTTCTGAGGAGGACATCTGGCAAGTACAAATGAAGCAGTGCCTGGTTGATCCTGTTCTTCCCCGCCAGGGATTAGTTCTGTGACCCGAAAACGCTCACAGTTGTATCTTCATTTGCGATTTGCTAATGATCTGTGAGGCTGAGCATTTTTTCCTTTTGGTTTTGGGATACACCTGGCATTGCTCAAGGGTCACATGATCACACTAGGCTTGGCCACATGCAAGGCAAGTCTTGCCTTAATGCCTAAATCTCTCCAGCCCAAGACATGCATATTTTACAATCTCTTTACCAAGCCAGCCGTTTCCCTTAAAACCAAAGCCTTTACCAGGTGCAGGACTTGTCTGCATTTGCAATCCTTCTAATTACCAAACTACTGGTTTGATGGCTAATTTAATACGTCCATTTACATTATTATTTAAGAGTTGGGATTCACTTAATTTTTTTTTTCTTTTTTGGTCGCACCCGGCGATGCAGATGCACCAGGGTTACTGCACTCAGGAATTACGCCGAGTAATTCCTGGCAGTGCTCAGGGGACCATATGGGATGCTGGGAATTGAACCCAGGTCGGTGGCGTGCAAGGCAAATGCCCTGCCCGCTGTCCTATTGCTCCAGCTCCAGGCTTAATATTTTTTTAAAGAATGGGGAGACAGAGAAATAGTACAGTGGGCAGGGCACTTGCCTTCTACGGAAATTACCTGGGTTCAATCCCCCGCACTGCCAGCAGTGATCCCTGAGCACAGAGTCAGGAGTAATCCTGAGCACAGCCAGGTGTGGCCCCAAACAAACAGACATGCTCATGCATGTGTGCATTATATCAGATTTGTCTGGAAGAGATTCTGTGGCAAATCCAGACAGGAAAGCTCTTTATTTTTGTTTTTGGGTCACACCCAGCAATGCACAGGGGTTACTCCTGGCTCTGCAATAATTACTCCTGGTGGTGCTCAGGGGACCATATGGGATGCTGGGAATCAATGCCGGGCTGGCCACATGCAAGACAAACGCCCTACCTGCTGTGCTATTGTTCCAGCCCCAAGTCTCTTCATTTTTTCAGAAATGTCAGTATCTAGATTCATCAAGGTGCTTCTCGTTTTTGGGGGGTCGTAGTCCCCCAAGCAGTGATCAAGGGGTCCTGAGGCCTCTCGGAAATACCTCAGCCAGTTTGGGGGGCCACAAGGGCCACACCGGACCTGGGAATTGAACCTGGGGCTACCACATGCTAACCATTCACTCTGGCTCTTTGAACTAGACAGTTTAAGTTTGAGATGGGCCCAGTATTAGCTAATCTTGGTAAACCATAGCTTTCCAATATAGAACAAATCCTCCTCTACCCCCCTTTACAGCCACATGTGTTGGTCTCAAGTGAAGGAATTGCTCATGCTGATTAGTTTTGTGTGTGTGTTGGTGGAGGCACCCCAGCTGTGCTCAGGACATACTCTTGGCTCTGCACTCAGGGACCACTTGGAGGACTGGGGGGTGGTAGCAATTAAGCCTGTGTCCGCCACATGCAAGGCCAGCACCTCCCGCTGTCCTTTCGCTCCAGCCCTGAACTATTCTGACCTGTAGACTTCAAAGAACAGGTCTGGAGTGTTAAGCTCACATGACTCTGAACATAGACACACGCCAATCAAAAATCTAACTTCTGCGAAAGATTCCTAACTCAAATTTTATTTTGCACCAACTATTTTCTGTGATCATGAATATACAGGAAGGAAATTAGAGAGCGGTTCTTTCCGGAAACTAATAAACTATATACTGTACAAGACCGGCTCTTGGCAGCGCCATGGGAGAGCTGACGGCGGCGGGGAGCCAGGAGCCTGGCGCCTCTCTCTGTGCTTTGCCAACACCTCGCACTCGTGATGCTGTGCCACTGCAGCCCCGAGCTCCCAGGACAGCCATGCGGTGCCCACTGCATCACAACAGACACACGCTTTGAATGGACGGAGACCACTAGCACGACATCGGAAAACAATGCTGGAGAGGTTTCCTTTCTGTCCCTTCATCTCTCCTGCTTCCTTTACGGGCTTCTTAAAACGCCTCGTGGCTGCTCCTGCCCGGCATTCCTGGAGTCTGTCCCACCGGGGATGGGTCTGAGCGAGTTCCTCAGCAGAAGCATGTTCTGTGGAGGACTCTGTCCCACCAGTCGATAGAAATCCAAAACTATCAGACACCCATTTCCTGTCTCCTAAAACAAACATAACGCGTCAAAACGTTAGCATAAAAAACGAGTAACACAACAACGGCTTAGGGAAGCGGTGCTGCCCCGCCTAGATGATGCAGTCCATGACGTGGATCTGGAGTGTGTCGATGTCTGGGAGGACTTCTCCGCACTTGGGGCAGGAGTGGATGGGCAGGGTCCGCGGCGGCGGCCAGTTCCGATCCTCGGCTCCTGGAAGACACGGGAGGGGAAGAGTCACTCTGTGGGCTCCGGGCTACCGTCGGGCCAGTTTCCAGGGTTCACAACAGATGCTTCGTCTGAACCTCATGTGAACTCTGGGATCAGTGCACAGCGGGCACCCTGGTGGCAGGGGCAGTGTGGGAACGAAGTCCGTCTGAAGTCATCATTAATGGGTCTGTGAATCAGAGCACCCCTAAAGGTGGAAGAAACCCAAAAATGTATCTGGAAAGGGACGGGAGGGAGTTGGACAAGAAGGAGGCGGGGCCAGGGGTGCTTCTGATGTTTCCACTTTGGGTGAAAGAGGAGAGAAGGGTTGAGTCCGGTGCCTCGGGGCCCAGCTGTGGGCCTGGACACATGTGTGGCCCCCGTGGGTCTGCCTGGAGGCCGGAAAAAAGGCCAACAGCACACGGAGTGGCAGCGCGCCAGGGAATCCACGGGCTTGAAGTGAGAGGGACTTGATGAGTGCTTGCAGCAGGATGAAAGGTCAGGCCACTCACCTCTCGGGACCAGATACGTCTGTAGTTCCGAGTCACCTGCACGCGCCCCGTGGCGGCTCTGCATCTCCATGAGGGACTGCCTGTGACACCAAGGGTGACAGAGAGGAGAGAGAGGTTGGGGAGGCAGCCTGAGACGGACTCGGGGGGAAGGACTGGGGGAACAGCTGGAGACTGATCTGGGCTCTGTCTTCTTTTATTATTATTTGGGGGTTTGGAGCCTCACACTGACCCCTGGCTCTGAGCCCAGAGATCAACCCAGCGGAGCTCAGAGGACCATATGGGGTGCCAGGGATTGAAACCAGGTCAGCACAGGCAAGGCAAGTAAGCACCTGACCCTCTGTAATATTGCTCCAGCCCCTCCTTTTATCCTATTTTTTGGTGATGTGTATAATTTTATTTCTGCATTTAAACATTTTCTCAAAGTGAAACTTCAGAGGACAGAAGTCACTGCCAGCAGGGAAGGCGCCTGCTTCAAACCCTATGCCCCATACGGTCCCCAGAGCCAGGAGTAAGTCCTGAGCACTGTGGAGTGTGGTCCCCAACCCAAAACAACAGCAGTAATAGTAACAATCAACAAAGCGTCAGAGCCTTGGGATTACTCCTGCCCTGACACTGGCAGGATACGGCATCGGGCACAGAGGGTGAGATTCTGCAGCCGAAAAGCCAAGCACTTGGTGCAGTTCCCACGAGACAACCAAGCCTCGCAGTGGGCCAAGGAAGAAGAAACGAACTCCATTCAGTTGAGCGCTGGGAGGTCCTTCCCCACCACTGGGGATAGCCATCTCCTGCTGTTGCTGCGAGAGCCGGCCACGCAGTGCAGGGCATCAGACCCGGGGCCTTGAGTGTGCCCCGCTCTGGCCGTGCTCTGACTCCACCCTCCTCACCTGCTGCCATCCTCAAACGCGTCATTCTCCTTCAGCAGAAGCGCGAGCTGTAGGGCCAGCTGCTCCTTCTCTTCGTGAATCTTCTCTCTCGCCGCCCTCTCAGCATGAAAGTCCGAGCAGTAAACCTCCATCTGCCGTGGATGGACGGGAGAGAGTTGTCAGCAGCCGGCCAGATTCCCTCAAGGGGCCATGGGGCTCCGCCACAGAGCCTGGCTTCCACTGTGTGCCCCAGCCATGCCTAGCCAGCCTGTCCCGAGGACAGACTCAGTGTGGTCGCAAACAGGCTTCAGCTCATGGGGACCCTCAATTACACCAGTGCAGGCGGCTTACACACTCCGGGTGGGGCTGGGGCCACAGGGAAGGGTTCGAGGTGCCTGTCCTGCATGTGGCCAGCCCTGGCTCCAGCCCTGCTTCCAGCCCTGGCATCACTTGGCCACCACCGTGGACTCCCAAACACCCCTCCTTCCAAAGCAAAACAAAACGAAAACCCAACTCTGAGCCATGAAGTCAGTTCTCATTCCCTGGGCCTATTTTTTTTAAAGGTGACTCTTGGCAGGGCTCGGGGAAGCATCTGGGGTGCGGGGATCACAGTGGGGTGACCCTTAAGCAAGCAAGCGCCTTATTATCGCTCCAGGCATTGGGTTCCTGTGAAGGAACTGACATCCGGGGCTAAGTCATATTGTGAATGGCTATTTAGTCCATCGGACGGATTGATTAAGGCAATATTTTGTTTGTTTTGTTTTTTGGTCTCACCTGGCAGTGCTCAGAGATCACTCCTGGGGAGCTGGGGCGGGGGACTGTACGAGTGCCGGGGGGGGCGTCTAACCTGGTCTGGCCACATGCCAGGCAACCACCCACCTGCTGCCCTCTCACTCTGGCCCCTGGTTTAAGGCAACACTTGAAATGATAGTAACAGGGCCGGAGTGATAGCACAGCGGGTAGGGTGTTGGCCTTGTACTCGGCCGACCTGGGTTCGATCCCCGGCATCCCATAGGATTCCCCGAGCACCACTAGGAGTAATTCCTGAATGCAGAGCCAGGAACCCCGAGCATCACCGGGTGTGACACTACCCCCTCCAAAAAAAAAAAAAGATGCGTAAGAAACATGGTGTTCTTTCCACAGCAATTAGACCTCGTACTAATGACGGAGGGCCGGGGAGACAAGGTCCTTGCCTAGGACACAGGCAGCCCCAGTCTGCTCGCTGGCCCCACACCTGCTCCTCAGAGCACTGCCAGGAACAGCCCTACACACTGCCAGCTGCAGCCAATCTCCCACACTGGGAAAAAAAAGATCAAAACACACTAGAAAAAAAAATCAAACACACTAAAAATCAAATACACTGAAAAAACAGAAACCCAGACAGTGTCTTTGGGCGCCATCACATTCCTGCTCAAGGCCGGTCTCTCCCCACCCCCTCCACCGCCTCCGGCGAGGCCCACCTGAGCCCGAAGCACACCCATGGTCTCCAGCCCCTCCTCCTGCCTCGCGATGGTCTGCTTCATCTCGTCCATCTGCAGCTGCTTGGCCGCCAGGGCCTTCTCCGCCGCCTCCAGCTTCTCCCGCAGCTCCTGGACCTCCGCCCTCTCCACTCTCTCTGACTGCAAAAGATACACGTGTTCTAGGAATGGCAAGGAGGGCATTTGCTCTAATCTGGTAAAACGTTAAATGTTTTTGGGTTTTCTTTTAAAAACTGATTGGCTCTAAACAGTTCTGGGAACTTAGAAAATCATAGCCACTTAAATCCTTAAATCATGGCTTGCAAAGAATAATGTCCTAGTTAAGTCATGTATAAAACACACCGTGCAATCATTAAAAGCAAAGTATTCACTCAGCTAAGGGGGGAAAGAGCCAATCCCAGGCGTGGAGAGATAACTTCTCAATACGTCCTTTTTCCCACTTGTGATTCTTTGTGAAGTCAAAGTACAAGAAGGATCATGTTTTAAAAAAAATTTTTTTTTTGGCTTTTTGGGTCATACTTGGCGATGCGCAGGGGTTACTCCTGGCTCTGCACTCAGGAATTACCCTTGGTGGTGCTCAGGGGATGCTGGGAATCGAACTCGGGTCTGCCATGTGCAAGGCAAATGCCCTACCCGCTGTGCTATTGCTCCAGCCCCTCATGTTTCACGGTCACGGTCCTCCCGTTGTTCATCGATTTGCTCGAGTGGGCCGAGTAACGTCTCCTTCGTGAGACGTGTTGTTACTGTGTTTGGCATATTGAATACGTCATGGGTAGTTTGCCAGGCTCTGCCGTGAGGGCGAGATACTCTCGGTAGCTTGCCGGGCTCTCCAAGAGGGGCGGAGGAATCGAACTCGGGTCGGCCATGTTGGCCGCTTGTAAGGCAAACACCCTACCGCTGTGCTATTACTCCAGCCTCATGTTTAAATTTTTTAATTTTCTGTTTTTTTCTTCCTTCTTCTTGGGTCACACCAGCGGTGCTCAGGGGTTACTCCTGGCTCTGCACTCAGGAATTACTCCTGGTGGTGCTCAGGGGACCATTTGGGATGCCAGGGATTGAGCCTGAGTCGGCTGCATGCAAGGCAAACACCTCACCTGCTGGACTATTGCTCCAGCCCCATAATTTTTAAAAAAAATTTCTAGGTGCTCAGAGGAGCAGCGGGCACTGAAAGGCAGGGCACTTGCTTATGAAGACAAGCAGCTCGGCGTCCCCCGACTCAGGCCCTTCACGCACTTTACTTCTTGCTGCTTTGAGGTCCCTGACAACAGCTCAAGGTGGCCAAGGACACAGCCCGAGGGGCCATGATTTGTGAGCACTGGGAACACTTACTCCCAGTCATGCTGTGAAACACGTCCATCACTGCACACGTCCAGGGCCTGCTAATGGTCATACCGGATTGGCCCTAGGTACTCATGGATATTGCACCCTGAAAAGTTCACAGTCTCAAGTCCACTGGCGGCCAGAGCCTGTGGACACCACACAGCAAAGGGTCCCTTGGCTGTACCCTCTTCACCGCATGCTGCTTTCCTCAGGCCCCTGGCTGAGCTGCCAACGGAACTCCTGACGCCCAGCCACAGCCTCTGACGCTTGGACACCAGGAGCCAAGGACGAACTAAAGCACCACCTTCCAAACCAAGCCTGGCTATCAGCAACGAGCTAGTTACTAGCAACTAACTGGTCCTCTGGTGCGAGAACACGACCCCGCGGTACCTCTTTCCTTCCGAGCTCCTCGACAGTCCTCAGAGTGTGATTGTGTTCCTGGAGCAAGGTGCTGTGCGCCGTCTGCAGAGCGGCCAATCTGGCCCTGCGCAAGAAAGAACGAGGAGAAAGACGGACTCTTGGGAACGCGCAGAACTTGCCTCTCCCAAACACTCCCCGAACACTGAAGTTGCCAAATCTCTCCTCCGTTCACCCCCGGGCCCGGGAGCCTTTCCTCACTCCCCAAGCAAATGAGCTCCCTGCTGCCCCCATCATATAGATCGTGTATGATTTCCACCACCTCCTCCGAAGCCTTGAGTCTTAGCTCCTCTGCAGGGCTCCTTCCATGAGACAGCCGTCACCTCTGCCCAGCAGAGCCCAAGCCCCACCCGCACCGGAGCTGAGTCCCCCGCCCTGGGGCCCCCACTCACTTCTCCTCCTCGGTTTTCGCCTGCTCCATCTGGATTTCTGACCGCATGCTCTCCACCTGGAGCTCCAACTTTCTGTTCTTGTAGATGAGCTCCTGCTTCTCATTCAGCTCGGACGGGCTTGCAGAATTTTTCCTCTCGAGGGCCTGACACCTGAGGAAGATCACGCTTTGGTGAGGAGGAACACGCGCCGTTCCCCAGTGGCCCTCCGCAGACCCCCATGTGCGCACGCAAGGGGCACAGTCCTTGGGTCTGCACCCGCTCCCCTGAGCTTCTCTCCCAGACAAGGCTGTTTCTGGATCTTGTGCCTGAAGATGACAGCCCAAATCAGAGCTGGGGGTCACTGTTAACAGGAAATATGCAAATACGTTTCTCAGGTTTAGACACAGAGTTTGGCTTGAGAAGAACAGGGGGAGCGGGGGGCAGAGAGGTTCCACTGAGGCCGCGGCATTCCGTGTCTACTTGGACTCTCCCAGAGCCTGCAAACAAGGCCTTGAGCTGGGGGAAAGGGGACAGGTGTCCACATGAACCCCGTGGAAAGAAGAGCTGGTGTTTTGTTTGTTTGTTTTTATTTTTGCTTTTTGGGCCACACCCAGCGATGCTCAGGAGTTCCTCCTGGTTCTGCACTCAGGAATTACTCCTGGCGGTGCTCGGGGGACCCTATGGGATGCCCCAGATCGAACCCGGGTCAGCCGTGTGCAAGGCAAATGCCCTCCCCGCTGTCCTATCGCTCCAGCGCCAAGAGCTGGTGTTTTTCCGTGATAAAGTTCACTCAGCTCTTGCTCCCACCGTGCTTCACAAAGCGGCCTGGCCAGCTGGGTCAGCGTCCCCCAAAGGCCCCAAGTTACTGTCTCCAGCTCTCCCCTTAGCCTGGATGCCAAGCTGGGCCCTGCTGCTTTCTAAACCCCCCGTTTGCACCAGGCTCTGCCAGCCCCGCAGCGCCCGAGCCCATGTCCGGGGCCAGTCCTTCAGGCGGGTGAGCTCTCCTCCTTACTTCTCCTGCAGCCTCTTCTTCATCAGCTCCGCCTCGCTGAGCTTCGTGTGCGCCTCCTGCAGCTCCTTGAACAGGTTCGTCACCTGCAGGTTCAGCATTTGGACCTCACTCCCCACCTGTCACATGGGAATCCCAAACGTCAGGTGTTGATTCTGAGCACTGCAGATGAGTCTCTGTGAGAACACGGAGTGATGGGGAGCAGCCAGTGAAGGCCGGGGGTCAGCGAAGCTTTGGACAATGACTGCCCCAAGCAGCCGACAGAAAGCAGGTGCCTGGACACAGTTCTGTTCCCTGGGAGCATTAGCTGAGCCCTGGGATGCGAGTGTGGTACCGCCACCTTCACCCCAGTGACCCAGGCCCACTGCCGCTCTCCCCCAATGCACTCTTCTCCCTCTACCGCCTTTTCTTCTGGCCATTCAAGAATTTCAGTCAGAGTTTGGGAAGCATCAAACCTTTTGCATAATCGGTAACCCATTTCATTTCAGACAACAGGCAACTCTTAAGTTTCTGGTGGTTTCTTCATTTGAGTTTTTGTTTTGGGGAGGTGGGCGGCGGCGGGGGAGCTTACTCCTGGCTCTGCACTCAGAGATCACCCCTGCTGGGGCTGGGGGGGACCATTTGTGGGGCCCAGGATCAAACTCAGGCCAACCACATATAACCTTTCTCGCTACATTCTCTCCGGTCCCTTCATTTCAGTTTTCTAAACATTCTTCAGTCTTTTAACAGTAGAAGAACTCAGCCTGGGGGCAGGCATGTGGCAGGCATCCCCCCACAGTCCGCCCATCAGTGCATAAACCCACAGGGTTCATGTGGATGCCCATCCCCTTCTCCCCAGCTCAAGGACCGGTTTGCAGGCTCTGGGTGAGTCCAAGTAGACATGGAATGCTGCGGCCTTGTGGAACCTCTCTCTGCCCCCCCCCCCAATTCTGTTCAAGCCAAATTCTCTGTATCCTCCCTTCATGCAAAGGATCTCACAGTACAAAGTGTTTCACGTTCAAAGGATCTCACTGTATAGTGGCCAAGGAATTAGGAGTGGACAGGAAACAGGACCCAAGTGACTAAAGCCAACAGCACATCCCAGGACCCCAGCCGAGTGTCTACCCCCCACTTATCTCGGCGGCCCTGAGCACCCACACTCTCTGGGCCCTGCTCCTCTTCATCCTCGCGGTCTGTGCACCCTTCTGTCTGCGTCTCGGTCTCAGCGTGAGTGGGGACTCGCTTTTCATAATAGGAAATTCTGAAAAAATTACAGAATGTAGAAATGTCACTTCCCCTGGGTGGTCGAGAGGCCTGTTCCTCAAAGAGGCAGAACGAAAGACACGAACTCCTTCTGCACACCAGAAACCCTGCCTCCTTTCATGTACTAGCACACAAAATGTCTGAGTGTTTTTGAGTTCTGTGTATGCTCTAGTTGCTAAATGACTGTGTCCCTTTATAAGGATTCGGCAGAGAGGTAAAAACTTGCTGTGGGGGCACATCTCAGCTTGAGTCTCACGTTCTACCCCTGAGCTGACCAGATGCTGGTGGGCAGTGTCCAGTTTAGAAGTCCTCGGAACCATACAGCGATATTCTTGCACCAAGTCATGAATACCTAAGAGCCATCCCAGTAAAAATGAAATCTAGACCCATTTTCCAGATGGGAGCCTGAACTCTGGATGTAATTAAAACAAAGAAACAAAAACACCAAAAAAAACAAAAACCAAACATTTTGTGCCACATCTAGCAGTGCCCAGGGCTTATTCCTAGCTCTCAGGGGACAATCTGGAGTGCCAGGGATCCAACCTGGGCTGGCCATGAGCAAGGCAAGTGTCCTGCCCGCTGTGCTATGGTTCCAACCCTCTGCATGAAATGTTTATCCCAGTGGAGTCTACTAAAATGACTCTGGATGCCACAGACTGGGGCCAGCGGTGAGACACGAGCACAGCCTGGCACGTGTGAGGCCCCGGGATAGATCCTTGGTCCCACAGGTGACCACTCCAACCAGGTGACCTTGCCACCACAGCAACGGTATACACGAGCCTTGTGCCTAGAGGAGTCGAGAGGCAGGGAGACAGAACTACCGCAGGGCATTGGGAAGCACAGGCCAGGAGGAGATGAGCTGCAAGCTCAGAAGGAAGCCAAAGGAGGCCCAGCTCTGGGGGAAAAGGCCAAAATAACTATTTGCAACGACACAATCTTCTCTCTGGAAAATCCTAAGGAATCACTGTAGATCATTAGCGGTAACTGATTCGTGTGGAAAGGTCAAAGTGAGATAAAAAAATGCAAAACTCAGCTGTTTCCATATATTGCCAGTGACCCACCCAAAAATGAAATAATTTCAGGGGCTGGAGCGATAGTACAGATAGTATCACCAGGAGTAATTCCTGAGTACAGAGCCAGGAGTAACTCCTGAGCACTGCCGAGTGTGACTCCCCCCCCCAAAAAATTGTGCATGAGTGTTCAGTGAAACATTTTCATAATAGGCTTAAAAGTGGGAACAGCCCTGCTGTTCACCATCTGCTCGCCAATGTTCATTCAAATTCACCATTTGAATAAACAAAAAGTCCAGTTTCACAATGGAATATTACTCAGCAACCAAAAAACGAAGAGCTGTTGCATGCGGTTACTGGATGGAGCCCCCAAACACCCAGGAAGTCAAAGTCAAGAAGTGTATTCCGTGGTTCCATTTGCACAGAAGGTCCAGGGCACAGGGAGAAAAGAGATCTCCCAGGAAGCTGGTCTTCTGGAAACGGGCACGAGGGAGTAGGCAAGAGTGACCCAGGAACACGGGATGAGGGTTAACGAGTACTGAGTGCTTTGTGGTGGGGGTGGTGGAATGTTCTAAACTTAGAATGCGGTACACAGTTACAAAATCCGGTGAGATTCCACAAGCTGACGGCACTGTTCATTTTCAATGATGCACTGCATCTCCAGAGAGTCGTTCCGAGATGGGCTGCCCTTACAGTGACTGTCCCCTACCTTTCCTTGGCTTCCCTGAGTGCGAGTTCGAGGCTCTCCACCTTCTGGTTTCCTTCTCGCAGACAGAGGAGGAGCTGACTCACAGTTAATTCCTCAGATTCCAGATGATTCCTGGGACCTTCCGCTGATTTGCTCCTATATCAAGATAGTCTAAAGGTTAAAAGGTTTTATTAAAAAAAAAAGTCTACATCTAAGTGTAGAGCAGCTCAATAGAACAAAACCCAATTTAAAGGGTTGGCTTTCCCGAATATTCTTGGGTTAAGTCTCATGTCCCTACCAGGCCCCTTTCATGGGGATGAGTGGGGGACTCACGGGGACAGTGGGGTCCTAAGCGCACTGGTCACCACCAGTGCTGATGGTGGGCCTGTGGCAACCCGCAGGCCATGGGCCTGTGTCCAAATGTGCCAGAATGTGGCCTGAGGTCATGAGGCAAGAGGGAAGGAAATCCTTTTGGTTTGGTTTCAAATAATTAGAGGTGGGAGGGGTAGGGCTGGTCGTTCTGTTTGCTCTTCTCTCCATTCTGCAATGTGGTGAAACCAAATGTTTATTCAATAAGCAACAGAACCAGGCCCTCCCTGCTCTCCCATGAGCAAAGACTCGACTAAGGCTGGACTTAGCCCCTCCTGTGGGGCACCTCCTCAGGCTCCCAGATCTAATAAAGTGTCAGCAGAAACGTCTCGTGCGCTGACTCCAAACTCCAGGATGAGCATGCAATCAGGCTCTGAAACACATTTCATTTTTTGTTTGGGTCACACCCAGCGATGCTCATGGGTTACTCCTAGTGGTGCTTGGGGGACCTTATGGGATGCCAGGGATCAAACCCGGGTCAGCCACATGCAAGGCCAATGCCCTCCCCACTGTACTATCGCTCCGGGCTCTGAAATACATTTCTGAGCAGGGGAAGAGGCTGCCACTGCAAACCAGAGTAGGCTCAAGGGGAAGTGGCTTTGGGGGACACAGATGAGGAGGAAGTGGTCGGGAAATCGCAAACAGGATTTCTTCCTTCCCACCACTTCCTGAAATGCCTTTCGATATTAAAACACACACATATACAGTTTGGGAGAAAGTGGAGGGAGGGATTTCTAACCCAAACAAGGGGAACGATTTTCATTTGTGCCAATTGCTGTTTGAGGAAAGAACGTGTTTCTTTTCTCATGAAAAAGAACTAAAAAAAGTAAAAGTAAAAGGCCCTCCCGTTGATCGTCGATTTGCTCGAGCGGGCCCAGTAACGTCTCCATTGGAGACTTTGTTGTTACTGTGTCTGGCATGGAAAAAAAAGAATCGCTTTTCCTGTCTTCTAAGTGAGTTATTTTCTGTGTACATTCAAGCTCTAGGAGGGAAAGATTACTGTACAGCCGAGGAAGAAGGAGATCCTCAGAGCACATTCCAGGTCACTGGGAATTGTAAGGAAAGAAAAGCAGCGGGTTACAGCGCCGAGAGTGTCTCTGACGCTCTCTGCCTGCATCCTCAGTCATCTCCACTCCTAAACACTCCTAACATCTGGCATGTCAAGGAATGGCCACGATGACCCCTCAGTGGCACTCAGAGCAGTGGCCAGTTCTCAGTGACCTCTGCTCACACACAAGAATGCACAGGGCAGGCCAGATGGAGACTGCTCCTCGGTCAGTCTGGAGACTTGCCTGGGTCAAAGAGCAGGGGCCAACATGGGAGGGTCAGAGAGCAGGAGCCGCCAAGTGGGAGGAGAGGGTCGTCGGACTGGGAACATGCCTGAGCCCCTCTAAGTGGGGGTGTGACAGAGGCCCCAGCCCTTGCTTCTATTCCCTGCCTGATGCCAAAACCATTCAGAGCAAATGCGTGTGAGAGTACAGAGACGTGTCCCTATCAGCCCTCAGCCCCTCCCAGTGGCGTGGAAGGTGGGGAGATTTCCCGGGGGTCTGTCTCCCCAGCCAGTCCAGGTCACCTACGTGTCCAAGGGATCCGCCCGGGCGGGCCTGGGGTTAGGATTCAGGTCCTTCGTGGCCACGTCCACCCCTCCTTCCTGGAAAGGCAGAAAAGTTCGGGGGTGAACACAGCATGTGTACAAGAGGTTTTTGGTTTTTCTCTTGGGTTTGGGGCTATACCCAGCCGTGCTTGGGGGTTTCTCCTGGCTCTGTGTTCAGGGGTCACTCTGGGCAGGGCTGGGGGGCCCCATCTAGTGCCAGGCATTGAACCCAGACTGACCAGGCAAGCGCCTTATCTACTGCTCTATCTCTCGGATGCCAAGATAGATTATGAGAGAGAAAGGGGGAAACGCAGATTTCTGAAGGCAGGCAGCCCCGGGTGGGAACTGTGCCTGCCCTCAGCCCCCACAGGGCAGGTTATAACTCGCTAGGCTAAGGGGAAGGGTAGCCAGGCTGACCCAGAAGTCTGAGAGCTGACCTTGTGCCGCAGGCCTTTTCTTTCCTAGCTCACCAGAGCCTGCATCAATCCACAGACAGATGCTACAACATGCCACCGCTAGGCTGAAAAAGAGAGTTTCCTGGGGAGAGGCCTGCAGGCCATAAGGCTGGCTCCTGCCCCTCATAGCCCGTCTGGGGGCCGTTCAGCACCAGGAGAACCAACAGCTCTGAAGGACATTCATAAAGTCCCCGTGCTGGAGGGCAGGGCAGCGGGAAGCGCCAGGCATGAGCCCTCTTCCTGAAGCGGCAAGTGTCCACCAGCTTGTGGAAGCCCACGGGGAGAACATATTCTCAACAGAGTTAAGCATCGCCCTCTGCGAGGGGGCACAGCACCATAGGCATGCGTGCTGAAGGGCAAGGCTCACTGGGAACTTCCTGGATCTTATCAGTTATTCGCAGGAGGCCGGAGCTCTGAGGGGGAGGGCACGGCCGAGTGCCTGCAGCTGCTGTTTGCATTCCCTGACTTGGCCCTCATCTCCGGGGGTGAAGTGAGCTGAGGCTGGCATACCGATATTCCTTCTTGGTTAGTTTATCTGGGTCAGACCCAGAGGTGCTCAGGGTTTCCCACTGGCTCTGCGTGCCGGGATCGCCCTGGGGAGGAGTGGAGGACCAGGTAGGGTGCTGGCAACCGAAGTCCAGTGCCCCACCCGCTGTGCTATCTCTCGGGCCTGCATGCCAATATGTCTGACCCGTGTGGATAAGGAGATTTCCACCCCCCACCCACGGCCCCCACTTCCTCCAAGTGCATTTTCCTCTTTGAGAGGGAGAGCCTCTACCTCTGGGCCCGAAGTGGTAGGGGCAAGTGGGGGACAGGCAGGACGAGGGGAGGAACGTGGCCCTAAAGAAAAGGAGTTCCGGGCTGGGAGCACCACAGGGTGGCCTGAGCACCAGGGGAGAAGCGTCATCCCAGCTCCCGCTCTGCTGTCTCAGCAGCCCCCCTCCTTGGAACTTAACCAGGAAACGCTCACCGGCCCTGTCCTACGAGGGGGCAGTGGGGACAGGCTCCAGCGGCCCTCTGGCCCCGCCCGTGCTCTGGGCGCCCCGCCTTCCTTCCCGAGTTCCTGGATGGACCCTGCTCCCTGCCTTCAGTCTTCACTGCCTGAGGCCCGGCAGAGAGCAAGTGGCCGTGAGCACTCAGAGGACTCTCCCTCAGTCACGTGTCCCATGTCAGTGCCTTCAGCGATGCCACACCTGGCAAGAGCTCGGGAACTGCCTGCAGCTTGGGGCTCAGGGGTGGTCACTTCCCAGTGCTCAGGGGACCAGGCAGTGCTGGGCCTCCTGCAAGCAGAGCACACGCCTGCCCACCCTTTAGGAGCCTCTCTCTGGCCAGGAGGGTGTGTTTGCAGCAGGCGTCCCAGAGCTGGCCCGTGCCACCCCGGGTCCCCTATTCATGCAGTGAAATGCTGAGACAGCGCGAGGCCTGGCCTGGGAGGTCTTGTGTTCGCTCTTTCCTCGGCCCCTCCTGAGGTCTGACTGGCCGGGGGAGGCTGAGCAGGGCCTCACCAACTCCTTTGTTCGGCACGTCTCCTGGCTTTCATTATCCAAGCTGCCACCGTGATATTTGGCCGCGGATGGTCCTCCAAGTGTCTGGGTCTAAAACCAGAGCCGGGAGATGGGCAGGGCGTGCGCCTTCAACGTGGTCGAACCGATCCCAAGAGCAGAGTCAGGAATAAGCTCTGAGCACCCACCCAATCAATCAATCAATCAATCAATCAGTGCAGAGCCCAGGAGAGCCCCGACACCACAGGGCCCTCTGAGCACTGCTGGGAGAGAGCCCGAGGACAGCCGAAGGCACCGCTGGGTGTGGTCCCCTGATGAAACTCAGGCTGACAACTGTCGGGCTTCCCCTGCGCTGAGAGGAAGAAGGTGTCTGGACCGACCACCCGCAGAGATGGCTGGAGGGTGCAGCCCGCATCCCCAGACTCACGGTCATCCGGATCTCCACGAAGGAGTCCTCGGAGGAGCTGGTGCCCGAGCCCAGCTGCAGCTGGAGCTCAGACACGATGCCCAGCAGGTCGGCCTTCTCAGCCTGCAGGCGCCCCACCTGCGTCTTCAGCTGCTCCACTTCCCGTTCCCCTTCAGCTGTGGGGACCCTGGGGTCCTTACAGGGGTCCTGCAAGTGTAAAGTGTGACCAGTGAGAACCTGGCCCTCGGATGCTAACAGATCCATGGAGGACCGGGCCACAAACTCTGATCCCAAATGTTAACAGATCCATAGAAGGCTGGGCCTCAAACTCTGACCCCAGGCCATTGGTAAAGGTCAAAGTCCAACCTCTCCTAGGGGATTTCTTTTGATGAAGCCTTAGTGCAATTGTTTCTTTTTTACATTTGCTTATTAGGTTCAAATAATAGAAAGTGAAAGCCCGACAGAAAAAGGAAAGGCTTCCTCTACCTGCTGGAATTTGTAGCCGGAAAGGAGCCCCCCTCCCCTTGGCCCCACAGTGTAAGCCAGGATCTGAAACTAGCCCAGTCTAGACAAAAAGCCCATCTCAGGACCCCAAATCCCATTGAGATGGAGAATTCTGCCCCGATCCTGAGTGCATGCCCAGGGGCTGGAACAAAGGTCCCCCGGAGAATATCAAAGGGAGATCAGCAGCATCCACACCCAGTCCGGGGAAGTTTTTCCGGATGAAATTAAGTAAACTAGCTGGGCAGAATAAAGGTGCATTAGCCCGCATGCCCCCTGAGGTATGACCCTGAGGTATGACCTTCAGAGCATCTCTCCATTTCTCCATACTGGGGAAAAGGCCCCCAACATCCTAGAAAGGGCAATACCTTCCCCCAGCCTGGGTTCCCTGACAAAGCAGGGGGTAGGGGAGGGTGGGCAGCAATCATTAACCCCACTGGGCTGGGCAGAGCAGGCGGAATCCAGGCGCAGAGTGACAGGTGCCTTGTGAGACTTCAAGTCTGGACCACGCAGGTGCCTGGGGCAGACTCTCCTGAGTCCTAGATGTCCCCAGCACCTCCCTGGGCGACTGAGGTGGGTGGACAGGGAAGCAGTGGACGCCTCTCCCCTCCCCCACTTCACATATGTCCCGCCTTCCCCCCCCCCCCCCCCACTTAATCCTTGGTGGGTGAGTCATGGCCCCCACCAGATTTCTGGAAAACAAGCATAAAGAATGGCGACCACTCAGCCCAGGGCCTTTCTCTCTCCCTCCCCCAAACCCGTCATGTCCACTTCTAAATCAAAGCTTCCAGACACAAGGTCAGGTCAGTCAAGGTCAGTCATTGCCAAGCATCGTTACAGAGCCTGGGCCTCAGGGCCTCAGGGATGTTCCTGCGAAAAGTAACTCTGGTGAATAATAAGTATAATGACAAATAAGAAGCTGTATGTAATGAAAATTATGAAACTAATGAAAATTAAGAAAATGTGATGGGAACTGGGAAACTGAAACTGACCCCTTACGTTAAACAAAAGAAGGGAGGGAGAAGACTCTTGTTATGATTCAATTAGCCAGCGCACCAGATTGATGGGGGCACACTGGGCCCGCCAGATTGATGGGAGTGCTCAGGAGATGGTACCTGAAGGCCGCACCAAAAATGGGCAAGAGATACTGACACGGACTGTTTTCCTTTTGAGCACCTGAAGGCTGTACCCTGTACCCCGGGAAGGATGCATTGATTGTTTTTCTTTCACTTATTCCCTCTGTATCCCGTTTGACTGATAAGAACATATGTAGATTGTAGCCACCATCAGAGGATAAAAGAGAGACCCTCTCAGCAAAGAGGGTTCCAAGTCTCCTTCTCTTCTGACTTGTAGTCCTCAGCGCCGAGCCTCTGATAAGCTCACTCTCCTATCCGGAGCTGTCCCTTGCACAACAATAAAAATACTGAAAAGCAGAGGCTGGTCCAAAGGCAAAAGGATTACATTTGGGTGTGATCACATCAGGGCTCAGCATTAAGGTTTATTTTTGTTTTGGTTGGTCTCTGGGCCACACCCAGCAGTGCTCAGGGCTCACTCCTGGCTCTGTGCTCAGGGCTCACTCCTGACTCTGTGCTCAGGGATCACTCCTGGCTCTGTGCTCAGGGATGACTCCCAGCTCTGTGCTCAGGGCTCACTCCTGGCTCTGTGCTCAGGAACTGCTCCTGGCTCTGTGCTCAGGGCTCACTCCTGGCTCTGTACTCAGGGCTCACTCCCGGCTCTATGCTCAGGGCTGTGTGTGGCGCTGGGTATGGAACCTGGGTCCATTGCATAGTGCAAGTGCCCTACCCAGGTGCAAGTCTCTGCACTAACATCTCTTGAAGGGCAAATGGGGGTTGGATTCACCTCGGTTCCTGCACTGAGAACAACCTTGTTTAGGCATGGGCCTTGCTGGGAGGGGGAGAGGGATTTGAGTCCCAGGCTGCTCCTCGTGCCCAGGCCATCTGGCCTGGCCGGCACCGGGGAGACAGGGAGAGATGACGCGCCAAAGCCTCCCCGATGTCTTCGTGCTCTGTCTCTGATTTTCTCTACGGGAATGATTGCTCAGATTGCCAGGGCACTGCTAGGCACGAGCCTCAGAAAGTTGGCGACACAACAGAAAAGAAGCGTGTGCATGCACACATGCACGCCCTCTCTCTCTCTCTCTCTCTCTCTCTCTCTCTCTCTCTCTCTCTCTCTCTCACTCCTTGTCTGCTGTAGACTTCTAAGGAAGGTGAAAGGTAGAATGGGTAAAGGGTAGAAAACTAAGGGTAGAATGAGAGCTTTATGTTTGTTTGTTTGTTCGTTTGGGGTCACACCTGGCAGTGCTCAGTGCTCAGGGGTTACTCTTGGCTCTGCACTCAAGAATTATTTGTGGCGGTGCTTGGGGGACCATAGGGGATGTGGGGATGGAACCTGGGACGGCGCCAGGCAAGCAAGTGCCCAGCTCGCTGTATGGCTCCGGCCCTGAGGTGAGAGCTTTCTGAAAGGCACGTGATGGTGACAGCTAACACGGGACAGTGTCACCCCAAACCCAGGAGTGCTGCTCGGCCCACCGAGAGGAAAACAATGCCTGTGACCCTGACGCCAGGTGGTTAAGGAAAGGGTGCCGTGTCCCCCGGGGCTCTGAGCCACCCCAAAAGGACACCAAGTGCAAAGGAAGCAAACAATAAAGAAAAGGTGCTGTTTAGCCCGGAACCTGGAGCCGGGAGCGGGCAGCCCAAACGGAACCCGCAGGGACTCTCAGCCTGGGCAGGTTTCTTGGCCTTCTCTGAGCTGAGACTCTCAATCCGGCCTGAACCCCTCCAGAGCTCCCGCACTGGTCTTACCCTCTGATCTCGCCCACTCCGAGGAGGCCCCCTCAAACCCCGCCCCACCCCGGGCCTGCCCTCTGCCGATGACTCTGTCCTAAGTCTCAGTGACCAGCACAGGCTGAGAGGCACTTCTGTCATTCCGGAAGGAAAAGGAAAGTCCATGAGTGGCGATCTTAGCCCAGCCATCTGTGGCCCCAAGTTCCAAAGCACTCTCCTGAGGTAATAGAACCACAGCAGCTGTCCCTGAGGGCGGGAGGCCTCACCCCTGCGAGAGCAGGGTGTAGATGGGCATGGAACACAGAGGCCCTGAGGACCTGGGGACCCTGGAATCCCTCGCAGATACAGCGCAAGGATGAGCCCGAGGAGGAGGAAGGTCGGCTGGGACCTGCAGAGGCCTAGGAAGGCAGGATCCTGAGCGCCTCCGTGCCACAAATGCCTCAGACGGTCCAAGAAGCAAAGTTAGAGGCCACAGGAGGCCCCACTGCAAGGACAAAGCTGATGCCCAGATTTAAAAGCCTGTAACTGCCTTTTTGCCCAAGTGCTCTGTCCCGGGGCCCACTCTGAGTCTTTCTTGGAGCTGGTGTCAACTGATCTTCTGTAAGAAAGCAACAACAGACCTCTAGCTTCCGATCCCATCCTTCCAGTCACAAGGCCATTGAGGAAAAACCCACAGCCAAACTATCGCAGTAGACAAACTGCTTCTGGAAGTTTCCATCTTGGCCTCTGGGCTATGGGCCCCAGCAGGTTGGAGCTAGCTGTCAGCTCGCACCCCATAAGCCAAGGGAAGAAACAAATAGGAGAAATTTTCTTCAAGTAGAAGATTATTTATCTGTCCTAGTGATCATTTTTTCTGAGTAGCTTACCTCAAAAATATTCAGGTAAAAAGTCCCCACCCAAAGAAGTGACTGAATGCTCTTTGAACTTAAGACAAGAGAAGGATGTGACAAATTTTATCGAGATGGAAACATTTCCAGAACTAATGTATGCTGTTGAATGGAATATCTTCTTTGTCTTCTGAGGTGGGGCTGATGAGAGAGAGACATTGCTGGCATCAATTAGAAAGATTTTTATTTCCTAAAAAAATCTTATCATTTCTTAGAATATTCCACATTGGGGCCAGAGTGATAGCATAGTGGGTAGGGGGTTTGCCTTGCACATGGCTGACTGGGATTCAATCCTCACCATCCCATATGGTCCTCTGAACACCGCCAGGAGTAATTCCTGAGTGCAAAGCCAGGAGTAAGCCCTGAGCATCGCTGGGTGTGACTCAAAACGCAAAACAAACAAACAAAAAAACCCATATATTCCACATCACCTCCATTTCACTGTTTTCTTCCGATTTCTTGGTTTGCATTCTTCATCCAAGAAACAAGAGATCAGCAGAGTTCAAGATAAACTCTGAAAAAGAAACCCTGAGATCTGGGGTGACATTCCCCCCAAATCAGCCCAGGGCCTCCTCCTCTGAGTGTTTGTTTCAGGTCTGAAAGGAAATGATACCTCTCAAACCTGCTTGTAAAATGTGAAGTCCTGAATCTTAGATTGAGAGAACCAAAATGGGCAATAATTAGTGATGATGGGGCCGGACTAATACTACAACAGGGGAGCATTTGTCTTGCATGTGGCAGACCCGGGTTCGATCCCCAGCATTCCATATGGCCCCCCAGCACAGCCAGGAGTAATTCCTGAGCACAGAGCCAGGAATAGCCCCTGAGTATTGTCGGTGTGGCCCAAAAAGAAAAAAAAAATAGTGATGAATCTATCTCAGACTGAGAGAACCAAAATGATCAATAATTAAAAACAGAGGATTCCACTTCCGCCCCCCCCCCCAAAAGCAGAGGATTCCACTTTTTAAATGTAACATATCAAAGACAAAGAGCACATGGGAATTTTAGACACAGGCCCTCTGCACGCTCAGTAGCACTGCTGCACCTGTCGTCCTGTTGTTCATTGATATGCTCAAGTGGGCACCAGTAGCATCTCCATTGTGAGACTCCTTGTTACTGTGTTTGGCAAATCGAATACACCACGGGGAGCTTGCCAGGCTCTGCCATGCAGGCGGGATACTCTCAGTAGCCTGCCGGGCTCTCCGAGAGGGATGGAGGAATCAAACCTGGGTTGGCGGTGTGCAAGGCAAATGCCTACTCACTGTGCACGCTCAGTAGTGGATATAGAATACCGAAGTCTAACCAGGGTACCTTTGATTGTACTCAAACAACTCTGTACCCTCAGCCCTGCAGGGATCATACCTGACCCTTGGAAACTCCACCAGTCTTCTCAGCAAGATCACGTCCTTCAAGACAGCGCCAAATATAGTCTAGCCTGAACCGTAAAGGGTTTCGATCTACAAGTTTAGACAAATGCGATTCCACCCAAAATGATCAACAACATCACCACAGGATTGCTTGGTCTGCTCACCTCCAGGGTCCTCTCTGTTCTCCCTTTGAGGGTTCTAATTTCTTCCTTCAGTTTTTCATTTTCTTGACTCAAAGCCAACAGGCGCTCTTTGGCTTCTCGGCTCTGGGTCTCAAAGAAAAGGCGTTCTTCCTTCTGTTTCTCTGTCCAGGCAGACAGCTCCTCGAAGCGTCCCTTCATGGCCTGGTTATTCAGCTTCATGGCTTCTGTAGGGGTTCAGGGGGACAGCGTCAGATCCAGGGCACTGGGCGGTGAGGGTCACATCAAGCCTTGCCCTGCATTGCTCCCCCCAGGTAGCGCTGAATCTACAGATGCCAAACGTGGCTGGGCCCGCGGAGCAGAAGGAAGAGGGTTTTTCTCCCAGCTGGGCAAATATCATTTCTAGTTCTCCAAAGAAAATATAGTTTGGCCTGGGAACCTAGACTTAGATCTCAGCCCAGCCTTTCGCTTAACAAATGTTGCCCAAAAAACCAGAACAACTGATAAGAGAGGGAAAGGCTAGGCCCGGAGAGCAAGTATACTAGGTAAGGTCCCGGCCTTGCACACGGCCAGTCTGGGTTCCATCCCTGACACCCCATAGGGCCCCCTGAGCCCCTCCAGGAGTGATCCCTGAGAACAGATCTAGGAGTCAGCCCTGAGCACTGCCAGGTGTGGGCCCAAAACAAAAACAAAAAAGGGAGGAAATTAGTTGGTAAGAAAACAGCTTATGCTGGAAACTAGCTAACAGCTGTAGGATAAGCTTCAGGGAGGAAGAGGAAGTCTAGCTGGTGCCAGGCAGAGCTGGGTAGCATGAAGGCTGTGGGCATTCAGAAATGGTCTGGAAGCTCATGAATGTTTGTGAGGGGTGCAGAAAGCATGCACAGCTGAGTCACACACACACACTGAACAGAGAGTGGCCAACAGACGTCCTCAGGGCCATGTTTTCAGTGTGGTGATGAGGAGAAAGGGGACCCATGGTCAAGGAGAGCTCCATCACTCAGTGCTCCCAAGAGTACTGTCCCGCTAGGCCCCTTCGGTCCTCATTGGCAGAAAGGTGTGTGCAAGACTCCACCTCGGCCCAGCTAAAGCCATAAGCATGTACAGGGGGCGTGTCACACCCGGCAAACTACAAACCTCAGACCAGTCTGGGTTGCTTTACCCATAAAGCCCTTCTAAGGCCTTCTTTTTTTCTTTTTTCTTTTTGGCGGGGGGGATGCAAAAGGTTTTGATTATTTGATTATACAAGGTCAGATTATTTTTTCCTGTAAGTGGGCTAAATGTTTTAGTGTTACATCCCTGTAAGGCACGGTTTGGATTCCTGCCTGGGACAGACAATAAGCAAAGGTCAAAGTACTTTGGTTCCCGCCAGAGGTGAAGCTCTGCTCTCTGGCCCAAGACCCCTGCCCCAGCAGCTCACCCTTCAGCTGATGATTCTCAGTGAGGAGCTCCTTCATCTGCTGCAGCAGCTCCTCGGGTGTGAACGTGTCCAGGTTCGGGTGGGCCAGGCTAGGGGGCCCATTTCCGGTGGCCTCACTGGAGCTGTCCCCCTTTTCAGTCCGGCAGACACGTGGTTGGTGGGACATGGTGGGACCACGATTCCTAGGGACAGTCAGAAGCTGGGAAGGTCAGTGTCTTCGCCGCTCCTCCCGGCCGCCACCCAGCCCATTAGCCATCACAAAATATTCATCCCAAAATCTGTCTACTCCCCCATTCTCATTGCACACTTCCAAGTTCTTCCTCTGAAATGTCAAGGATGTATCTCAGCATCAGTGTGAGTCTGTGGATCACAGGGGTATAGAAGGGGCGGGAATAGAGGCGCAAGAAAAGGCAGGAGGGTGTGAGGAGCCAAAAGCCAAACACAGAGTTCAACAGAATCTCCACAGATTTGTAGACATGGGAAAACTTCCAGGAAGTTGATATGCCGGGAGAATCTTGAATTCAACTCTCTACATTTCCTGTATTTTGTTTGTTTAAAGGGAAAAGAAGAAGAGACATATTCTGAGCGCTTATTCTGCCTGAATCAGCGTTCCAGAGTCTTTATTTTAAATTCTCCCTCAAGCCCCACCAAAAAGTCACTTCACAGGGGATGGGGCTGAGTCGGAGGCCAGAAGCTCGTTCATGGTCACAAATAAATTGGGCAACTGAGTCTCCAGGATGATGCCCAAACCCAGCCCTACAGTCCAATCAAGCTGCTCCTGAACCGTAGGCTCAGGACCCCACAGCCCCCCACAGATATGCTGCCGAGGCAGAGGCAAACTTTGCTTAGTCATTGCAGCCCTGACAGTATTCAGGAGAGGAGTCGCTGTGGACATAAACATGGGGCTAGAGCAACAGAACAGCTGGGAGGGCAGGGAGGGCGGAAGGCGGGAGGGCGTTTGCCTTGCACGAAATACACCCAGTTTTTGTTTTGGTTTTGCTTTTTGGATCACACTCAGCGATGCTCAGGGGTTACTCCTGGCTCTGTACTCAGCAGTTACTCCTGGTGGTGCTCAGGGGACCATATGGGACGCTGGGAATAGAACCTGGTCGGCCATGTGCAAGGCAAATACCCTACCCACTGTACTATCACTCCGGTTCCCCACCCAGGTTTGATCCTCAGCATCTAACTGGTCCCCTGAGTCAACCAAGAGTAATCCTTGCTTGAGTGCAGAGCCAGGAGTAAACCTTCAGTACTCCAGGGTGTGACTTAAACAAACAAACAAGAATGTCCATAAACATTAACACTACTGTAACCATGTTACCTAACTATACACACAAAAGAAATAGGTTTTAAATGGATTTTTATTGAATAGAATTGCCACATATTTTGCAGAGGCATTCGAAAAATTCCAGGTAATAGATCTAGAGAAAATGCTGAGACTAGGTATTGCTTATCTGCCCAGTAAAATTACTCAGGCATTCAATGCTCTCGCTTTTCGTAAAAGTACACAGAAAACATCAAACATGAAAACTCAACTCTGAGCAAATGTCTGGTTTGGTGTCATTTTCCTCTATATGCCTATTTCTCCTTCTTGGCTTCTCTAAGCGGAGGGAAGTGGAGGAGGCGGAAGAGAGATTTTGCTCACGAGTTTTCCACTCTTTCCTTTAGACACAGGCTTGATAAAGGGAGGACTGGTTCAAGTTGCAGTATCAGTGTGGCTCAATGTTTTACAAAGAGGAGGCGCAAAAGCGGGGTTATGCTAAAGGCAGAAATGCCATGGGGCCACTAACCAGCCGTGTGACTCTAAGGAGTCACCTGACCTCCGTGATGACTTCCTGACCCAGAAAGTGTCAGGCGATCATGAGAGCTGCTTTCGCAAAGCCCTTCAATGGGCCAGTGGGACGTGCACACGCTTTGCTGACTGGAGGCTTAGGTTCGATCCCTGGAACTGCATGGTGTCCTGAGCACCACCAGGTGTGGCCCCAAACCAAAACATCAAACAAGTCCTGTTAAAAGTATTTTTATATTTCTCACAAGCTCAGGATCCACACTTTCAACGATGCCACCTTCTCTTACCAATCCTTAAAACTCTCTTAATTAATGTAAAATCTAGTTAACCAGCGACGCTAGGAAATCTTATCTGGTAATTCAAATGTAATAAATAATTTGCTGAAGCAGGAGCTATAGTACAACAGACAGGGCGTTTGCCTTGCATGCGGCCAACTGGGTTCAGTCCTCAGGGGCCCTCACGGTTCCCTTCCCCCAACTCCCCGCACTCCCCACCCCAGCACTGCCAGGAGTAATTCCTGAGTGTGGAGCCAGGAGTAACTCCTGAGCATTGCCGGGTGTGACCCCAAACCCAAAAAAAAAATAAATGAATAAGCTGTTATTTTTCTATATGCCATACATAAGTATGCAAAAGCTTGTTACCAAAGCTTATTGAAAGTATACTGATTTTTGGTGACTTGAAGGGCACATTTCATGATATTGGGACAGGGGCACCGTTATGAGTTGTCACAATGCAGTTGTAGAACTTTAGTAGAGTATCAGTTGGAGAAAACTGAATTCTTTAGGATTTTAATATCACCTAAGCTGCTTTCGACTGAACAAATACAGAGATGCATTATAACTCTCTGTATGCATTTTTAAGGTTATAGAAAGTGAACTAAGCCATTTATTCTGAGGTTCTAATAATGGAATTTCTCAGAAAAGTCAAACTAATCGGGATCTGAAATGTGTCATTTCTAAGCAAAGGAGATATTTAACTGCAGAAGGGTGAATTAATTCAGTACAGGATTTGTTAAGATTTCACCAGTGAGGAAGAAAGAGAACTAACTGGAGGTGGCGAGATCAAAAGCAAAATCTCTGAGATGTGTCCCTAAGCCTGCTACTTGAAGCCCGGATTATAAATTAATATCCTGGGGGCCGGAGGGACAGTATAAGGGTTAAGACACCTGCCTTGCAGGGGCCGACCCTGCCAGATCCTCTGCGCCACCAAGAGGAAAAACTTTGTACCTGAGTACAGAGCCAAAGGTACAAGAGTACAGAGTACAAAGCCTGGGCGCTCCCTTTCCCCCCAAAATGAGACCAAATTCTAGAAAAGAGCACCTCAAACACGAACATCAATTTCATCACTGTCACTGTCACCTGTCCTCCCGTCATTCATCGATTTGCTCGAGCGGGCCCAGTAACACTGTGAGACTTGTTACTGTGTTTTGGCATATTGAATATATCACGGGTAGCTTGCCAGGCTTTGCCATGCAGGCGAGATACTCTCCGTAGCTTGCCGGGCTCTCCAAGAGGGGCGGAGGAATCGAACTCAGGTCGACCATGTTGGCTGCGTGCAAGGCAAACGCCGTACTCGCTGTGCTACCGCTCCAGCCCATCAATTTCATATTAAAACAAAAAATTAAAATTAAAAAATGCAGTATCCTGTTATAATTGATAACATATATCATATACATAAATATACATATCCACACCTGCTGGCATAGTCTTAACTTCATCAGTCCAGTTCAGCAATAACTGAACTTTGTAAGCACGAGTATAGACCTCCTTCCTAAATTGGCCTTGTAAGTAAAGGTGTGAACCCAACTTCTTATTCCATATGAGAACACCTTACTGGGTTTCCGTGGCAGAGGTTATACTAAGACTGAGCACTATGAATACAGCCACAGGAAACAGAAGCAAAGAGCCAGGCAGGCAAGGAGCCGGGCATGCCAGGCGGGCTTGGGATGCCAGCGGGCACTCCACTGACAGCAAACACGGAGTAAGCCACAGCCCTCACCCTGGCATGTCTCACTGTCCAGATCTGTGGGCTAAGCATTCAAGGCTAATCCTTACGTGGATTAGTTAATTTAGGGGCCTCTCCAGGGGTGCTCAGAGGGTCTGAGGTCACTCCTGGCGGTACTTGGCTATGTAGGCCAGACAGTTCAATGCCACGGCCTGAGCCTGTGGTGCCGGGGTCCACTAGGGCCACCCCAGCAGAGCCTGGGGAGGTCTCTCCGGCTACACTCTCAATGCTAGGAGGTCATGTGGTGCCGGGGATTCAAGCCGGGTTGCCTGACTGTCATACTACCTCTCAGTCCTGGGTAAGGTCATGTAATACAAACCAGTTTCTTGATTGGAGCCAATAGAGTGTGACTAATAAATTCACATTTGGGCTCACAAGGGGATGAGGTCAGATTCCAGGAAGCATCCTCAAGCCCTTCTCCATCCTGGGGCTAGAGCAATAGCACAGCAGGTAGGGCGTTTGCCTTGCACACAGCTGACCAGGATTCAATTCCAGCATCCCATATGGTCCCCCAAGCACCACCAGGAGTGATTGATTCCTGAGTGCAAAGCCAGGAGTAACCCCTGAGCACTGCCGGGTATGACCCAAAAAGAAAAAAAAAAAGCCCTTCTCCATCCTGGAGAAAGGAGCCCCTGGGCTCATCACATCACAGTAATAAAAGATGCTACTGGAAAGTGCTACTGCATGGATGCAGGTCTGAGGAGTTAGGCTTGGCTCTTATGCCCTCTCCTCCCCCATCTAAGGGGGCTCCAAGTGCTCTCACACCCACCTGTTCTCCAATCCAAAACCTTATAATAATTATTGCATTTTCGGTCACACCGGTGATGCTCAGGGGTTACTCCTGGCTCTACACTCAGGAATTACTCCTGGTGGTGCTCGGGGGACCATATGGGATGCTGGGAATCGAACCCGGGTAGAGTCGCGTGCAAGGCAAACGCCCTCCCTGCTGTACTGTTGCTCCAGCCCCACCAACCCAAAACCTTAGTCCAGGCCCTTCCTATCTTATCTGGACCACAGCAACCAAAAGCACAGGGATTGGCTGATTTCCTGCACTGCTGAGCTCCTGGCATCTAGAGAACTGCCTGGTGCATCTTGTGCTTCAACAAACACTTGGCGAATGAGTTGTCATTCCTACAACTCTGACCCTCGTCCCTCACCACCTTCATGGTTTTCCTCTGCACACAAGGTCACCCCCAGCTTAAAACGCTTCCCACACAAGAGAGAATGACAGAGTGCGTGAGGCTGACCAGTACCAGCCCTGTGTCCGTGCCACGTGTGCCCGGGACACTAAGGGCTCAGAGTTCACCACATGCTATTGCTTCTGTGGCCCATGTTTCACTCTTGGTGGGACACGTTCGAAGTCCCCTTTGCCCTGGTGGATACTCACTGTCCAATTCAATCAGATGGCCCATGGCAGATGAGCTGTTTTTCCTCTGGGCACCTAATTGCACTAGAGTGTTCCACTTCCTTGGTCCTTCCCTGCAAGGTCCAGCAATTGACCCCTGCCCTATATCACTCCTCCAAAGGGCACAGAGCAGATTGGCAGTCAATGTTTATGGAAATGAAATAAGAGTCCAGTGCCCTGGACAGTCACCTTCAAGACACTTTCAACTGTGCAGGTGACACACCCAGCAAACTTCCAGAAAACTCAGTTTCTAATGGTGCTCCTTTCCATTGCCTCAACTTTTCACTGAGTTAGAAAATCAGCACTTTCTAGATCACTCCAGAGGCATCTGGATGTCACTTCACAACTCATTTTTTGTTATCCAAACCTAATTTATGTCTAAGTGAAGACAACCAAAGCTTAAAAAAATTTTTTTCCTCAATGAATATTTTGTTAAAAGTTGTAAATTGGGGCTGGAGAGATAGTGCAGTGGTTTGCCTTGTGTGTGGCTGACTTGGGTTCTATCCTTGGCACCACACATGGTAATCCTAATCCTCCAAGTGTGAGCCTTGAACACAGAGCCAGGAGTAATCCCTAAGCACTGCTGGGTATGTCCCCCTAATCCCCCCCCCAAAAAAACCGTCAAAGCCAAAATTGAAAGATTTGAAATTAAAGAAATTAAAGAAAAATTAAAGAAATCTTTAATTTCTTCCTTTCCTTTTGGATTTACCATCCATAGATTCTATGAACAAAACAGATGGCCACCTATAAAAATCTGGATGAGGCATAACTGAAGGGGGTCCCAGGGGACCCCATGATTTGTAGAGACAGGCAAGAATCAACTTCCCTCTGGCATCTCCGACGGGAGGACTGGATTCTCTTAACATGACAGGCAGCTGAGGTCAAGCTGACAATGACAACCAGAAAATCACTTGTGCAACGTGCGACACAGTAGATCTAAAGCGACACCCAAGTTGACCTGTAATTCCCGGGAAGTTCCAACCTCCATCCTCGCTCCTGGTCCCAGTGAAGCATCATCTTGCCCCGTGCATGCCGGGGTGGGAATGGAGTCCCCGACCAAGCTAAGGTACCCTGGACAGAGGGCAAGCGGGGCGCGCGTTCCTGGTGGCCCTGCCTGGGGACTCCGCTAAGGGCGCGCAGCCCTGTGCGTCCGGGCACAGCTGGCCGGTGGCTTCACGTCCACACCCGCCCTCGGGCCCTGCAGGCTGGATCCCAGCCCGGCTCCCATGTCCCGGCGCGAGAACCTTCCCTGGTGGGCGCGGGCGCCCACCTTCCCATCCAGCGCGCTCCCCTCTGACCCTCGGCCCGGCACGGGGAGGTCGCGGGCGACCCGGGACCCCCGAGGGCCGGAGCGGGCCGGGACTCCCCGAGGGGCGCCCCGCACGGCCCCGGAGGGCAGCCCGCGACCGCCACGAGCCCCCGTGGCGCCCGGCGGCGGGGTCACGACCCGCCGGGCCTGGCCGCCCTTCCCGGCCGCGGAGCCGCGGGGCCAGCGGGGCCAGCGTCCAGCCAAAGCCGGGCCGCCCCCCCTCGCGTGCCCAGTCCGCGCCGTTCCCCGGCTCACCCGGCTCACCCGGCGCTCCCGCCTCTCTCCGGGTCACGGCTTTCTGGGCATCGTGCCCGCTGGGGGCGGGATCCGGACCCGGATGCAGACGCGACCAGGGCACCGGCCGGGAGCTCGGGCTGAGTGGCGGCCGCGCGACGACGCCCAGCGCTGCTCAGCTGACCGCCGCGCCGCGGGGAAATTCCCGGGCCCCGCCCCCGCAAGCCCCGCCCTCGAGGCCCCGCCTCCGGTCAGGCCCCGCCCACAAGCACCGCGCCCTTCCGCTGTTGCGGCTCCTCAGTCTCGCCCCATAGGTCGCGCCCCAAATCCCTCCTCCTCAGCCCCGCCCCAGCCCCGCCCCTGCCTCGCCAAGGCTCCGCCCCCAGGGGGGCCTCCGCGACTCCGGTGCGCCTGGGGCCCCGCCCCTCCCGAGGCCCCGCCCACAGACCCCGCCCCTGCCGCGCGGGTGCGCGTGGCGTCATAACCCTGCGGTGCGCGCAGAGCTCTGAGCCGGGGCTGCCGGCCGAGAGGTCAGCGTTACGCCCAGGTGTCCGAGTGAACAGCGTGGCTCACGGCGGGCACGAGAAGAAAGGGCTGAATGCACGAGCGGCGCTACCCGGCGTTCCTGGGATCCCCTCGGGGGACTGCGGGCATTCCTGCAGAAGGCCAGGGCCACCAGGGCCCGCTGTGGCCGCAGCGACGGGGCAGCGGGGTCCAGGCGCCCTGAGGAGGAAGCCTGGGTGTCCCTCCCTCCCATCTCGGTAGCGTTAGCTGAGCCAGACTTTCCCCCGATGTTGCCCCTACAATAGACCTTTAATGAGAACCAGAAGGGCTGCGGTTTAGGGACAGCGGGGAGCGTGCCTCCCGTGCACGCTGCCCACCCGGGTTCGATCCCCGGTATCCCATGGGGTCCCCGAGCACCGCCAGGTGTGACCCACCGCGCACAGCCGGGGGTGGCCAAAAAACGAACAAAAAAGAAAGCTGCAGTTTGCTCCCTGGGCTCTGGTTCACCGTTGGGTCCCGGCCGTCCTTAGACATCCTTTAGGTGCCTCCTGCAGGTGGGATCTTCGACCCCGACCGGCCAGGGAGGCACCTGAGGGAGGGATCAATGCAATGACACGAGAAGTAGAAGGGGGGCAGCAAGACGGGGCGGGAGGGAGGGCCCGCGCGCGAAGCCCAAGCCGCCGCCCCGAGGACGCGCTGTGAAGGTCGCGGCCAGCGCGGGCGCGCGGGGCTGGGGACGAGGCGATTAGCGCAGGGTCCTCGGGACAGGGGCGGCGGGACGGGGCTTGGTGCTGAAAGCCGAGAAGGACCTGAGGTCGGGGCCGAACTTTGGATGAATCAGGACAGGCGCACCCGAGGCTGAGCACCCGCGATCTCCCGGCTTGGAAGGACCGAGAGGGGTGCAGGGGTGCGGGAGGCGAGTCAATGGTAACAGGCCGGGCGCCCCTTCCAGTCGTCCCCCAAGAACTGCATGTCGCTGTCGGATCGACCTGCTCCAGGCCTTCTCTGCACCCAGGATCCAGGATTAGCCCCCAGAGAGGGTGCATGGGGTGGGGGAAGGAAAGGGGGTGCACTGGGGAGGGAGCGACTAACAACTGCCACGGACACAGTAGCTTCACGGGGTGAGGGGTGGGGGAGGTGGAGAATAGGAAGGAGAGGGAATAAACCTGGGGGTTGCCATAGGCCAGAGTTTTAATTTTTTTTTTTTTTTTTTTTTTTTTTTTTTTGCTTTTTGGGTCACACCTGGCGATGCACAGGGGTTACTCCTGGCTCTGCACTCAGGAGTTACTCCTGGCGGTGCTCAGGGGACCATATGGGACGCTGGGAATCGAACCCTGGTCGCCCACCTGCAAGGCAAATGCCCTACCCACTGTGCTATCTCTCCAGCCCCAGTTTTAAATATTTTAGATAACAGTGCAGCATGGAAGAACTTAGGGAAAAATATCGGGAAAATGGAGCGAAGTTCCCACATTTGTGTTGAAACTGGCCTGGTCATCAGGGCAGGAGACGGTACCATGTTGCTGGGTCAGTGGAAGGGGAGGGTCGCTCTTGGCCCTTCAAGGCCACTGACTTACTGATTCTGTTTCAAGCCAGACTGATGACTCAGGGAAATTCTGCCTGGGATTGGGGCAGGGAGCGGTGCAGAAGAGGGAGGGGTGGGAGGAGGGATTGCTTGGGTCCCAAAGCTCTGCGTGCCCCTGCGATTCTGTGCATATGAAACATCCAGAAACAGGAACTCAGAGACAGGAAGCAAATCTGTGGTTGCCATGGGCTGGGGATAACTTTCATAGCAAGTGAAATTTTTTTCCTGGGGTGGGGGGATGGCAATGAACATATTCTAAGCTGGGCCTGTGGCTATTTCCCTTGAGGCTGGCAAGTTCCCAGGGAGCCACCTTCAAGCAGCTCTGACCCCAAAGACTCAAGATCCCAGTAGTCGCTTCAATATGAGCCCAAAGGTGGGGAAACACCCATGCAGAAGCACAAGGCAGGCAGTCTGGCAGGGGAAATATGCTCAGGAAAAAGTCCTTGGCGGAGCGCCAGCCTCCTATTTTATTCTGGCCTTCAGCTGGCTGGTTGGGCCCCCCCCCCCTACAGTAAGGACAGTCATCTGTCTCACTCAGCAGCACCCCCTTAAAGTTCACTCACCAGCAGCATGCAAGATAGCTGAGCACACAGACCTGATCTACATAAAACCAAGCCTTGCGTGTCTATGGATGTTGGGGTTTGACTAGTTAAACTGGCATGGTCGCTGCTGCAAAGTTGAATAGTTACAAGTCCCCTGTTTCCTGAGCAAAGCTACCGAGGCTTCCTAACAGACTATAACAAACTCTTGGCTGAAAAAAAAAAATGTCCTTGCCGGAGATGATTGGGTGTTCATGGAATAACATAGCACTGGGGCCAAGCTTTGAAGAACCAGCTGAGAAAATTGTTTCTCTCTGTGAACTTGGAAATGCTTCTGTGGTATTTCCCTCCAATCATTTTGGAGATCTCACATAAATTTAGAACCTTCCCATTCATTTGGTTTTATTATAATTCTGGGAAACTAGGCTAGGCTGTTTATTATGGAAACAAGGGAAGAACGCGTGATATTTTTCTAAAGTGATTTCCTGTCTACCTTGGCTTCCATTCTTGAGAATCTTTAATTTTTTTAAGTGCAAAAGTATCTTTTAGTAGAGCTGTTGGCTCCATTGGTGCACAGATACATTCTTTGTCTGCCTATTCATGAACTGTCTGCTCAGTAGTTCTCCACACCCAACACTGTTTCTTTTCTTTAATTTTGTACCCCTCTTTCTAGAGCCCTTATTCGTCCTATAGGGCTAAGGTGATTCAGCGACAGTAATTTGCTGTGCTTTCAACCCAGGACCTTACCTTTTCACTCAGGATTATTTCTATTTTTTTCTTTTTTGGGGGGGGGGGGTGCAGGTCACACCTGGCGATGCACAGGGCTTACTACTGGCTCTGCACTCAGGAGTTACCCTGGCTGTGCTCAGGGGACCATATGGGATGATGGGAATCCAACCTGGGTTGTCTGCATGCAAGGCAAACACCCTACCCACTGTGCTATCTCTCCAGCCCCATTATTTCTAATTTTATAATAGAAACTTTTTTTTGGGGGGGGTCACACCTGGCGATGCACAGGGGTTACTCCTGGCTCTACATTCAGGAGTTACTCCTGGCGGTGCTCAGGAGACCATATGGGACGCAGGAAATCGAACCTGGGTTGGCCGCGTGCAAGGCAAACGCCCTACCCACTGTGCATCTCTCCAGCCCCATATAATAGAAACTTTATTAAAGGAATTGAGAAATCTGCCATTATTGAGGGAACTTTCTTTTTCTTTCTCTCATTTCCCTCCCTCCTCCCTTCCTCCCTTCCTCCCTCCCTCCCTCCCCTCCCCTCCCCTCCCCTCCCCTCCCCTTCCTTCCTTCCTTCCTTCCTTCCTTCCTTCCTTCGAGTCAGATATCTAGAGCACTTCCATCTCCTCTACCCTGGGCTGGCCCAGGCTGGCTGCATTAAGGTGCACACCTTTTTTTTTTTTTTTTTTTTTGCTTTATTTGGGTCACACCCGGCGATGCACAGGAGTTACTCCTGGTTCATGCACTCAGGAATTACTCCTGGCGGTGCTCAGGGGACCATATGGGATGCTGGGAATCGAACCTAGGTCGGCTGCGTGCAAGGCAAACGCCCTACCCGCTGTGCTATTACTCCAGCCCCCAAGGTGCACACCTTAGCCCCTGGTCCCAGGCCCAGATGTGCCTTTTATGCTGTCAGAGTCCCTGGGCCAGATCAGGGCCAGAGTAGGGCTCACTGCGCTGCTCACTCTTCTCTCTCTTCTGCAGACTGGCCCCTTCTCCCAGGTTTCCGATCCACAGCCCTTCCTCATTCTTCTTCCAGGAACCTGAGTGCCGGAAGTGCAGAGACCACGCGGGCACCCCAGAGCTTGGGTCAGTGGGTTTCAGTTGGCACTGGCAATTCTGTCCTGGGCCTTGCACCCAGCCTCTGACACTGGGGTGGAGGCTAACTGGGGCCTTCCAGTACGGCCCTGGGAATCACTGCCTCAGCCATTTGCCCCATTGAGTCACCTCATTTGTATTTCATGCAATAGATGTGTTTTAAAGCAGGTAAGCAAGGTTGTGGAGATGGTTCAAAGGGCTGGGGGTGGGGGTGCAAGACCCCAGGAAGTGACCCTGTGCTGGCACTGGTGTGGCCCCAAAGAGAAAAACAAAGCAAACAAACCAAACCATTGGGGGAGTGTTGTTTTGGGTTGATACCAGCAGTGCTCAAGGATTACCCCTGCTCTGCACTCAGGAATCACTCCAGGCTGTGTTCAGGGGTCCATGTGGGATATCGGAGATCAAACCAAATTGGCCAGGTTTGTGCAATGCTAATGCACTATCGCTCTGGCCCCACAAAAACAAATTTTAGGGTGCTTTATGAAGCTGGAAGGAAGCAGCAGAGAAGATCCCTGAGCAGCTGAGATACTTGCTGGAAGTTGGAGAGGTTTGTTCTCAGGGAGGGAGGAAGATGCTGTTTGCAGGGGCACAGGCGTTGCGCTCAGTCCCGGCTGAGTCTCCCGGCCACTGACTGCCTGTGTCCAGCAGGTGGTGCCAAATGACATCTTGAATGGAGGCTGGGGGGGGGGGGGGGGCTGGGGGACATCTGAGAGCACTCCTGGACCTCTGGTTCGCAAATAGCACTTGTGCAGCTGCC